TTTTGGCTGCTGCAATTCATATTCACAAACTCTATTTTGATATTCACAAAAGATAATTTGTTAAATCACATGAAAAAAGAAAAAAATTAAATTTTCATAATGAGATCATCTTGGGAATTGTATATATATATATATATATATATATATATATATATATATATATGTGGGCAGATAAGCATTTTTAATTTATACTACTTACATTTGGACTAATGTCCTCATCTTTGTTGATATCCTCCTAATAATTCAGCCATTTTGACCTCCAGCCTTCTTCAGGTATCTGTCAATCAAAGATAATCTTCAGGGAATTTTGAATTGAACCTATTTCAACATTTAATGTAAATTTGAAATGTCCTGAAGTTTATTCAGATCAACAATCCCTTAAAGAATGCCAGAAGAACTGAAACATTGTGATAATAACAAAGATAATAACAAAGATGAGGATATTAGCTGGAATGTAAATAATAACTCCTCATCCCCAAAATTCAGACAGCAAGAATTGTTAAGTGTGTTTTCAGTTTTTTTTATCAAATAACCTTTTTTATATGATTTTTCAATTTCCAACAGTGATGCTGATAGGTTTTTAATGTAGTGAGCCCCTTGGGGGGGGCACAGATGATGATTTTGGTAGGGTCCCTGGTAAATTCCATGAGTTCCAACTAAAGTTTGTTAATAAATTATGTTAAACTGCACTGATACAGACTGAGTTTTTTTTTTTTTTTTTTTTTTTTACCATTGTTCCAAAAGACAACTTTAATCATTCTGAATCACTTAAATTGACAGAACAACTTTGTTGTTTTGTTTTTTTAATTAAATTAATAAATTCAATACAAAAATAGTATTTACACTTAAACACAATTCAATTAAGAAACTATATTTTTTAAGAATTATGAAAGAACAAAGTTTGTTTTTTAAAATCGACAGAATAAAAGTTTTTTTTTTTAATTAAATAGGTACCTCCACAGAAAACAATACCTCATGTTTAAGCTGTTAATTTAAATTGTTGAGATGTTTGACGGCTTAATGACAAATTGATATTTATCTAGTGTTGTTCTATGGGGGCTTTAGCCATAAGAAAATAATTGAATATAACATGAGCACTTTTTATATATAATTTTTAAGTAATCTTAAAAATTTAAGAAAATATTCTCTAATCTAATGTTTTATTGAATTTTAGATACTTTCTGGCTTTAAATTTACTGTAGTTATTGCTCTTATTTTCTGGTAGTGTCGTGTGTGATCATCTGTATTTACAAAAATTAGCACATTTATATACATACAAAAAAATTCAGAATTCTTTTTAAAATATTGATGTTTGATGATTTGTATTAAGCTTTTCCATTAATGATTAGTAAATTTCACTTAATATCTAAAAGGGTGAAATTAATACAGAATTTTAAAAGATTTAAAACTTGCTAAATTATTTTCGTTCAAATTTTAAAAAACTGAAAACAATTCTCGTAAAAATTCATTATTCATCAAAAAAAATTTTTTTCTTAAGACCGTAGTAACCATAATATATCTTATTTATAAAAGCAATTAAAAGCTTTTCTAATTAAATAATGTCATAGTCTTATTGCATTTTTTATTTTATGATTTAGAGCAGATCTTTGGTAAATAGTTTTTCTGTTTGACAAAAACAAATTGAAGATTTAAATTCTCCATGTGGTACTGTTTTTAATTTATATAAATATGAAGAAGGTGGAATTTTAATTTGTCAAAATTTCATAAAATTATATGTGGGTAAAAGATGTAAAAAAAAAAAAAATACTTTACCAAGATTTTCTAAAAAATGAAAAAAAAATTTCAAAAATAATTTTGTTCATTTGTGAAGTCCTGAAAATTTCATTAAAATCCAACAATTATTTGATTTTTTTCAAGAATTTATAAAACAATGTTTTTTTGCAACAAAAAAGATGCTAAATTTCCCATACTAATCTTTGCCTCACCTGCTGATGCAAGAAAAACAAAATGCTTTAACCAAAGTTTCGAACATGCTAAAAAGGATTCAAAATTTAATAAAACAATCAAAAAATACTTTGGTCTTTCCTTTTAATAATAACATAAACATTTTGACAATCAAACTTTGTTTTTATCAAGTTTAAGGCCTTTTTTCATCATAGTATGCACTTTAGTGAATGTCTGGAGGTACCTATACAAAATATATTGGCCTCCCTACAGTCTGTATTAACCCATACAGAAAAATTTATTTTGCCTGAAGATATTTTTGAGTCTTGTTAAATCTTATTTGAATAGTGAACTGAATGTTAAATACAAAAATGTCTCCATTTGCTAGTTAAAATATTTTCTACTCATAGTTTTAAAAAAATACATTTACCAGAAAAATACAAATGTTTAAGAAAAATAAAGTATCTATGTACTAATTACCATCAATATCTAGTTCACTTGACAAATGATTTGTGTTCTGTTACAGAAAGGATATATTAGTTACATTTTAAATTAAATTGATGTTGTTGTTTACTTAGTATCAACCAACAACCACATATTCCTTTTCCAAAGAGCAAACTTTATCAACAGTTACTGAAACCTAGACAAAGTATAACAGCATCAATGCTACAGGGAGTAATTGGCTCATTTGATGAATCAGAAAAGACTGTTACTGAGAAAAGAAGTCAACTGATGATTATTCTGCAGGATCCCCCCCCACCACCACCACACACATTTTGAAAATGTGATCTAGTAAATAATAATGTAACTGAAATGGAAACTTCTACATGCAGTGTATTCTTGAGTATTCTCAAGATCTGCCACTTTCAAGCTATCACTTTTTTTTCATGTCATCCACACTCAAGATGTAAAAAAAAAAACATTACCAAAAAATTCCTTCAATAAAAACTGAAAGGTAACATAAGTTCACAGGGGAAAATACTTTAATCATCCAATAATGTTGCTATGATTTTTATGAGTAAAAGATATTTTCAAAAAATGCTGAAGATTTTGCAGCAATAATATTTTTTTTTTGAGTTCATCTCAAGCAAGGCAATGAAGCCACTAAGACACAAGGGGTTACTGGATGTGGAAGAATTAGAAACAGAAACATTAATGAGTGAGAATGAAAAGTATAATCAGGAGGATAGTAGATAGTGGTTAACATTGCATTTAAATTTTTAAAATTAAAGTTGGCTGGAAAGCATGAAGCCAGACAAAACCACAAGCGAAAAGAAACTGTTAGCATAGAATTTACGGTTACATCTAACCAACTCAACTGTAAATTGATGAGACCTCATGACCAGTCTAGTATTGCGCTTAAATTAAAAAAGTCTAGATACTATAGTGAAGACTTCATCTGAATAATTACAGTGAATTTATAAGGTGGTAGGAAAGTGACTGAAGTCAAGATGCCAGATCAGAACCAATAATATTGCTGATTCTTCTTTGGATTGTATCAAGGATATTTAGATATATAACAGGAGCACCAGACCACATGTGGCAGCAATATTCTAAGCATGGACGAGTGGTAGACTTATAGATATGTAAGATAGATTCTGCAGAGAAAAATTGTCTCACACAACACAGTGAACCAAATTTCTTAGCAGCTGACCCAGCAATGGATTCAATATAATCTTCCAACTTCATGTCAACCAAGAATGTTAGCCTGAAAAGGCATAACAAGTCACTTTCCTGAAGGTTAGCATTAGCCATGCTGATGGAAGGCAGAGAAAGGTATTGCAGGTGATTAATGGAGAGCAGTTTAGTTTTGGAGGTGTTAAAATTAACACGACATCTTTTACTTCAGTTAACAAGGTCATTTTGGACATCAGCTGCCATTTTGAACTTATTGAACTGATTCGACTTAATATCAAGACCAGAGTAAATAGTTGTCATCTGTGTAGAGACCAAGTTGAGAACTGATGCCGTCAGGAAGGTCAGTAATGAAAATTAAAAACAAAATAGAACCAAGTATGGAGTTCTGGGGGACACCCACATTAGTATGAAAGGATCTAGACGAGTAGCCATTCAGGATAACTTTCATTTTACGATTTGATACAAAAGACTGAATTAGTTAAAAATTTGTCCAGAGACACTGTAACTCTTCACTAAGCTTGTGGAGAAGACCTGTATGTCAAATATAATAATCAAATTAAAAAACCTGAATTTATATGTTCAGATGATTTTTTTTTGTTTAATAACTGAGAAAGTTATTTTTAGGTTTTTTTGCTTTTTCTGCAAAGATTTCTGATTCTGAGTCATTGTTGTTTCCTTTTTTTTAGCAAGTCATTTATTTATTTTGATTGAATAATCATTTCTGTGAGAAAAGAGCCATGAGGAGGTTTAGATCCAGAAATCTGGGATCATATTTCAGAGGTCATAAATCTGTTTCAAAAGTTCAAAATCAGTAATGTATGGGATGCAAATCAAAAGTCAAAAATCCATATCCACAACTTGCAATGCACAATGACCTTTTTCACCAATGAAGAACCAAGAATCCTCCTGTCGTCCAAAGTAGCATTCTTTTATTATGGTATGAAAGACAGTGATTGGCTGAGGTTAGTAGGCAAGCACAAAAATTACCATATTTTGAAGTCTTACCAAAGTAGACCTGAACTTGTTTTTGATTTTATTATTTGACTAATAGCACAAATCAAATTCTTTTTCAAGGTAAGATTTGGTTTTCTTCGTTGTCATCACAATTTCATTAAAAAATCTGTTAATTCTTGCATTGAATATCTTGCCCTTACTTGCACTGACTTCTAAATTGGCTTTACGTATTTCCACTTTCATCTGAATTATTTACAATTTGAAAATTTGCAATTAATGAGCTCAGAACAAAACTGGGTCTTGTATCTTCATCAAGTTTTCATGTTTCATACCCAATACTTTATCAATTTCAGTCTTCAAGCATCATCATACAGATTTTCTCAGTTTATACCTTTTAAACACAAATAAAACATTTCATCCACTCATCTTTGTCTCTTTCTACTGATAATTAGAAAAATAATGACTTTGTGCAAAATTTTAAAAAATCTTTATTTTATTTTCAGCGAAGATGAAAAAGATGGCATTGTCTGTTTATGGAAGGGCTTTCATAGTGACATCAAAATTCAGACATTTGATGCTTTTGCTCACAAAATTATCAAGAGAATTTCTCTTGGCTTTGAGCATGGACTTTTCTTGAGCACTGAAAAAGAAGTCTTTGTAGTTGGAAGCAACAGCCATCATCAATTGGGTCTTGGCAATCTCACAGAACCTTCCATTGATTCACCTCGATTGTTAGACTATTTCACAGGTCAGTTTTTCAACTGTTTCTATTTTCTCAATCAATTTTTTAGGCTTAGGCTAGCAAAGTTTCAGTTAAAAATTTTAGTGATATCTTGTTTATCCATAATGACAAAAGCTTTCTACTTTTAATCTACAGTATAATCTCTCAGTATTTGTAAGTGCCTCTTTGATTTCTTTGTTACCATCTGCTGTTATTGTATGCATTAAATTATTTTAGTGCTTATCTTATCATATTAATAGTACTTTAATCAACTGTTAAAGTTTATAAATCATTATTTGAAATGCCCTACATGTACAAAACAATAACTTTTAAAAGTGAATTTTGTTGATATTGATTGATAAAATATTCTAGAATCCTTATTCTTAATATAGGAATAACTTTTAAATGTGATAAAATATTTTCTGCCATGAAGATAAATTAAAATGTTTTTTTGCAGACTTTTTACTACTTCAATTTCAAATAGATCTTCAGATGGCATGATACAGTTAGGAAATAATATTGACTATGAAATTAATTGTACAGTCATTGTGTGTTTTGTTTGCAATCTAATTGATTGGATTATTGATTTCATTGTATTAAGGCCCAAGTGTACAGTTATGAAAATGACATGATCAAGAAAAAAGAATGTTTGATAAAAAAGAATTACAAAGAGTAGGACATCTTGTTTAAGAGATATTTCATGTAAAGAACATTGATCTCAATTCTTATTTAGTTTTGTTGTCACTACAACATTTCAGCCTTCTTCAGGTGTACAATTTACATGGCAAGAGGTGTTTCTATTTTCCATGTAGTATTCAAACAAAATGTGTGTGTGGTGCTTATCAGCATGCCATGTTCAAAGTATGTTGCATTCCCTTTTATACAAGTACCCTTGGAAAAATACAAATCTATCTTCTCTTACCCTAGCTATGAGTTAAATAGTAGAGTAGACTGGGCTTTCTAGCCTTGCTTGCCAACTAGTTTAGGAGACAGCTCTGAATTTAAAACCAATAGGACATAGGGTTTGAAATTACATCCTGTAAAAAACCTATTTGCTATGGCAATAACAGCAGCAGCAACACCTAACATGGTGGGGCTGTAGCCTTATAGTCTGTGGGGGATTTAACGGAAGTAAAAGAGATTCAAACAAAATTACAGAATATCTACCAAATAGTACTGAGATGCCTTAAAAAAAAAACATACAAAGAAACATAAAGAATTAGGAAAATCTTTATTTTTTTTTCTTTTTAACATTTTATGTTCACTATCCCAATATACCTTTGCATTTTTGTGTCACACCTTCTGTCCTCTGTTTAAAAACTTCTCAGATATTTAAATTGTTGCTTGATTTTGGTATCTCCACTTTGAAATTGTGTACTAGAATTAAAAATCATTAATTTTGAAAAATTTAGCTATATGATTGAAATAAAAAATATATAAATTTTCTATAGAATTCTATATGCAATAAGACATTTTCAAAAATGTTAAAAACAGTCAAGGCACTCCTTGAAATATTTATCAAGTGAAACTAGTGTAGCCATTATAATAATTACCATATCTTTAGTGAAAGTCCTAATTGTAACTCATAAAAAATCTGTGTTAAGCAGACAAAAGATAGGTTAGTAGGATTATGAGCTAATGTTAAAAATTATGACGTGGAACTGAAAATTCATCAGAACATCAGACCAATAATTTTTTGGCTCCCCATATTACCATTTTAGAAAGTTTATATTATCAAATTATAATGTGACTAAAGTATGGTATTTATCCTTAATTTTAACTTTGTTATAGGCTTTACTTTTTGGGATTAAAAAGAAGTCTTTTCATATCATTCAAATAGATAATCAACAGTCATTTTCTCAATAAGCCAGATGACTAAACTCCTCCGCTATTTTAGCAAAGTGAGAGATACAAATTTGTAATAATACTAGACTGATTTTTTTGTATATTTGCTTAAAATTATTTCTTGTATTTATGTATTGGAAATATGTAATATTGAGTCATAATTAATTTCTGGTTTTGTTTATCAACTTTATTCCTCAAAATATTACAACTGCTTCCCAAAAACAGAAATTACTTATTATATCCTACTTTTTAAAATGACATATTTAACATTTTTTCTGCATTTGAAATTTGTTTTATATAAATTTCTAAATTCTGTTGCCTTTATAATTTTCATGTTTCTTTTTTTTTTTTCTTAGGCAAAGAAATCCTAGAAATTTCTTGTGGCAAAGCATACAGTGCAGTTATCTCTGCTTCTGGAGATGCTTACATGTGGGGTGATTCTGGTAGTGGGCAGTGTGGAGTTGGGCGCAAAGAAGATGTCCTCACCCCTGAGTTAGTGTCATTCTCTATTCAGGAAGATAAATGCAAACATGGGGTACCTTTACCAGAGGAAAAAATACACGTTCGAAAAGTGGCTTGTGGCCACACACACACATTGGCAATTACAAATCGAGGAGAATTGTGGGCATGGGGCAGTGGTATGGGGCTAGGATTGGGAGACAAAAAGGAAGCACTGGTACCAGAGAGAGTCCAAGAACTGTCTGATTCAAATGTTCTTGATATCGCTTGTGGAATGGCACACAGCTTGGCCTTAGTTGAAAAACACGGACATGTGACTACGCCAAGGAAATCTATTTCAGATATGAAGTATCACAAATATTACCCACCGACATGTGCCAAATGCAATCAGGAGATTTACAGTTATATTGAGACAAATGATCTGTGTATCATCAGTGATGAGCACACTTGCACAAAGAAGGTTGAAAAGAAGTCTACACCAAAAGCCAATGAGGATGCTAAAAGTGAACAGACCTCAAGTGTAACATCAAGTCCTTTAAAAAGTGAACAGATGTCTAGTGTTACTTCAAGCCCCTTAAAAAGTGAGCAGGTGTCTAGTGTTGCTTCAAGCCCCTTAAAAAGTGATCAGGTGTCTAGTGTTGCTTCGAGCCCCTTAAAAAGTGAGCAGGTGTCTAGTGTTGCTTCGAGCCCCTTAAAAGTGAGCCCTAATGTTGCTTGAAAAAAGTGAGCAGGTGTCTAGTGTTGCTTCGAGCCCCTTAAAAAGTGAGCAGGTGACTAATGTTGCTTCGAGCCCCTTAAAAAGTGAGCAGGTGTCTAGTGTTGCTTCGAGCCCCTTAAAAAGTGAGCAGGTGTCTAGTGTTGCTTCGAGCCCCTTAAAAAGTGAACAGATGTCTAGTGTTGCTTTGCACCCCTCAAAAAGTGAGCAGGTGTCTAATGTTGCTTCGAGCCCCTTAAAAAGTGGGCCAGTCTCCAGTACAATTTCAAATTCCTTAAAAACAGAGCAAACATCTAGCAAGACTTCTAGTCTTGTTCAAAGTGATCAAGTTTCAACTGTCACTTCAAATTCATTAAAAAGTGATCTATTATCAAATGTAGCTTCCAGTCCATTAACAAGTGAAATAGTGACAAGTGTAACTTCAAGTTCTGTTGAAAGTCAGCAAACCTCAAATAAAGCTTGTAGCCCATCAAAAAAGGAGCAAGTGTTGAGTGTAAGTTCCTTTAAAAACCAAGAGACAAGTAGCAATGTTTCAAGTACTCCCCAGAATAATTCAGTATCAAACAAAGCTTCAAGTCACTCAAAAAATGAGGAGACATCTTGCAAAGTTTCTAGCCCATCAAAAAAGGAACAAGTGCCAAGTGTAGCTTCAAATTCCATAAAAAATGAGAAAAAACTGATCAACTCTTCAAGCCTATCAGAAAATGAGCAAACACCAGATGCAATTCCAAGCCCCTCAAAAGAAACGGTTAATATTTCTCATAACCATAGTAAAACGCTGCCCTCAAAGCCTACACAACTTTCAAAGGAAAATTTGGATATTTCTAAAGACTCTTCTCCATTGAAAGAAGAATCACCTAAAACATCCTCACCTAGCCCAAAAAAAGCAGTAAAAAAGAATGAAACGAGTCCTTCAGTTCCAGATTCTCCTTCTGCCTCTTGTATCAAGGAATCCCCAGTTGCTGCAACTGATTTGAACCAATCAGCAACACTCTCTCCGAGTCCAACAATTACAAGATTATCAGACAATCAAACTGACAGTATTTCTCTAAAAGATGAAGGTGATAGTATCAGTCAAGACCAGTCTTACAGCCAAAGTTCCCACATGTCAACCTCATCCACTACTGAAGACATTGTGCAAAAAAATAAATCTCACATACTTGATGAGGAAGAAGCACGTGAATATCTGGCCAAACAAATGAATGACCAAGATGCTAATGGAGGGGACGCTAGCTGTCAGCACCCTATTAAAACAAGACTTGAAAACCTGTTTACTTCTGTTCCCGAGACATCAGTTGCTGTTGTACAACAAGTCACCGATCTTACCAACCGTGCTATCAGTACTTTTCGGTCATCAGTCGGTAGCATGGCTGATTCATTTGGCTTTGTGTCAGGTCAACATATTGATCTAGATGGACTGTCCAAATCAAGCAGCCTGGACTCTAACCTTCACTCAGATACCGACTCACCTAGTATGTCACGTCGAGACTCTGTGTTTACATATGACTCTCCTTTGTCAGAGGATATGTGGAGAAGGCGTTCTGGCAGTAATGATGATGCCCTGAGTGACCGAACTGATTCTCATTCTTCCCTCAGAGCCTTGTGGAGGCGTTCCAAAAAGCTTGAGAAAGAACGGCAGTCACACAAAAAAGATGACAAAAGTAAGTTTACTTTGATAAATTTTTTTTCTATGCAAAATTATGAAATAATTACCATAAATTGTGGTGTACAAGTCAACTTCAAGATTTTTAGCTCAGAATTCTGAGTTAGCTCTATACCTACTGTATAGGTCATCCCCAAACATATATTAGGCTTCCAGTGGCCTACCTGTAAATGAAGTTGTGCCAAAATTACATATGGTCACACCACCTACCTGTATATTGAGACACTAACTGTAATATCTTTCTACATGTATTGTATAGCAAACAATAGCATTAATAGGATACTAAATTTGTATTAGTATTTTATTATTTTATATTAATTTTTTTGTTAATATGCCAAATATGTTCATCAACCATGAGTTTTAGTGGGATATATTTGTGGCAGCGGTTAGGTTGGTGAAATAGAAAATAACCTCTTTAAAGAATTATGTGCCTGAGCAAAACAAAAAATAGCTTTATCTATTCTTTGCAATTTCTATCTTAAGGAAGGCAGAGGAAAAATATTTAAAAAAAAAACCTAATAGGCTTTCTACTACTGAGTGCGATGGATAAACGGTCATCTAAATTACGCAAAAATGAAAATAACATTGACATCTCATTTTAAAAGATATATTTACCAAAATTACACAAAAATATCTTGAAATACTAAAGAGTAGATTTATTCAATAAAAATCATCATTGGCTTCAACCACAGCCTCCAGACGACCTTGGAATCTCCTGCAACACTTCTCCTTATTTAAGTTGGTGAATGCTGCCATAATCCTTGCCTTCAGTTCATTTTTGGTGTTACAAGGAGTTTTATTTGTCTCTCACTCAACTGTGCCCCACACAATAATCAAGGGGTTGCAGTCTGGGAATTAAGGTGACCAGATCTAAAGGGTGATTTGGTCACAGAAATTGTCTGACTGCCATGACTGGGTTCTCCTGCTTGTGTGGCATGGTGCAGAGTCCTGTTGCCAGACATAAGCTCTTCTAGCAACCACCTTCTTGATCCAGGGAAGCACTACCTCCTTAAGGCACTTGATGTAGGCCTCCAGTTTGAGTCTGAGGCCCTCGCCAACAAATTTGGGAGTTCTTTTCTTATTCTTTACGAATCCTCTACACTGTCCTCAGATTGACACCCAAATACTCTGAAATAGAGCTTCTGGCACAAATGCTAAGCAGTACAGCATGCTGTTTTCAAATTTCTGGCAGAGGGAATTGTGCCATGGTGCTTTTTTCTCACAGACGGTGCCCAACTGACCTCACAATACTGTGCAGTCAACAAAATAAAAAACAAACATGCATGCATGAAATTAAAAATATAAAATAGCAACAATTTACCCATCTCACCCTATATTATGTCAATGTTATTTCTAACCCATCTAAATCAAACATTCTCCTCTTTTTTAAATTCTGATGCCCTGCAGCCTGTAATGTCACAAGAGATACATAATAAAGTCTAGATTTTTCTGAAAGTTAAATCTTTAAGGATTTCACTTTCAGTTTGCTTCTATTGTGTGATTTTGAATAATCTTTTCTCAATTTTTTTTACTGTCACTAAAATGCAATAACATTATGTTAGGACAATAGTAACCAACTTTATCCTATTCATCATCAATGCCACACCATGTATTTCAAGTAAAAAAAATATCTGACCATTTCCTTGTGCTATGCAGTTTGTGCCCATGGTGATACAATTTAAATACAAATGAAAACTGCTATTTTTGCAGATGTTTTGTGTTGCATTCTGTGTCATCTCTGGGTCCCAATGCTACTGCATAGATAGTATTAATAAAAAGGACAATTTCTTTTTCTTACTCATTTTTATTAGAAGAGAGATGGACAGATGTGACAGCCGGAGGAATGACATCACTCATGGGAATGCATGTCGCTCGTTTGTTTAGCTTCCCTCTGTGTGTGATCTTAGCCCATCTCTTGCAACCTTCTGTTGAATTTGCACTGTTTTGGACTTATATCCAAAACCCAGACAAAAGCAATCTATCACTGTCAGAGTAACATGTCCACAAGGTATTCTAACCATCCTCTATCTGTCCTTCACATTCTGTAACCTTTGTTTTAGGAGAATCTTTATTTTATTTTTTTTTTTTTTTTAATTTTTGATATTTTTAAACTTTTGTTATACAGTATAAAAATAAGCCATATCAACCAAGAAAGAAAATTTCTTGCCTCTTAATATTTTTTTAAAAATATTTTATTATTTTTACGTTTGCTTTAATAATTTTGATGTGTCTTAAAATTATCTCACTTTCAAATAATAATTTCTCAAGAACTTGTGAAATCAACAAAAATACCTATTAATTTTTAATATAATATGTATTTAAAAACTGTACTGGATTTTAAGTATTTTTTCATATGATTTTACAATACTGAACTACTAAAAAAAACAATCTTTGTTGCATATTGCTTTAAATATGAAAATTATAGATTTTATTTATTTTTTCTCTTTGTTATTGTACTAAATACTTTTCATATCAGATATTGAATAAGATCATATGAAATGAATAAAAATGCATTTTTGGTATTTGCAAATGTAATTGTCAAGTTTGTTGTTTCTGCAGCCCATGAAAACTGACCTGAAATGAATCCCAATCTAACAAATATTACAAGAATTTAAGAACGTACTGACCTCAAAAGAACTTTTAAGAAAAGTATTAAGAAGTCAATTTTAAAACAAATGTTTTTTTTTCTGTAATAGGCAGGCAAATTGATTAAAATGATTAAGTTTTTTCATTGAACAAGTAGGAATTTTTTTTAAGCATTCACCAATTTTATGAATGAAACATTGTGGACAGTTGCATAGGTTTTTTAGGATAGCACATAAGTGGCTTAGTTTTATATAAGACAGTATTGTGGGCAGAAGAAAGAAATGTTTCTGTTGACATTGACGACTTTGAAATCTTTTTTTTCTTTTGTCACTAATAGTTTTCTTATCAAGAGCCAAGTTGTTAATTTGCTTTTGTTTATGTCCTAGTAACCAATTGGAATATTCAGTAAACTGACCATCATTAATTAAAATCATTATTGTGATTTTGTCATTATAGCCTACCAACTAATAGGGAGATTTTTCCTATCTGATTACCATAAAATATTGGGAAAAACATCTGCATGTGATAAGTTTTTGCTTTTATAATTGATAGTCTTAAAATACTTGCAATTTAAACAGGACACTTTTTCTTTTATATAATCTGATTCATTATGAAAATAGATTTATAAAATTGCTAGAAATTCAGTTACCATATATTCAAAGTGCAAATGAAAGTGACCTTCTTTATAACTCATCATTTTAACAGGTATTTAATTATTTTCTTTTTCAAGTTAGTCTAATGTAACAAGTAAAGAAAAGTGACATATAACTCCTGCAGTCATAGGCTAATAGTATAATATCCAATATTACCTGATCTTTGTGATGATCAAATTTGAAAGTAACTGCAAATTTCTGTTTGGAAATTGTTACTACATATCTGCTTAGTCAGAATATTTTACAAGCATTAATTTCTGTAGTAACTAATATTATTACTCATAATTCACATATTTCAGAGTCTATGTAAGGTATTCATTAAATGGTTCTTAAATAAGAAATTGATCTGTCTGTGATGGTCTGGTGCAGCCAATCTTTTGTTCCAGTCACTAAATGTAACACTACATGCTGTCTTTCTATGGTAACTTCAAGTTCAAAAATCTGTGGTCAACCAGTTTTTGTGGACAATGATCCAGCAATGTCCTTGTGACAAATTACCTGAAGCTAAATGAGTACAATATTTTGTGTGCTTTTTATGTGGATAACCATTTGTAACATGAAATTTGTGCAAGTACATTCCTAATAATACCATCAGCTGAATTCAGTGTGTATTTAAGAACTCCCCAGTCCTAGTGAGAAAAGCTTGCAATTGGCTATGATCTATGGGGGACCATACATTTCACCATTTACAATACTGGAGTGAGTGAGTGAGTTTTCTTTCCTTAGTGACAACCCCATTTTGAAGTCTCTCTCTGTATTTGCGCCACAGAATTGACCTACTGTATCTTTGATTTTCTTTGGTTCAATTTCTTTTAAGAAATTTATTTTTTAACAAAATCACTTTATTCTGTGTCAACAAAAAGGAGAAATTAAATGTTACTGATGTTCATTTCCATATGTTAATTTCTTCAAACACAGACTGCTCTTTTTCTCTATATATTGTACACATTTTTCAAACTTTTCAAGTTTTCCCAAGGCTTATATATGACATACTGCATGAGTGATTGCATAAATAATAAAGAGCAAAGTTTTGTTCATATTAAGTTTTATGATGACCTGCTTTTGAAGTCTCCTTTCATGAAAAGGCATGAAACCAAAAGGTAAAAATTTATTCTAATAATTTTACATAATCATTACTATATTAAAGAATAGAATGGCATTATTAGATATTTTCTTTTATTCATTTTTGGCATTTTCCCATGAACTATTTTTCATTGAGAATTGCTGCCAAGTTTTCTCAGCTATTATTGTCAATGACTACAAGGTTCAATGTAGAAGGGAAAGGAATTTCTGGTAAATAGAAGAAGCAAGTTAGAATCAATGGTACACACAAGTAGAGGTAAACCGTTGGTGAAGTTTAATACAAAATATTATTTTCAAGATTATACAAGATAAATTTGTGTTCATGTTGAAATATATGACTGGAAAATAATTGTTATGAAAAACGAAATACTGATCAAAAGACAGAAAAGAAAGCCTTTGTTTAACTATTTTAGCTATTTCATTGCTAGCCAAGTTGTAGCTATATCTTATAAAAAAAATCTTACATGCAGTAAATTTGACTTTCCTGAGAATGTGATCCAATTGTTTAATCTCTTTTTTTACAACTGAGCAAATAGCAAGCAAAAAGTAGTAATTGGATAAGTTATAACTAATGAGAAAGTATTCAATGGGGTTGGTGTGTCTAATATAAAAGTCATATTATCCATAATAACATTATGTGAATATATTCTCTTTGGATGTCCTAATTGACTAAGTTATTGTGTTTCAGGTTCAACTAGCTCACCTCATTTAGAACCATTGCCTTATTTTGAGACTGAAGTTTGGTCTTGGGGTAAGAACAGCAAAGGACAACTGGGACTTGGAGATACAATTGATCGGTAAATCATCACTTTATTGATTGTGAATCAGCTAATAAGCTTTGATTATAAATCATATTTGCTTTCACTTTCTTTCTCTTTCTTTGTTTTCTTTTATTTTTTTATTAATTTTTCTTCTTAAAAATTATCAAAATATCAAAAGTATTTATGAAAGAGACTATTCAAACAAAAGAAAGTACTGCAGATGGTTTAAAGTTTTTAAAAAGTGACTTTAGCTTAAGAGATGTGCCATGAAAACAAATTGTTCTGTTGAGTTTTATGATGACCTGCTTTTGTCATAACCGAATGGAAATATTACTGTTATAATGAAAGAATTTAAAAGCTGAATTCAAGCTGCTCACCATCATCATTAGCAACAACTTGAAAAAGTGTCTCAGTTTGATCAGTCACAAAAGTTTATAATACACAACTCCATATAGCAAAAATTATATGTGAAAAGATAGGAGACCTTGACTGGTGAAAAAAAAAAAAAGAAAAAGTTTCATATCCTTTTTATTCTTCTGATCTTGCATCATCTGATTATTGCCTATTCTAGAATTTACAAAACCATTTTCATGGATTAGTTGTTAAAATGCATGAAGAATTAGAAAGTATAATCTTATCCTTTTCCTTCAAACTAAAATACCTTTACAGAAATGATATTATGAAGCTTGTAAATTGCTAGACAGAGGATAATTATGGAACCTTTTGTTAATGAATAAATTTTAATTAAATATGATTTTTGTTTTTCTGATCCTGAATTCAGTCATTATGTTATATACCGTACCTATGAACACTAATGGATATGTCCCAATCCTCATAAATAAGTTGGACACTATTGTAAGTGGGAATAATATGCTGTCTAAGTAGTCCACCACTAGCAGTTGTTTACCTACTCCACGCTACTGACGAGTATTGTATTTTGTTGATGTTATAAAGATTACCATTTCATTTCCAACGTCTGTTTTGGTTATTCCTCATTCAGTAACCCTTTCTAGGTTACAACACATTATTTATGAGATAACTTGATATTTTCACACTGTCCTCATTGTTAAGTTCTATTCTATGGACAATATTTGTTACCCTGCATAGAGATTGAACTTATAGCCTCATGGTTATAAAAACTAATGTTTTGTTGGATTAATCTGTCTCCTCTCTTGATTGAGATGAGTTCAGCTGAAGTAGTTCAATTTGTTAATTGTTTTTCTCTAGATAGGGTAGACACTTTCAGTTTCCTGGTGAATTCTTATTAGAGTAATTCAGGACTGAACAGACTTTCTACTGTCTGGATAATATCCCTAAAATAATTTAACACTCATGATTAATTTATCATTGTTTACACAATTCTTATAATTTTTGAGATGTAAAATTAAGAAAATTTATTACAAATATCATGATATTTTTCTTTAACCTCAACAAGGTTTTCTTTTAAAATGCTACTTTGCTTTGTTTCCTCATGAATATTTGAATTTATTTCCTTTATTTTCAGTGATAAACCTTGCTGTATTAGAATTTTGAACTCCAAGAACAGCACTAAAATTATTGCTGGACCTCAGCATTGCCTGGCACTTACAGCATATTCCCAGGTATCAATGTATTTTTAAATGTTTGATTTCTTTTTTTACTTTATTGATGTACAGGTTTTTAAAATTGACCATTAAAATGATTTGATACTTGTCATTTGATTTATCATCATAACAACAATCCTGAAAAACAAGTTTAACTGCTTCACCCCACAATTTTAAACTGTCCTCAAATCAAAATAGCACCTGTTGGGACAAAGAGTTAATCCGCCAAACTACCATCAAAACACTATGAAAGTATAAAAATACATTTTTGTAGTGAAAATACCAACAATACATTTTAAAAGAAATTGTTAATGCTCCCAAGAAAATTAAATTTTGGCATTAAATTGATATGCCATTAAACCAGTGTTTCCTAAAGTGGGTGATAGCACCCCTTTGTGGATTCTCTTATGTAGAAAGAGGGCACTGGGATTTTTTTTTTCATTTGGACGGGTGGTGGGGGTGAACATACTCAGGTGGCAGTGGGCTTGTATCCATTTTTTTCAGATTTTCAAAAATTATTCAATATTGGCTACAAAAGGAAATTTCTGAAAGTGCTGTGGAAAGCTATCAAACTTTTCTTTATTGCTTTTTCAACCTCCTATATGGCTGAATGTGGTTTCAATGCAGTTACACAGCTTCTTACTAAACAAAGAAACTGCCTGCAGATTACAAAACAAGATGATTTATGATTACTTTCAAGAAGCATGGAACCTAGAATAAGAGCCTTAATCAGTAAGCACCAAAGTCAACCATCGCATTGAAAACATTGAGATAAGCTATCAAATAAAAGTTTTCTTTTTTAGGATTTTAAACATTATCATTTATAATAGAAACAAAAACAGTATTAACATTATTTTGCACTAATAACTATGTAATGAATAACCCGAAGCGAATAAACTTAGAAAAGCTTTATTCAACTTAATACAGCTACAAAAAGAAAAGAATTAAGCCGGCTTATTTATAAGCATTTCTGGAGTCTGTCCATTACACCAAACAGGGGGAGCAGGTTGTGGGAATTACTTACAACATTCTCCCCCACCGGCTAGTTATTCGTACAGAATAAAGTCTTTCAAATGACCTGGCATTTTGTGGGTCCTTTGGGAACATCTTAATTGTTCTGGTGGCCGTCTACGTCAGCCGACAAGTTATAGTTATCGTGATTAACGCATTTCTGCGTAGAGGGTCTAGCCTTGAAACGGCACTGTTTTTTTTTATGTTTCGGTTGCTGGGTGTCTGAAAAATAAGTGTCAGTCTCCGATGTAGGGTGAGTCCGTTTTTGTGGTATTGGTCTTTCTTCAGAATCAGATGTAGAAGAAGGTTCATAAGGATAATTGGATTCATTTGGTAGAGTATCTGAACTAGATGTACGCGGGATTTGATCGCCTAGCTTAACTGGGCTGGTTCTGAAAACTGGATATTCGTGATTCTCCATCGCAGTAGCCTCTTCAGATATATTTCCAGCCGGCGCGAGATCTCTTAAGGAGACTGTTGATTGTCTTCCTTTTGCAGTTTCAATCTGGGCGTATTGGGGGTTCGCCTCAATTAGTTTCATTTTGCTGACTAAGGGGTCATGTTTACTACGACGAACATGGTGTTTCAGTAAAACGATTCCAAGTTGAGCAAGCCATGAAGGGAGGGAAGTGCCTATTGAGCTTCGTCATTGGAATGGAAGAAACCTCTCATGTAGAGTAGCGTTTGTAGATGTACACAGTAGGGTCCTGATAGCGTTTAGAGCCTCAGGGATGACACTTTCCCATTTTGAGATCGGCATTTTCCGGTTTGCCAATGCCAACTATACTGTCTTCCATATTATTCCATTATATCTTTCACAGAGCCCGTTCCCTTGAAGGTTGTAAGGGGATGTTCGGCTTACCGCCACTCTTCGTTCATGCAAAAAATTCTTGAGATCTTCCGACATAAAGGCAGATCCCCGATCTGTATGAATATATGCAGGCACTCTGAAAATTGCGAAAAGGGAGCAGAGGCCTTGAATAACTGTAATGGCCGTTACATCAGGGCATGGAATGACGAAAGGGGAACCTTGAGTACTCATCAATTACAGTAAGCATGTATTTATTTTGTGTTTTAGAAGGTAATGCACCCTTGAAATCCAGATTAAGCCTTTCGAAAGGCTGAGTGGCCTTCACGAGTGTTGCTTGAGGGGACTTATAGAATCTTGGCTTAATTTCTGCACATATTTGGCAGGAGTTGGTAATTCTTTTTACATCTTCAACTGAATATGGTAAATTCCTGCTCCAGAGTACATGTGTCATTCTTGTGATGCCCGGGTGGCACAATTCTCGGTGTATGCTCTAAAGATCAGATGAGCTTGTTGTTAGACCACACACCCTTGAAAGTGCGTCAACTGCAGCATTCTCCTTTCCAGGGCGATAGGAGACGTCGAATGAATAACGAGAGTTCCATCCGCCATCTTGCAATTTTTTCATTTTTTATTTTACTTGAGGTTTTCGGGTTAAACATGAATGACACCGATTTTTGGTTGGTGATAAGGTGGAATTGTCTACCGATCAGATAATGCTTCCATTTTCGTAAAGCTTCAACTATGGCGTATGCTTCTTTTTCTATGGCAGTATGCCTTCGTTCAGACTTTGAGAGTGTCCTAGAGAAAAAAGCTACAGGCCGACCATGTTGTCTTAAGGAGGCAGCTATTGCCGAATCAGATGCATCGGTTTCAACTACTAGTGGAGCTGAAGGATTAATGACAGCAATGGCAGAATTAGCAATATCCCTTTTTAAATTTTGAAATGCTCTAATGGCTGAATCAGATAATGGAAATGTTCTTACTTGAGTAAGTAAATGTATTTTTTCAGAAAAGGACGCAACCCATTGAGAATAATGGGCAAACATGCCAAGGGCTTGTCGTAATGCAGCTATATTTCCAAGAATTGGTAATTCCATTAGGGGTTTAAGTCGCTCGGGGTCAGGTCTCATGACACCATTCCTGACTATATGTACCCTAGTAGCTTGATGCTTTTCAAATTATATGAACACTTTTCCTCATTAAGGGTCAGGTCATATTTATTTACGGCGACCATGAATCGTTTGAGGTTGTGGTTATGATCTTCCTCGTTATAACCGCAAATAGTAACATTGTCTATGTATGCCACAGTACCCTTCAATTTCTCATTAGAAATGATTTTGTCTATTACCCTTTGAAAACTTGCGACCCCATTTGTAACTCCAAAAGGGATCCTAACTCCTAAGGTCCAACGTGCTGAAAATACGATACTTAGTGATATCGGAAACCATTTTGTCAATACGGGGCAGCGGATACGCATCAAGTTGCATATATCTGTTGATGGTTTGGGAATAATCAACAACCATCCTCTTTTTATGGTTTTCATTAGTCGTTATTAGGACTTGGGCTCTCCATGGCAATTTGCTGGGCTCTATAATATTTTCCTTAAGAAGTCTCTTCACTTCCATTGCAATAAATTCCTTGTGTTTGAGCGAATAGCATCTAGATTTTATGGCTATAAGTTTGCAATCAGAGGTTAGATTTGAGAAGAGAGATGGATACTGGACTTTTGCAGTTGCTAATCCACATATTTGCAGCGCTGGTTTGATACCACCGAACGGAATTGTAAGGTGAGAATGTCGGTTAAGGAAATTGTGCAATAGAACTACTTCACGGCAGAGGTTCCTCATTACCAACAACTTGATTTTAGAATAGAAATTTTCTTTTAGCTCGAGGTTAACCATGCAGAATCTGATTACATGGCAGGATAAGGACGAAGTGGCCATCGATAGAACAGGAAAAGGTTTTCCATTTGTTTGTTTCCACGATATGTGCATCGATAAAATTTTCAGAACTCCCCGTATCAATAAGAGCGTGGAGATTTAGTCCGTTCACTCTGGCCGGCACAATTGTTTTAGAGAGTTATTTGGGAGAGACAGTCGATACGATAGATAGAGATAGGGTGGCGGCTAAACGGGTTTTCTGTAAAGGGGCCGACCGACAAACCTTTAAATCATCTAATCCTGACTTTTGTCCCTGCTTGCCACATCCATGACATCTACTGTTTCGAGCCGGGCAGGATGAACGAGCGTGTTTATGAAGGCTGCAGAAGTAGCACTTAATCTCAGCTGAAGCGATAGTAACGGGCTGTTCAATAGTATTTGAAGAATCCTTATCCTGGAGGTCACAATGTTGTGAATTTGAGCTGGGAATTTGTTGAGAATGAGAATGGGCAGGAATAGTAGCCCCTGAAAAATCAGGTTGCAAATAGAAATCTGATTGTTTCTGGGCCATGTCCAACGTAAGGACTAGTTCATAGGCGATAGCCAGATCTAAATCCTTGTTTTCGAACATCCTTTGTCTGATTTGGTTAGACCGTACTTATTAAAGTAAAATTACAATTAGATCCTAATGGCTTACACATTTAATAATACTAATAAGTCTTTAATTCTTTCAACTTTAATTTTTCATTCAGGATTCATTTGCCTGTTTAAAAACGAGTACTTAAATTTTGTTTATTTTATTTTATTCATTTATGTTGCATGAGTTTTACAATTATTGGTGAGCAATAAGATTTTTTTTTAATTTTAAGAAATTAGTTGCTTTTAGAATAAATATAAGAGTTTTAATTAAAAGATTTTGTTTCATCTTGGCATAATTTCAAACTAATGTCCTGTTTCCCCAGGAAAAACGGATGATGCTAATATTGAGCCCTGGTTTTCTGGGAGCTGTACTGAAGGAAAACTGAAATGAAGATGAAAGAAATACTAGTCAGTCAATTAATAATAATTGTCAAGGCTTTATTCAAGAAATTAAAAAAAAAATTAGTTCTGTGCACCGTATTGTAACTTTAGCAGAACTGAATGTGTCTTGGGCAAATAATCTGACAAAGTCCACCCCTTTTCAGAGGGTTTTAAAATTCAGAATTATCCTCCTAAACTGGTTACTCTATCAAAATTAAATAGTGCAGGATACTCTTTTATTTACAACTGTTTGAATTGAAAGTTTTCCTTTTCCTTGCTACTATTCAAAGCAAGAGAGCAGAGTCTGCTCTGTTATTTAATCCTTAGCTGGAGGAAGATGAATTAATACCTTTCCCAAGAGCATTAGTGCAAAGTGAACAAAACAGACTGTTTAGAATTTGAATCTGACATTGATGATTCTACTTTTCATCCCAATAACTATTATATAGTATTCACATTCTTCTTTTGTCTACCATAATTAAACTTTTTCAATTAGTTTTTGTTGATTTTAAAAAATCATTTATTAATTAATAATTTTGTTTTTAGGTTTATTCTTGGGGTTCCAATTCACATGGTCAGCTTGGATATTCTGAATCTTCCACTGTTCCTAGTCCTGTCAAGGTAAATATAAAGTCAATCTTCCATTTCTGTATTGTTCTGTTTAAATTTAGTTTCAGGTAGGATGAGGAACTAGCACAGATGATCTGTTACTAGTCTGTCACAGCATCAGCTATCATTATTATACATATTCTATTAGCCACTATGAAATTGTGACAATAATAATCTAATTGAATACCACATTGTCTGTCATATAGGTTACCAAGGGACATGTCCCTCAGTGACACACCAAGCCAAGGTTGAAAATCTGCTACTGGTAAGGAAAGGTTTAATCAGCCACCTTTACCTATTAACAACATTTTAAATGATTATTCAAATAAAAAATAAGTTAAATTAAAGCCTAGTCAGGATTAGATGATTTCAGGGTGCAATTAGTAAATACTAAACACTTCAGATGTCTTGTAGTATAGATCTGTTACAAAAAATTCAGTATAAGAATTAAGGAAATTGAATATAGAATAGGCTGCACTTGTGGTAGTTTTGCCTAACACCACAAATTGCTACAAAACCAAAACATAACGTAAAATCCTGAACCGTGTTCTTAAATAGTCTCATTGGATCAAAACTTTCATATGGCACCAAAATCGTTTAGAAATATCTAAATTGCATACAGCCACTTTCTCAGATTAATGGTTAAAAATGGCTTTGAGTGAGTGAATACTGTAGGTTTTAGTAAAGACCATCCTTCTTTGAAACTTGTGGACTGGTGTGACAGAAGCACAAAGAACTGTACCAAATAACAGAAATCACATCACTTGATGAACTTCAATATTAAGATGGATATTACATGTAACTTGAAGATAAAATATAATAATGAAGTTGTTGACAATCCACACTACTTCAAGCATAAGGTTAGGAAGGAAATTCCCATTAATACTGGAAAGAGTGTTAACAGGTAGTGAACTTGAGAAACCTATTTTCCTGAAAAATTGTATTAAAATAGGTTTAATAAATTTCAACTGAAATTAAAATTGGCTGCTTGGTCAATGAATGCTGAATGTTTCCTTATAAAGAAACTGCTAATATTGCCATTACCTCTGATCAAAAGTTTGGGCTACTTTCTGGATTTTGAAGAATCGCCTAAAATCTGTGAAGAGTTTTATCATATATTCATCATCATCATCATTAACAACAACAATAATAACTCATTACAGCATAATGTTTCCTTAAAATTTTGGCACCTTTTGCCTAATCTACCTTTCCAGCTAAAGGCAGATTTCCTTGGGTTGGCAGATTTTTAATTTTCAATAAACTCTCTCTAAAAATTGGACACCAAGCACTGGTGGATTAATTAGTTTCAACATCCTAGCTTAGTAGGAGTTAATTAAATCAAAGAAAGTATGAAACTTAATAATTATTTAAATTCAGAGGGTAGACCCCCAAACTCTTGACATGTAATGCATAATATCTTTTTCTGTCTGTAACACTTGCCTTAATTTCTTAACCATTGACAATATTTTGCTTTTTGATAAATACCAAAATTGCAAAGTTGTATGTTTTATTTATCAAATTCTTTTTCCTTATGACCAGAAATATTTGTTAGTGCAGAAAATTACTGAAATTTAAACATGATTGTGATAGTGGTCAAATCACGGGGTTGCAATAAGAGAATCCAAAACTTTATTTACTGGATCTGCCTGGCTCAAGTGGAAATTGTATGATTGTTTAATTTTTCACCTGATGCCAGAATTTGCTATGTAGTCATTAGGATAAATGAAAGTTTTTAAGATATTTGTTTAATAAACCCTACCTTTGACATTCCATAAAGTCATAGATATTTTTTTAATTAAATAAAGCTTGATATCAGGTCGTATTTATGCAGTACTTGACACAAATTTGGCAGTTGATAGATGTGTAATGAAGTGTAGGTGACCATTTAAATGATAACCCAAGACTTGAATTTTCATTGCTTAACATTTTATTCACTACATTATTTCATTACTTAACCATTGGTCAATCTGTGTCCCTCCTCCCCCATAAGTCTTACACTCGAGTCCTACATTCTCCTGTGATGTCTTAAAGAGACTTCCCAAAACAGCTCTGGAATGGTTATTTATATATCTATCTGTTCAAAATTCTTGTTCTCATGCTTTCAATGCAGGTGTGAGGTTAAGTACTTCTGCATTTGGTAGCCAGGATAACCTTAAGTCACCTTTGCACCAAGCTTTCTTTGATAGTCTGGTGTGAAATTTGAGTGAAATGTCTTTTCCAGCATAATACCATGGATGCTTTCTAACTGAGAATCCAAGTTTTATGTTCTTCATGCAGAAATTCATACTAACAAGATTAATTTTAGAATTTTAATAAATGTTTTATATTTTTCTTTTCAGTTTGTGGCTAACTGTTTGGTATGGGACATTGCTGCTGGTGAGAATCACTCATTGTTTCTTACAGACTCTGGGGGCTTTCATCCTGATGTCTATTACTCAGGCAAACATCCCAGGTAAGAATCAAATATGATCCAAGAAAGAAATCTCCTGGTAAACATGACCAACCTGAAGAAAAAGAATGACAACAGCCAAAAGTAAAAATAAAGTTAAACTTGACCCAAAACAGATTCAAAGGACAAGAAGTAATTATAACATCCTTATGAATCCTAAATCACAGCAAATAAGATAATCCAATAGAATATCAGAGGGTCTCAATGCTAAATACAATGAACTGCTTCTACTTATGAATTTTTCTTCAGTAATTATATGCTTTCAAGAGACATACCTCAAATAAAAATATAAATATAAAACATTGATGGCTGCCCACTCATATTTTAGGATACCTGTCTATTAGGGCATCTAGCTAATCCCTATTACAGACACTTGCTCAGGCACATTTTCTGTTTGTTCAACACCCACAGATCCCACCTGTGGTTTATACTGCAACTATGCTGAGTAGACCTTAGTTACAGTTTCTGAGAAAGAGCCTGTTATCTAGCGTGATCAACAATTTGAACAAGGCCAGCACAGTCAATCCCTCAGTCATGATGATTTGTGACTTAGTGCTAGCACAGCTATCGATGACCCCCAAGGTTTCCATCTACCCAATTTCATTCACAAGGCTTGGGTCAACCTGTGTATGGGTTTTCAAACACTTTCCAAAGGTGCTGCACACTGGGATCGCCTCCACTAGACTGATAAAATCAAGAAATCACCTTCCTGGTGAGAATCGAATCTGGGTCTCATGGTCAGAAAGTGAACATTCCAACTACACAGCCACATGCCCATAAAACATTACACCATCTATAATTATACTCATACTGATAGAACCTCAGGTGGCACATCCATAATAGTAAATAATAAAATACCACAGTCAGATTCCTTTAAATACAACTTACAGTCAATTTCTGTATTGGTAACCCTATGCAAAACAATATGTTCAATATACATACCACTAAATGACAAAATAACTGAATTAGAACTTGATAATGTAATTCAACAACTCCTAAATGATTTATATTAGTCGGAGATTTTAATGGACATCATGAAATGAAAAGAAACCTATGTTTCTACAATAATAAAACCCAAACATGCCTTAATCAAGCAAGTGGTTCATACTCAGCCATAGATTTAACCTTATGTGATCCTACCGTATTTATTGACAACAATTGGTGAGTACACAATAAGGTCTGTGCAAGCAACAATTTTCCTTCAAGCCCCCAAACTTGACCAAAAAGCAACACAATGAAAACTACAAAATGCAAACTCAGAAAGATTCCAAAAACAATGTCAAAACAAACTAACTCCATAATCAAATAATAACAATGAGGACTGCCTCACCTATTTTACAAAAGCATTTACATCCATAGCTGGGGAAAACATACCGAAATCTTTCACCTCAACTAAATTCAGTAAACCTTGGCTTGATAAAAATTGCAAAAATGCTACCCTCAGGAAATTCAAATTAAATCCTACAAAAGAAAACAATTTCAAAAACAGTAGAGCCAAAGTATGAAAAACTATAACAAAAGCCAAACAAACTTCATGGACAAACTATATATCTAAAATAAATATGACAATAAAACCCAAAATGGTATGCAATATGATCAAAAAGATAGTAGGGGTGGGTGAGAATTTTAGCACCACACTAAAACTTTTCAATCAAAATAACAAACCATAGATGACAAAGGTATAGCAAAAGCCCTGGCAGACAAATTTGTGTAGAATTCCTCCTCCAAAAAGTAAAATGAAAACTTTCAATGTATAAAAAAAGAGTGGGGGGGGAGTAAAGAAAAAATAAATTTCCAGTCAAAAAACAAAGAATCAACCATTTTCCATAATTAAAATAATCACTGGTCAAAATTTATTTTTAGTGAAATATGGCTCAGTGGTAACATTCTCAATTTATGGAAATGAGCCATAGTAATCACCACCCACACTTAAACACACAAACACCAAACATGACTCTCAAAATTCCAACAATGACCTATTAAATTATAAACAAATAGCATTCACCATTTCTGTTTGTAAAACAATTATAAAAATGATAAACAGGTTAATTTGGCATTTAAAATCCAATGGATTAATAATAGAATTTTATTAAGGCTTCATGTACATTTGACCATCTGCTATGATTAGAAAATTTTATAAGAGAAGCATTTATTAAAAAAGGAACCTGTGTTAGTCATCTTTTTTGACTTGGAGAAAGTATATGACAGCCTGGAAACATGGAATAATGAAAGACTTGAGTGACCTCAGATTAAAAAGTAGACTGGCAATTTTTATGCAAATTTTCTGAGAAAAACAAAATTTGAAAGTGCAAGTTGGATTTACACTTTCAGATTTAAAAGAGCAGAAAAATGGTAAACTGCAAGTAAGTATATTATCAGTCAGTCTTTTTAATATCAAAATAAATAATATAGTAAAAAGCTTTGAACCCAGAATTGATTGCTTCTTGTAGGCAGATGATTTTCTAGTATGTTATAGATTGAAACACACGCCTACTATAGAACACAAACTCCAACTCTGCCTGAATAGATTAGACAAATGGACTGAAGAGAACAGAATCATAATCTCCAAATAAGTGAATTTTTGTAACCTCTGCAAAATGCATATTGACCCTTGGCTAAAGTTAGATAATAATGACCTGTAGTCAAACAATATAAATATCTAGACATAATATTTGATAAAATTGTCTTTCATCCCACACATCAAGTATTTGAGATGAAAATGCAACAAAGCTACTCAGAACAGTAGCTCATGCAGATTGAGAAGTGGACAAAAAACAGTCAAGTAAGATCAAAACTAGATTATGGATTTTTTTTTATCTACTGATCTGCAACAAAATAATACTTAAAAGAATTAAAAACAATACATCATCAAGGTCTCAGACTAACACTGGGAGTTTTTAGTACCTCTACTGTCAAAAGTTTTTATAATGAAGCAAATGAGACCTCATATTCAGCATTAAAGCAACAAAAACTGACACTGAAATACTATATCAAACTACTTTCATGCCAATGAAAACCTATTTATGATATTGTATTTAAACCTAAAGGTAAGATTCTCCTTAATAGAAAAAAAAAAAAAGAAGCTTATAAAACATTCGGTTTACGCATGAAAGAACTTATAAATGAAGCTCAATTGCACACAATGCATACATGAAAACATCTTCTCAAAAACACGACCCGGCTTCTAACACAACCAAAAGTCATATTGGAACTTACCAAGTTCCACAAAATAAATGCCACTCCAATATCCTACCACAAGGAATGACAAATTATTCAAAATACATACCATAAATAAATATACCATCTTGTTACCCAATTGAGCACTCTAGAGAAATGGTAATTTTAAAAATGGTAGCTGCTGCTGCTATTAACCCATTTTTCAATCACAAATTGAGTCCTTTTGGCTACTGGTGTTTGTATACATCTTGTATATAATACATTAAAATTTCCCTTTCTCTGCCGAGCACTGATAGCTTAGGGATAGGATCTCTAACTGGTGCCAAATTGGTTGAGTTTCAATCCTGGTTTGAAGTAATCGGACATCTAACCACACTGATGATCTATGATACAGCGAAATAGGCTTGTATATGGTTGACATATATATATATATATATATATATATATATATATATATATATATATAATGTAAACTTACCTATAGATTTCGTGCTGGAAATCATTTCAAAGAACTAACTTAATAAAATATAAAATAATCTTTCCTGACTTTAAATGCATACTTATATTGCTACAAAACAGAAATAATAAAAAATCCCCTCCTCCTTAAACTTATAAACAAGATAAATCTTCTTTCTAAACATTAAGATACTAGCAGTAGAGCCCGGCGTTGCCCGGGGATATAACAGTAAGAGATAGATCAAGTATCCACCATCATAAAGACTGAAAAATAAAATTGACAAAGATTATTGTTTAAGGTTGACAGACACGCATGTCTTAATTAGTTTTTTTTTTTTTTTTTTTTTTTTTACGAATTGGTCAAACCCAAACTCAAACAAAAACATTGTTTTCAATCGTTATGAGTCTCCCAATTGAATAGAATTTTATTATAAATAATTGTCTTGTAAATGAAATTTTTAAAGCATTCTGAATGTTAAAAATAAAGAAAAAAGTGTGCAAGAGAATAAGAAACACTACCTGCCAAAAAAAAAAGTGAAGTTTTGTTTTATCGGCTGAAAAATATAGGAAATCCACTCCCATATTTAAAGGAATCCACACACACAAACAACCCGATGTGAGTTGTCCCCCTTCCATTTTCACGATGTCTCTTAATCGTGTTTTCAAATTGATTTTGTGCAAAAACAATTATATTTTTCCCATTTTTGGCGCTGTTAGAACCACCACAAGGTAATTTTATGTCGTCCTGTGAAGTTTTGTTGGAATCGGTTGAAAAATGTAGGAAATCCGATCCAATATATAAACGTTACAGACACACACACACACACAATCTGCGTTTTATAATAAGTAAGATAAGATTATCCTATGCTGGATCAAGTCAAGATCCAGAGCTTTGATTATGCTACTGCAAGTTTCCCAGTGATTGGGGTAGGCAGCAGTTGACTAGCTCTCACTCCTTCTTTCCAAGCATCCCTGTCAACATTCTAGAATATTCCACTTGAATAATCTGGAGTATTAAAGCAATTTAAAAGTTTTAAAACCTGAAATTTGCATTGTATGAATACTTTTTTCACCCATTAAAATGGATAAATGAGATTTATTTCTATTAAATCAATTTTTTTTTCTGTTTTCTATATATATTTAGTTATTATGTATCTGTGTACAGTTAATTATATGTAAAGTATGATTATTCATTAGTTGGAAATACATAAATTAAAAATTTGTATGTGTACAAATATTTGTTTTCCCCTACTATATATAAATTTCAGCTGAAGATTTGATATATATTTTTTATTCTTGGTAACAAATATAGAATGCATTGTGAGTTATAGAAATTAGCAGGGTGGTATTTTAAACAACTTTAGTCGCATCTAACCTGAACACTTAATAAAACAACAAAAACTCTGACAGTTTCTGTGGAAAAAAACAAATACTATCCAGATATTAATGAACAGACAATTATTATTGTTACCAAAATTATTTTTATATATAAACCTTTTAAAATGTTGAAATAGTAATATCGATGTTAAGGTATTGCTGTTCACAATTCTCTTTAGCCTCTGCTGGTTAATACGTACAAATTTTTGACTAATGGAATTTATTTTTAACTAATATTCCCCCAATACAAGGCCCAAGAGCCATTCAAGAGAGAGGGTTACTGTATAGAGTTATATTAGCATAGGAAAGGAGCAAGCGTTATAAGTATAAAGTTGAAGTAGACTTTAGAAGGAAACGAAAACTCAATCCTAAACAGAAAACAATGGATAAACTTCTACTTCTGTTTAAAAGACTGGGGAGAAGTGTGAACCAAACTATTGGCGAACCTATCTACTCTTATGCTTTATTTTGGGAAGTGGAATTCTGATTAATATAGGCATTAACCTGAAATATTATGCCATCATTTTAGAGGCCAACTTTCATGCTAGTTTGGCTTATAATATTACCATATATGGTAAATAGTTGTTCTGAATGTGCACCAAATAAAAAGATCTAAGAAAGATAATGGATTCTTATTTTGTATCTGTTGTGATAATAATAATAATAATAATAACTAGCAGGACCATGGAATTTCCATGGACTAATAGAATGTTGAGTAAACAATAAACATTTTCTATATATATATATGTATGTATAAAAATAACACATTGAAGAAAAGGTAATTAAAACTGCTACATATATAATAGAATGAGATACTTAGGCAGCAAATAGTAAAATTGTGTATATTTGTACAGGTATTTTTACAAATACATAAAATTTAACTATTAAATCTATCATTTTTTTAGTATACAATACTAATAGGCTGGGAAAATAAACAACCCAGAGAGATACTTGGGAATGTCCACCATGTGTGCAAAGATTACCAATGGCAATCAGTCTGTGGTACTCCACCATGTGTGCAAAGATTACCAATGGCAATCAGTCTGTGGTACTCCACCATGTGTGCAAAGATTACCAATGGCAATCAGTCTGTGGTACTCCACCATGTGTGCAAAGATTACCAATGGCAATCAGTCTGTGGTACTCCACTATGTGTGCCAAGATTACCAATGGCAATCAGTCTGTGCTACTCCACCATGTGTGCCAAGATTACCAATGGCAATCAGTCTGTGCTACTCCACCATGTGTGCAAAGATTACTAATGGCAATCAGTCCGTGGTACTCCACCATGTGTGCAAAGATTACCAATGGTAATCAATCCGTGGTACTCCACCATGTGTGCAAAGATTACCAATGGCAATCAATCCGTGGTACTCCACCATGTGTGCAAAGATTACCAATGGCAATCAATCCGTGGTACTCCACCATGTGTGCAAAGATTACCAATGGCAATCAGTCTGTGGTACTCCACCATGTGTGCAAATATTACCAATGGCAATCAGTCCATGGTACTCCCCACTCCCAACATAGAGCCATGCCAGTTTCTTCCAATATGAATAAAGAGAAAAATAGACCTATATATGTACAAAACTATATAATACATGAAATGTTTTTGATATAATGCCAAATTTTTTTCTTATTTTTCAGTGATAGCAAAACTACTTACAGTTCTATGATAAAGACAACTAAACCAGTTGCTTTGAACAGTTTGAGAAAGGTATGTATTGTATGAATATAGTCCATAAGCAAAAGTATATATCAGGTTTTATGAAATATGTAATGTGCATGCAGGTATTTATTTATATATAACATTGTTTATGAATGTTATTCAACTTATGTAAAGCTACTTACTTGATTAGAACTAAATTTAACTAAATTGATTCATCACCTAAAAAATAGGAATCTGTTCAGGGATGATTTAATCATCTCGATATTTTTTTTAAAAGATAGGGTCATAATTGAGTTGAGATTTAAACATTTGAATGACTTGATATAAATTGATTCTATTTCTTGATTGGCTATTTGTCACTTTTATAATTGTATGTTTTGTACCCATTAAAAAGAGGTTGCTAATCATTCATTTGAAATTAAGTGAACTGCTTATCAATTAGATGAATTTATACCAACATGTCATATTCCAAATTTTCCTGATTTTATTTTCTTCAAGTAATTTACACTGGGTGTATTTACTTTCTAAAACTGTGTTGAAGTTTTAATATATGATAATTCATAATGGAGACTGAAAATGTTAACAATTAATATGTCTCAGTAATCTTAATATTATAATTGAACATAGAAAATCATTAAGGGTTTAGTTTTCAAGGTTTATAATAAAAAGTCTTTTATTTCCTGATATCAAAGTATTTATGTATAAAAATTAGATAACTATGTGGAGCAAATATATTAACATTGAAAAATATAAAACTTCTATTAAAAGAAAGTATTTCTAAAGTTGCATTTCTTTGATATGTTAATGTATAAGTCAGTCCCACATAAAACTTAATCCCTAAAATTTTCTGATGCTAAATCAGGTTGATGTCTATAGCTTCCCAATTCCCAATAAGTTCACTTCCCGAAATACAGCAAGTCACTGGATTCAACCAACACTACTCAAGTGGATAAAAGTGTTGCTTGAATCCAGTGACTTGAGACAAAGAGTTGTGAGTTCAATACCTGGCTACAGTAGAGGTGAACAAAAACTTAGAGAGTTGAGTTAAAAGGAAGATAACTGATACTGAGATATCTGGTAAAGGTATGACATGTGGAACTAGAGCAATCTATCCCAGTGGATGAAATAAAGGGTTCAGTTCAAAATTCCAATCACCTGAAGAAGGCCAGAGCATGCAATAGTTGAAATGTCTTGAATATGGCAACAAAGATGAGGACAACAGTCCGAACAATGTAAATAGTGTAAATAATCAATTTTGACATAGATTAGTGAGTGGTCTGAAGTACCTAAGGAAGGTGACACTTCAACAGAACATTGTTTTGGACAGGAGGTGAAGAGTTTTAGAAACATGATGCCCAGCTATATAAAGAATATATTGGTAGGTTTATCTACAATCTAGGCTAGCTCATAAGCAATGGAGAAGTCATGACAGTATTCACCTTTTTCATTGGTTATGTTTGAGTGAATTAACCACACCTTGTGGTGAATATTGAAACTAACACAAATATGAATGTTAGCTGTGAGATGATCAAAGAGGATATCATCAATCTTCTTAGCTATTCTGTTAAACATTATATCATCATCATCCCATGAATGGGACCACATAAAAGCATATGAAGTCAGAATCTTCATTTTGGGGTCTCCTACAGGGAGAACCCATTCATAACATAGTCCTCAAACTTATATATCAAGGCCATGTCGAAGGGTCAGAGTGACATTGAAGAATAAGGCTGATTGAAAGAATCAGCATTTATGGCAGGTATTAATAACTTCATCAGTAGGCCTAGCATAGAAATAATCACCATTTGGGTTTCTTTGATCAACAAAGAACAACCATTATGGTTACAGATCCAGAATTTCATCAACAGTGACATCATGACTAATAAGCATTGATAAAATGTCAAGTTACCTGTTGATCATGAGATCAATCTGTTGAACAGACAGTAAAATGTATATATTCCACTTCAGTGCAACAAACAAAAGCTGCATTACCAGAATAAATTAACTAATATAGATATAATAACCACAAAGATATTCCTTAGTATGAACAGTGGAATGAGATCAGTTTATCCCAGTGAATTAAAGGATTTATTATTAAATTCTAAGAATGTTATCAAATAAAACAACAAAGTATACAACTACCAAAACATTGTAACTATAACAACCAAGATGAGGATACCAGTTTCAACAAATCCATGACTAATAATATCTGACAGAAAAGTAGTCTATTGGAAATATTAACATTGCATTGTCTGTCCATGTTTGATTCTACATTTGACTCATATTTACAAAAACAATAACTTTAACAACTCTCATTACTTTATTAACATAAAAAATAAAAATATAACATTTTCAGTAGATGTCATGCAGCAGTAACTTTAAACTCAATATATTGACGGACTCTGGAGTTTTTTAAAGGATTTTTATGCTTAAAAAGTTATCTTATAAGCTGACCTACTTTTCAGAGAAATGTGAGAATACGAGTAGGTTTGTATAAAATGTCTTTTGGGGAGGAAAATGACAACAAACATTGTTTTCTGCTAAATAAATATTTCCTTTGAGACAGGGTCAACATATAAACCAAATTCAAAAAGGTTTTTGCATTAAAGTACTCAGCTAATCAAACCACCCCTAAAGTTATCATTACCAAATTTTGCAGGTGATTCCACCAAGATGTCATCTAAATAAAAACAAAAGAGTAAGTTGCGATTCTTATAAAATTTTAAATGGGTATCCAGGTTTGTATGCTTTATTAACAGGATTTGGCAGTGCAATGCTTTCATCATTTCTGTTATTTTCTTTATAAAGTCCATCTTCAGTTGTGATAGCGCTTCAACATGGAGTAATGGTTAACAAGCTTGTCTCACTAAATCAAATTGCAACTAAATAGTAAGTTTGATCCTCACTGGGTGCTCCATACTTTCAGCCTTGTGCCACATCTAAGCTATGCTTAGAAAAGCATTTGGGCACTTTGACATGGTGTAATAGTTGAATAGCGAGTTTGATCCTCACTGAGTGCTCCACACTTTCGGCCTTGTGCCACATCTAAGCTACACTTAGAAAATCACCATTTTCAGCTGTGATAGCAATTGTAGCCTATCTCTTGTAGGCACCACTAGCTTATATTATAATACATAGATGTTCTAAATTAAACATTGCAATGTAAATTCCCTATGTCATGGCCATAATTTGATTTATTACATTTGTTGTTAGTTATAAATTCATTGTTGTACTGACAATAGCTACAAAATATAAAATTGTTTCACTTAAAATGAAAAACAAAGCATTAAGGCTTTATTATCATATAAAGCCAACTAATTAGAAAACCAAAACATTTTGATGATGAAGTGAAGTTCATTATGCTTTCAGGCTGCTAAAACATTCAAATTGAAGATACAAGTAAATTTGTTGGCATTGTTATCACCTGCAAAGAAGGGGAAAAAATAAATTTATCAGAACTGCAATTTTTGTTCAAAATCAGTTCTCTAAATTCTATTTGTTTTAAACTACATTATTTGGAAATGATGATATCACATGTTGCTAATAAAATCAAGCAAAAATATCATATAATTCCCATTATTATTTTTAATCTCTATTTTAAAAAATATTTTCTTTCATACTATAAAAGACCAATATGTGTAAATTTACAACATAAGTCATTTGTCACTATTAAGTTTAAAAGCTGATAACTGATATAGTGCTGTTGAAATGCCTTTTATTACCAGTTAATTCCAATCCTAGCATAAATTCATGTTCATTTACCATTTACATATATTGAGTAATGTTAGACTTTGACATTTGTTTATTTCACATCTCATCTACCTATTTCATAGCCTTGATATTTATCCCCAATTTCCTTTTCTAACTTTTCTTGTCTAATTATCCCACTCACTGTCTATTGAATTGACCTTGTCTGTTTATATTTATAACTCTGTCACAGTCAATACATGGAGTATGTAGTATATGAAATACCTTATGAAATTAAACCTTGTACAATTCAAGATCACTTTTTTGCACCTGCTATTTTTATTCTGTGGATTAAAGCCCTTCAGATTTGAGATATTTGATTGATGATTATTAGAATCTGTTTAAAATGATTTTTTTTTCTTTGCATGACCGTTATATATTTCATCAGCATGTCATATACTATATTTATTAATTCCTGTGTCTCTCTACTGCTACTAATATATTATTAATTAATAAGGCTACCTACAAATTTTATCTTGATGCATTATCAGAAATACTCTTTAAAACTCAAACTGCACTATTTTAGTGGTATCATCATCATGAACAAGAGTTAAATGATAGAGCAGAGCAATGACAACTAAGAGGTTCAATTCTAATTGCCTGTTTGCTGCAGCTTTTTGCCACATATCCTAAAGAAGATTTCTGATCCATGCAAAGGGCTCATATGTAAAAATTAAATCATTATGTAGATGATATTAATAATTACTTATATAAGAAAAAAATGAGAATTAATTGCCTTAAAGTTTCAGTTCTTTCACTTGTAATCTTATTATTACTATTGATGTTAAAATTTAACCATGAGTTAGCTGTTTCTTTTGTTTTCTTTCATTATTTTACAACTTGATACTGTTGGCTTTTCTCAAATAGAATCATATCTTTCAAATAGATAATGTGCTTAAAAATGCTTCATTTTTCTGTTAAATTTGATAAAATATAAACTTTTAACATCTCTATATTTCTGAAACAAAGTATTGTAATTATTTGCACTATTTACATCTTTCAGACTGTTGTCCTCATCTTTATTACCATATTTGCAAGGTTTCAGCTGTTGTATGCTTCAGCTTTCTTTAGGTGATATACGTTGGAATTTCAAACCGAATATATTCAGTCCATAGATGTAGATTGTTCTAATTCCATGTGCTATGACTTTTCTGGATATCTCAGTTTCAGTTAGTTCTCATTAGTAATTCAACACTCCAAGATTTTGTTTGTATTGAACTGATAACTCTTTGGGTCAAGTCACTTTTTGGATTACTTCAAACAATCTACTGAGCCATGGGGACATCAGTCAATGAATTTTGGGGACTAACAAAGCTAATGTCTAACCATCTTGAGTACAACAATAAACAAGGTACACCCTGACCTGGGGTGATAGCAACTGGTAGAGTCTCAGCTATGGACAAATAGTTAACCCCTAAAATGGGGTCAAAATATGATGAAAGTATAAAAATAGATTTTTATAGTAAAAATATCAGCACTCCATTTTTGAAGAAAAAAAATTACCAGCAACACATTTGACTCTCAACAAAAACCCTCTTCATCGATTTAAGCCCTATCTACAAACAGATTTCTTACATATTCTATTCATACAAACATATCCTGAAAATTTTGTTGACATTAAATAACCCATTGAGTTTGATATGCAATAAAACAAAGCAAACCAAACCTAATATCGCAGTAACCATTTTTTTTTACCAGAGCTCATATTACAATTTTCGTTATTGTTTTTCTCATGAATATAGCAATAAAGATGAGGACAACAGTCTGAACACTGTAAATAGTGTAAATATATAAACTTTTATTTCACAATGCTTTAATTTGCAAAATATTAATTGCAACAATTTTATCACAAGCCACTCAAAAGAATATGATAAAATATTTATACTTTCTTTAAAAATGGACTCCATTGTTGTCTATAAAATTCATAAGATTGTTATTAAAATCTTAATTTTTCTTTGATAATTTTGCTCTTTATTTTCTAGTCTGGTTGGATTCGTTCATTGGTAGCAGGAGGCAGCACTTGTGCTTGTTTGGTTGGGAAGAGTTCATCAGGACAAACAGCCACTGCTTTCGAGCTTGCCTTGTCAGAACGAAATTTCTATTTTCACTTAAACAAAATAGCATCAAAATTTCTCAAGCCTCTGAAAACTTCTGGTAAGTTGTTTTCCCTTTTAATGGATTGCAAAATCCAAATGAAAATTACCACTGAATTTTGCCCTCACACCTTCAATTTTAGGACATTTATTTTTAGCAACACAGTTGACCAATTTGTGATAGATGCAAAACTTATCACAAAGTCTTCTTTGTTAATTACAATTATAATTTTTAAAATTATATAGGTTAGTATTAAGATAAAATTAGAAATATTAAGCCATATTGACTGCACATGTTTATCGTATGGCACATTGCATATTGCTTTTGATGTCCATATCCATTCTACAATTTTATTTAAAGCAATAACAATAAAAATCTCAATTTTTACCTTGATTTGTAGATCTGATTTTAAGTAAAAATTAATTAAGTAAAACTTAGGACATATATGTGATCATATGGGATTATGGAGAGAAAGAAGTGTCATTACTGTGAGGATATTTATTAAGATCCTTTTTATAGTTTAATAAATTTAATTTTATTTGGCAAAATAAAGTGATAATTGACTTATATCTATATTTAATTGTAAATTCCTCTCCTGAAAGGTTTGTAACACATCTATTTATCATCTCTCAGTTGCATCTCTGTCTTTGGGGAGAGGGCACTCTGGGGTGACTCTGTCAAAGGACAGAGTTACAACTGAGGAAAATTATACTGAGAGGTGCCCAGCCCTGGGGAACAACTGTCTGAAGCCATGCCCTCTCATTGCACCAGAGAGAGGGATCAGTGCTCACACTGAGGCCAGCACAACTGAAGGTTGCGGAGGCTGTGGGCAATTTTTGTTCCTGGCCTGGGTGTACGCGCTTGGGTCCTTAAAAAAAGATCTTGTGTCACAACTCGTCTTAGTGGGGAGACAGAGTAAATACCTACTAACTCTAACAAAACCTGTAGATGGCATTATGTAAGAATTCACATATCTAACATGTTAAAAACCAAAATAAAAATAATATTTTCAATTCTTTCATGAAGTTCAAGTGATCAGTTTTAGCATTGATGTCATCCAATAAAACCAGTCACTGAAGTTATAAGGAGTTTCTTGAATAATATCAGATTGTTGCACAAAGATATTCAAAGTTGAAAGAATTCTTTGTTTCTGTTTATAAGATTCTTTAGTGAATAATTGTATCTGTATTAAAGACAACCTGTTAACATTTTTATTATTTTGCCTTTGTTAAATTCATTTTGAGTATTCACTGTAGCCATCTGTTACTTTTACCATAAACAGAAAAATAAGAGATTTCACATGAGGACTTTTTGAAGTTAGATTTCCAATTTCAAAAGGATGGAATTAAATTTAAACAAAAAATAAATAATGATGCAAAAATTATTTTTCATAGAAAGCTTTCCTTTATGTAAATTCTGTGCCTCTTATTTATCTTTTATAAAATCATGTTTGTAATGATAACAAAACATTTTCATTTATTATGTTGTAAAAGATAAAATCTTTTATACAAAGTACAGTGTGACATAAATAACAAAGATTGTATTTTGCGAAAACACAGTCGGTGAGAGTAATTCTGGAAAATAATGTTTTTCAGACAGTTTTTGTAATTATTATACTAAATATCAAGAGATAGAGCAATATCGTTGGTTTTACACTGTTTTTAATCCTCATTAATGACTTTCCTGATGATATCAGCTCTCAACTTGGCATTTATACTGATGACATTACCATTTACTCCTGCCTCGATAGTAAAGCTGATCAGTCAGAGAAGGTCAAAATGGCAGCCGATGTGCAAAACAACCTCAAGACAGTTGTTAACTGAGGCAAAAGATGGCTTGTCCATTTTAATACATCCAAGACTAAACTTCTCTCTATTAATCATCTGAGAGAACCCTCTCTACCTTCCATCAGCATGGCTGATGCTATCCTCTAAGAAAATGATCCATTGTGACTTCTCATACTAACATTCTCATCTGACATGAGATGGAAAGACTACATCGAGTCCATTGCTAGATCAGCTGCTAAGAAAGTGAGTTCACTGTGTAGGGTGAGATAATCTTTCTCTCTGGAATCAGTCTTGCATATCTATAAGTCTATTGCTACCATATATGGTCCAGTGCCTCTGCTATTTACTTGATAAGATCAGCAATATTATTGATCCTGATCTGGTAGCTCAGCTTCAGTCACTTGCTCACCACTGTAAGGTTGCCTCTCTGTGCTTTTTTATAAATACTTTCATGGTACTTGTTCAGATGAACTCTTCATTATGGTACCTAGACTGTATCAATTTAAGTGTAATACTAGACTGATGTCGAGATCTCATCAATTTACAGTTGAGCTAGCTAGATATAGACATAACTTCTATCCTAACAGTTTCTTATCTTGCACTTCTCACTTGTGGAACTTCCTCTTGGCTTTCCAACCAACTTTAATCTGCAAAACTTTTAATTGCAATGTCAATCACTAGCTATTGCCTTCCTGATTACTTTTTTTCTCTTTCTCTTCATTATTAACGTTTCTGTTCTTAATTCTTCTACACCCTGTGACCACTTGTGTCTTAGTGGCTATACTGCCTTGCTTAAATATGTTCATTTGTCTTATTTCTACTCTGAGTTTCATGGAATTATATTTATTCTTTAGGAAACATTCCTGAAGAGTGTCTGTCATTCCATGAAACTAAGAATAGAACCAACTAAATACATGTTTCTTTTTTTTTTTTTATCACCAAATCATGCAAATTACCAGAATAACAAAAATCAAGAAACATATTTTCTTTTGTGCTAGCTTCCTTTGGATATTTTTACTTTTAATGATTATAAAAGCAGAATTCTTATAGATTGTAAAATGACATTCAACTGTAGAGTCAATTGTATGGACATGATTCCTGGATTATTGGTGCAGAAAAAATAACCAAATTAATGAGACATTCTCAAATGGGTTTTGCTAAATTGTCAGTATCATTGTCATTTATTTTTTCTTTCATTTACTTTCAATAGAATTCATTAAGATTATACATTTTATATTATATAAGTATTGAGAATTACTATTCAATTTTTGGTTATAAATGACCTCTCTTTTCTAACTATAAGAAATGATCACAATATAGATGCTTACAAATCTTTCATCAAGTAAGGATCTTTCATCTCAGATATTGAGTACAGACTGAACTATTTTTATTTTCATTTTCATTCTAATATATATGCAATAATAAAAAAAAGTTGGCAAACTTGGACCTTCTTGCCCTAAAAAAAAACGAAGTATCAAAAGAACAGTTTTTCCATCATTGCTATTAATTTAACTACCTTTGCTCCTCGGCAATGTTTATTCTTCTAAAAAGCGATGATTAGAATTGTAATAAAATGTAAACATATGATGAAAGTGAATTTATACATTTTTTTATTCTTGAGAATTGACAACAAAAAATAATAAATACTATTTATTTATTATATTGTTTATTGGAATAGTTGGCAAAACATCAGCTAATTGAAAATTGATTTGAACTTTATCAAATGGTAAAAAATAAAGATTTACTTGGTTCAGATATTATAATAATTTAGTAAATGTTGATGAATAAAAAATTGCTTATATATTTTATTTTCTATTGATAAATTGTTCAATGATAAATATTGCATTGCATTAGTTTTAATTAGTTTCTAGAATATTTTAAATCTAAAATTATTCTTGTAAATAAACAATCTAATAAATAAATAGTGTTTAATAATTTTTTTTTAAATTCTCAAGAAAAAAATGTATAAATTCACTTTCATCATATGTTTAGGTTTATTCCAGTTTTAACCATCACTTTTTAAAATAACGAACATTGTCAAAGAGTGGTAGTTAAAATAATAGCAGTGTCAATATGAAAAAACTCCTTTTGACACTTCATTTTTAACCATCACTTTTTAAAATAACGAACATTGTCAAAGAGTGGTAGTTAAAATAATAGCAGTGTCAATATGAAAAAACTCCTTTTGACACTTCATTTTTAACCATCACTTTTTAAAATAACGAACATTGTCAAAGAGTGGTAGTTAAAATAATAGCAGTGTCAATATGAAAAACTCCTTTTGACACTTCATTTTTTTGCAAGCACAAAGGCTCTAGTTTGCCAAAATGTCTTTATTTATCGTGTTTTTTTTGTTTTTGTTTTTTTCACATAACAATATAAGAAATAATAAGGATATATTTATTAACCCAGTAAATTGTTTTCTGTTTTCAGTCTTCTTTTGTTCAATGGATGTCAATCCTTACAAACCAACATTTAATAATCTTGTTGAGTCTTTCCTTCACCTCACCAATAAAGTAAGTAATATTCTTATCTATTGTTACTGAAGATATTATAGCTATTCTTTATTGTCACTGTATTTTCACTGCCTTCTTTGTAATATTCTTTCCCATTTTTAGATTGGTGAAAACTGTGTGGAACTGACAAGATTAATTCGTGGTAATGAAGACATTACTCAATGTCACATGTTCCAGCAGTCAAATAACTTGCTCAAGGTTTTCAAAAACTATTCACATTGTTTCGGAGACATGGCAGCAATCAATGGTTTTGAGTTCTGTGCAAAGTTAGGGAGGTATGTATGTAAATTTAATTTTAAATTCAACCTGATAAATTGTAGGTAGAGAATTGTAAGCTTTCATCTGAGTTTATCAGTTTTGCAATGTTGGGGAAAAAAGAAAAAAAAGTTTGTTTTTTTTTTACTCAGAATTTTAAATAATTAAAAAACCATATTCACCAGAAAATGTGTTTATAGAAATAGTTATTCCATCAGGAATTTACTAAAACAAAAAAAACAAAAAAAAACAAAAAAGAAACTGAATTTTAAAAGTTAATGGCATTTATCTTTATGCTTTTACAGCCCCTCTCTAAAATATGCTGGTCTTTTCTATCTTTTTTTAAGTATTCTATAATTTTGATGGACTAATCTATTGATTTTCATCTTAGTGGAAGGACAATCAAAAATACAATTCAGAATTCTGTAATTGTCGTTGAGATTCTCACTTTATTCAAAATCTTGGTTGGAGAAAGAAAGAAAGAAAGAAAAAGTTAAAACAAGAAATAAAAGTTTCTTCTTTGGCCAAACAAGGAATTCATTTTTGTATTTTTTCCAACGGCACAAAAAAGTGGAAAATGTTTTAAAATCATCACGCTGGGAATATCCCTGGTTTTGCTTCTCCTCTGGTTAATTTATATACATTTTCATAGTTAAATCCATGTAATCTTGATGTTTACTAAATTCGTGGGACTTTATTTATGTTATTATGTGTTCTGCTCTCATTTGATCATGCCACCCTGTCTGCTGGGGTTTCAGAATACACCAACTGCACCTGTGCAGAGGGGTAAGACTCCCCCCCCCAAAATGAGGCATCCTGGGTACGACGATAAACATCATCCATGTCCTGTGTAAGATGATAAACTATATTTGCGTCCTGCGTAAGACAATAAACTGCATCCAAGAGCAAGGCCTCTGATCAGAATGTTTTGAGGAGCATGGAACCACCTCTTAATTGCTAATGTTCCCAGATTCACCCTGACCCAGTTACCATGGGTATAAGTTAGTTTCATTGTATATAATAAAAGTAGGGAATATTTTTATTCATTTATTAAATGTTTTGAAATAGAAATCCATTTTTTCTTTTGTCTATTTTCATCTATGGAAAATAAATTTAGAAAACCATTAATTTTTCCTAGAATATGGAGATTTTAGTTTATCAAGAATTAAATTAAGGATTGCTGAATATTTCATATTTTCATGTTCTAAAACTTAGTATAAAACCATTATTTAAATGAAGTTAATAAAAAAGTAAAATAAAATTTTAAATACCAACAAAAACAATGAAATGAAAACAAATTGACTCTTTAATTTTTTCAAGGATGGGTTTTTATACTAAGTCTACTTTGCAGACTTATTTTTACTAAATAAAATGAGGCATTTAGAACTGGTTTATATTTGGAAAATACTTTAGTATAAACCTGTTGGAATATAAACATGATTGTATGTTTCGGATTGGGCTTGTCATAATACATATGGAAATTTACAGTGCTACACGTTATAATACTTAAATAGGAAAAACCATATTAATGAAAAACACTTTGTTATGCTGTTATTTATATAAGTTCTGTTACTGATAATACTGGTGTTTCATTTATTTGGCTATCAATTCTCACAAAATACATCAAACTCTAACAAAAGCTTTTAATGAAATACAGAAAGAATTGTACATATGATAGGTTGCACTATGGGTAGTTTTACCCAACACCACAGGCTGCTGAAAAACCATAAAAAAACAATCTAAAAACTTTAGTCATCAGATTGAGACTTTCATATATATATATGTATATATGTGTGTGTGTGTGTGTGTGTGTGTATATATATATATATATATATATATATATATATGTCATTCATGGTGCAAAACTTGTTCAGCAATATCTAAACTATCAACTGTATACAACTGTTTACTTAGATCAATGATTAACCCTTTGATCCCTGACCACCTCTTTACTGGAGGTAGAGAAAAATAACATAATGCCCAATCACCGGTTGAACAGTGGGTAAACACTTGTAACTATTTTTGTATCTACTGTGAAACATATACCAATTATTTGTGAATTTTAACTCAGGAGCTAAGGCCGAAGGGTTAAAATTTTTCAGGAACGCAAGGCTCAAAGGGTTAAAAATGGCTTCAGCAAATTAAACCTGTAGGTCTTAGTGAGGACTATTCTTATTCAAACCTTGCAGACTGGTGCTACAAAATCACAAAGAATTGTATCAAATAAGAGAAATGACATCATTAGCTAAAATAGATTACACATGCAACTCAAAGAGAAAAAATGATGATTATGCCATTATTTTCTCTTCAAAATACATGTATTGAAAATGACTTCCAGTGAATGAAGGCTGTAGGTCTTTGCAAGGACAATCATTTGACCCTTGTAGACTGGAGCTTCAAAATTACAAAAAACTGTACCAAATAACAAGAAACCACATCCTTTGAGGACTTTCAGTGATAGCAACAGTTAAAATGAATAGCACATGTACTCAGAGAAAATAATGATATAATCAATATGTTGACATTCCACACGACAATAAAGATAAGGTAAGGAAGGAAACTCTCATTAATACTGGAAAGAGTGATAACAGCTACTGGGCTTGAGAAGAGAAAATAATGACATAATCAAGATATTGACATTCAACACTACTTCAAACAAAAGGTTAGGAAGGAAACTCTGATCAATAATGGAAAGAGTGATAACAGCTACTGGGCTTGAGAAGAGAAAATAATGACATAATCAAGATATTGACATTCAACACTACTTCAAACAAAAGGTTAGGAAGGAAACTCTGATCAATAATGGAAAGAGTGATAACAGCTACTGGGCTTGAGAAGAGAAAATAATGACATAATCAAGATGTTGACATTCAACACGACTTCAAATAAAAGGTTAGGAAGGAAACCCCCTATCAATAATGAAAGAGTGCTAACAGGGTACTCGAGAAACATATATTCCTTAAAAATTGTTTTAATAGAAAAATTTTATAAATTTCAGATGCCAGTAACAGTGGCTATTTGGTCATTAAATGCCAAATGTTTCCAGATAAAGTAATGACTAATATTACCATTATATTAATATTACCAAATTACCAAATATCAGTTGATATTATCACAGAATAGATTCTGTAAATATTGAACTCATCATAACAAAATCCTGAGATAGCTTAAGAATCAAAGCTTTTGTTTACTGTTTATTATTAAAATTGATTGAAGTACATTGTTTTAGTGGAACAAACCAAGTCAACTAAGAAAAAAAACAGTACCTCAAAGAAGTGGCAAAATTATGAATTATAGAACATCAATTCTCACAGCTTGCTTAGAAAAATGATTTAATAATTTGATAACCAGAGACAGATGCCAAGATTAAGATGGGACTCTGAACATAAAATAAATTTTGTAAGATGATTCCTTGAAGATATTGAATATTTTATTAATGTTTTGTTCATTTAAGGCAAGAGTTAATCGAACCTTTAAGGCAAATCTATATTTTGTTCTTTTAAAGCAAATAATAATCTTGTCTTAATTATGTCTTGTCCTTTTAAGGCAAATAGGGACAAATCCATTTAATATTTCTTGTCTTTTAAGGCCAATAAGGAATAATCCATTTAATATATTTTGTCTTTTTAAAACAAATGAGAAATTATCCACTTAATGCGTTGTCCTTTTAAGGCAAATAAGAACAAAACCCTTTAATATCTCTTGTCCTTTTAAGGCAAATGAGGAATAATCTGTTTAATGTAAATCACAAATCCCAGTATGTTTTTCTTGACTTCTATAAAGTATCAAAAATCTCATCAGTAGTTTTTTTTTGTCATGTCATGAAATGAAGTTGTTTTATTTTACATTTTAGTTCTTATTTTGAGAAAATCCAGATTGTCTTTGCTGATATTCTGGATGAAACTAACACGGAGAAGATCAATTTTGCATCAGCCTTGCAGCGAATAATGCAGTACCCTCTCCGACGCCTCAAAGAATATGGACATATGGCTGATAAATTGTCTATGGGATATCCTCTGGTAAGTGAAGCACTTTGGAACATCAGTATTTAACTTCCTCTCTAGGATATGTGATATGAATGTCTTTCATCTGAAAAAGAAATTGGCAAAGTGGTCTCAGATTCTCATTGATCTCAAAAGCAGTTTATACAAGAAAAGCATAAACTTAAATTTTCCTACAGTCCCTCTTACTTAAAAAGTCAGGTTGATGTTGTCTTGCCATTCCTGTGTCATGACAAAACATTGACAGAATAATTCTGTCAATGTTTACCTGTTTTCTATAATCCAATTCTGTATGTAGTTCCCAGAGAGGATTATCTCTAGACTCAAGTATATTGTTTTATTTTTTATATCTACATATTTTTCCATAATGAACAGAATTATTAATTATTGAATAATTTTTAAAAAAATAAAAGCAATTGAATAATTTAACTTAGTAATGGGAATTTTACTTTTAAAATAGTTCTTGAAAAATTTTATGAACTTTAAATAAAATAATGCAAGCAGAAATTTTTTTAAAATGTTTATATTTCAGCTTTTTGGCAAAGCTGTTTAAAAATAGGTCCCTTTTTTTGTATTGCTTAGCAATAAAGATTTATTTGATGTCTATAAATGTTGACTCCAGTTTGTTGGTATAGTTTTTTTTTTCCAACCAAATTCACAGATAACAAAGCATCCCCAGCTATGGGTTAAATAGGTTATACTGTGCTCTCTAAGCTTGGCTATTAACTAAGTGAAGGCAAATGGGAAACTACTCCACTATTTTTCCCAAGAAATTGTGGTAATTCACAGATAATTGTGGTTTGGATAAATAAATAAACAAAGGAAGAAGTGTTGCCTCATAATGAAACAGTGAATGAAGAGTGTTTTTTAATGGACAGGGGACCAAAGCATTGTGGGTAAAAAAATGTTTATATAAGCCCCCTCCAGGTAGTGAGAATTTGATTTTGGAGTTGGCTTTTTGGTGGTTAAATTGATTTTGGAGTATGAAACAGAGACAGGTTGCTAGAGGAGAAAAAAGAGGAAGCACAATCAGTGCTAGTTATAAGAGATAAAGAAATAGAAATCCAGGAATTGTATTTAGTTGAAACAGTCGGATTTTTTGCAATACTGCTACTGATACATTAGGGTAGAAAGGAATCGGCTATTAATTTCCCTCCAGCTTGCTTCTTTGGCAGGAATTGGTAAGTATATGCACTTTATTTTTGTTCACTTCATTTAAGAAAAAGAATCTGTGGAGACTCATGACCACCTTCATCCTAAAGGGACATAGCATTTAAAAAAGACAATACCTGCTCAGTGTTAAAGTTGCTTGGAATTGTTCTCTGAGGCATATTTTTATGTACAATTGTTTTTGACTCCAATTATGCTGATATCAAACTCCATGTATAACTGTGGTGTGTATATTTTATCTTTTTTATTTCTCTTTTACTCAGGATTCTGAAATGCGATCTTTTTTGAGTGGAATTTCCATTGCATGGGATTCATTGAAACTTGCTTCAAATGAAGAACACAAACAAGCTGATATTACCAGACTCTTTTGGGAAGCAAGTACACAACGATTAGTTGTAAGACATCTTATTTATGATTCTTTATTCTTTGATATTGTGAAAATGATTCAGATTGCTTAGAGATTCTATTTTCTGTTGTTGTTTTCAAAGCAGTTTTTCTTTTGATCATATAGCAAATGAAGAAATTGTTATCTACTCATAGTGATTGCAATGATTTGTTAATTGAATTGAACATTGGTAAACTAATAGTCTTGTTTAGTAACACTTATTATTAGTTTTCTTTGATATTCCTGAGCATTATTATCTTTCAGTAGGTTCTGTTTTGAATGAAGATTTAAGAATTAACCTAAAAGAATATAATATGATAGTAACAACTGAAGAGATTACAAGACTAAATTTATCATATGTGAAATAATTGTCAATTCATGTCTGTCAAATTAATGTCAGTTGATTCAAGGATATGTTATTTCAGCTCCTTCAAACATTTGATCTCTTTGTGAATGTGTGAGGGATTCTTCCTTTCTCCTTATAGGTTGGACATTTATATCACTGTTAATTCATGTAAGTGTAACGTTACCGTCCAACATACACCTAGACAAACAAGCATTTCTTTACATACATACTCATATACTATCACATATTTGTAATGTCCATAATGTTCCTCACACATATTTATGTATTATCTATTACATTTATACATGTGACATGTATCTGACCAATAAGAACTAACCAAAAATCATAACATACCAGTAATCTGTTGTCTCTTTGCTTTTTTCATTTCTATCTTGATCTCTGACAAAGCTTTAATAAAAGTGAAACATGTTAGATTGACATACATTTCCTACTTGTTCTTTATTTTATCATCTTGTCAGATTCATATCCATATCTGATCCACATTTGATCTTCAACTCTATATATATATATATATATATATATATATGAAATAAATTTAAATATAAATAAATGTACATGTAAGTGTTCACATACAAATATATATATATATAGGTGTAAGTAAAACAGTGCTCAATGCAAAATAAGAGCTATTAAGTATATATTAATAAGTATACATAATACCCAACACCAACAGCACAACCCGAAGTTTCATGCACCTCACAATTTCATTTTATATATATATATATATATATATATATATATAAAAATGCAGTATTTTTTAAAATAAAAATGAATGTATTCAAAAATTCAAGCATTCAAGATCTAAAACTAAATCATCAAATCTTTTTTTGTTTGTTTTTTTTTTTCTCTAAATAGTCTGAAGTTGGCATTGTATCAGTTTTTTTTTTTTGTTTTTTTTTTTTTTTTCAGGAAAGTCTTCGCACTCCAGAGCGCCGTCTGCTGCGTGATACAAAGCAGCATCCATTAACACAAGCCAGTGCTGGTCGATTTTCAGTTCACAACTTTCTTCTTTTCAACGACATTTTTGTACATGTGCATGTATGTCATTAAATTCCAAATATTTCACTTAGAAAATCATTGATTGTAAAACCACTCATCTTGCTAATGTTGTGCTTTGATTGCATTAATCAAAAACATCTTAAAATGTCTCATCAGATTTTAGCTCTAATATTTTTTAAAAAGACTTAACTATCATCATGTAAGGCTCATTAATATTAAATCAATGGTTGATCCCTGTAGAATTAATTGTCAATGGTTCTTATCCAGATTTTGATAACGTACACAAATTAATGTTTTCTTTTTGACAAGATTTTAATTGAGTCAAATGGTTATCATGAGAAAATTTATCAAGTTGAAGTATCTCTGCTCAAATAACTGAAATATTTGACTTGATAAATCAGGTTTCATTATGTAGCATGAGTGCTAGTCTCAATTTCAAATAATTTATATAGAGATCTAAATTCCTTTCCTGTTTATTTTATCTGATTTACAAATGTTTGAAGAAAAGGATTTTTAAGGTATATTATCACATACTTATTAACATTATCTACATGCAGATGACTGTCCTTGTTGTTATGACAACGTTTTGGCCATTGTGCTCTCTGGGTGCATGTCGATCCAGATAACAATCAGGAAATTTTGAACTGAACCCTTTATTTAATCTACAAGGGTAGATTGTTCTCATTCTGCTGACCATGTCTAGGGATATCTTGTCTAGTTCTTACAATGACTATGTCACCAAATTCATGAACCAATGATTCTAGGCCACTTGCCTGTTATCTAAATTAATGTCTTTAAAAATAACTAGGTTTAGACATCAACTAAATATAAATTCTCTTTATTATTAATTTTTTGACTAATTTTCTTTTTGTTTGGTCTTTATTAATTTGCAACAATCATGTCATTTTTACATTCTATGATTGTTAAACATCATTGCTAATAAATAAAAAAAATTAGTCTAGTCACATTCTTCATTATCTGGTATTTTATTCCATGCTGTATTTGTTTACTGTTATATTCCATGCTAATAGGAATATTTACTTGAAAAACAAGGTAGATAAAATAAGTAAGGTTTATTGTAAAAAAATCAGTACAATAAGAAGTAACAGTTATGCACCAGGTCAATCCAGTAGTGAGTGCTACTATTGGAAGGTTGGTAGTTCTTGCATAAGTCTGAGTCGTACTCAACAGATTCCAGCTAGTCTCTGTAGTCTGTTGACTTACAGATACTTATAGGTAGTTACTACCTGTAGTGTAGTCACTCAAGGGGGTGACAGGTTATTCCATTGCATCATTTACAGTTAGGTGTAATAACAGCTCAAATCTTGACAGAAGCTAATTCTTTCTGATCTAAACTCCTTAATGATTGTGTGCAAAAACTGATCTGAGCATTGTGGTAAAATACAACAAAAATGAGATGAAAGAAAAATTAATAAAAATTTGATAATGATAATGCTTTACTTACAAAATATGAATAGCAAAACACTACTATTACTACTAAATAATAATAATAGTAATACATTTTCCATTTAATATACAGGGTGTGGCAGAAATACATCCCACTTAATGGTAAGACATTAGCTAGATGAAGACACCATTGCCACTAATGTCTTACCATGTGGTAGGTATATGTAAAACGTATTTGTGTTACACTCTGTATTTTCTGTCCTTTCTCTCTTCTGAGTACTTATTAAACATGGAGCTTTAAAACAACCTTCTTTTGTCATTTTCAGGGTTCTTCAATCACAATTTTTCCTCTTGAAACTGTGTGGGTTGATACATCCACAGAAATAGAACAAACACAGTAAGTACTACAGCAAATGAATTATTAAAATGAATGTTATTTTATGAGTTGTATAGATGAATATTCTTATATTTGTTGTTTTCCTCACTGTATTTCCACCATTGTTTTCTCTGTGATTTTTTCTTCCTTTATTGTAAAGGATGGTCCAAAAGTCTTGTCATCCCTTACCTCCCTTCCAAAGTAGGACTTGATGTCAGCCATTTGAAATAGAAAAATATATTATGTAGGGATGACAAGACTTTTGGCTTGCCCTGTAGATAATTCTTGTATTTGAGTGTTGCTGATTCTTGCAGATTATTTACATCATGATAAAAACAGCAAGGATGAGAATAATTGTTTTTTGTTTTTAAATTATGAAATAAGGATGAGAATTCATCTCTGAATTTAATCTTTTGTTGAATTTATTTAAATTTTTATTTTTTCCATCCTTTCACCAAAGATTCTCCCCTTGTTTCTATTTCTAGAGACACTTTGGTCATAATTGTTCCTGAAGATATTTTTGTTTTGACTGCTGCCTCATTAGCCAGTAAGGTAAGAAATCAACACAGCATTTCATTGACACTTTTGGGGAGGAGACCTATTTTTGCATATTATTATTATTATTAACTTAAATTTATTTAAATATTAATTATCAAAAAATGAATCACCTTCATTCTTAACAACTTCAACTCAGCAGGAAGGAAAATTTTCCCTGAAAAATAGTTTGAAAGACAGCTTTCAAGTTCTTTGTTTCTTAATGTTCTGCCACTTATGAAATGTTCTATTGATCAAAAAAAATATCTAGGATTATGGCCACATCTCATTGAAACACCATTTCTCTACATTCACCAAAGTTAAGCAATGCTGAGCCTGGTCAGTACCTAGATGGGTGACCGTTTGGGAATACCAAGTTTTGTAGTGTAATGGATAATGGCTCAGAATTGTTAATTGGAGAGCCAAGTTTCAATTCCCATTCGTTTCCTTTATATTTACTTACGTGCAAAAATACCCTTGGGAAAGGTATGAATCCATCTCTTCTCTCCCACCCCCTGCTATGAGTTAATAAACATGTAAGACACTTTCAACATAATACTTTTTTTACCTGATCAATTTGCTGGCTTTAAACATCTGTAGTCATGTTCTTTCCATATTCCAATAGGTTGGTAATGGACATCATGGACAAAATCTTTCATATCCTACCAAAGACATAAAACAAAGAATTCTGTAGATGAAATCCTGGTTTTGGTATTGCCTTTGTCTTCTCATTTTCTGATAACCACTGTCTTTTCCATTTTCTATTGACATGCAAAACCCATTTTTCATCACCTGTAATAAAGTGATAAAAAACATGAAAGGCTGGCATTCCTAGTTGAAAAACTGCTGCAGTTGGTGGAATGTTCTGTTTGGTTTTCAAGTAAAAGCTCATGAGAAATCCAAATTCTCTCTTTACAAGTTTTCCCAGTTAAACTTTGAAATCTCTATCTATAAAAGGCAGGATGTGTGTGTATGTGTGTGTGTAAGTGTAACGAATGCACGGCCACAATTTTTGACGGATTTGCACCAAAATTTACATGCACATGCTCCAAGTTAGCGGGAAGGCCAAGACTGACTTTGCATTTCTAAACTCCATCGATAGTGGAAATAATTGATTTTTTCATGATTCTACGGTAGTTTTCATGTAGTTTGCGGCAATTTTGTACTGGCCAGAGTGAGAGCCTATAGCTGGCTGCCACGAATAGGCAGGAAGATTCCATTGGCCAGCATGAGAGCCAACAGCTGACTGACACGAATGTTAACTAGCATGCTAGCGTGCAAAAAAAATCGATAGCTGCATTTATCACAAGTGGGAAAAATTTAAATCTGCATGGCACTTTACTCCAATTGGCTCATTCACTTGCTTAAACTCAACGTTGATTCTGATTCTGCAGAACTGGGTTGGGTGTGAAAAAGTATTTGTTGTTAACATTCTTTTTTCATTCAGTTTTTCTAGTTACAAGTCCTTTTTTAAAGCTGATCGTTTTGTGTTCATTTTATTTAGTTCTTTTTTTGTAACAGATTTAATGTTTAGTATAGATCTTAGAAAAAATTTGGAGTGTGAGATAGGCAAGAAGTAAGGCATGTAGCAACATCAGCAAGCACGGGCAACAGTGGGCCATGCTGCTAGTACATTATAAACAACACACTGATGGATAGAAGAGATGATAAGCTAATTCTAGACACAGTTCAACGATGGCTCTGCCTTAGTTGATTGGCTAAAAATTCATAGCATTAAAATATGTAATTACTTTCTGAACATCCTAATATAGCATTTTTATAATCTTGGCTAATATTAGCCAAGATTATTTTTTAATATCAGGAATTAGTTATGATAGTTATTTTCTGCCTTAAGATATATATATATATATATATCCATCCATGTAAGATGAGAACAAATAGAGTATAATTCCAACGTTCGTAACATTTAATTTAAAAGAGGGCTCAATACAAAGTAGAGTAATATTATTTATTTTAGGATATTATGCTGAAAACATGTCAAAATTGCTAAACAGTTGCAGTTGTGTTTCTGTTGTAGAGTAGTTTTCACAGTGGGGGCTTGTATTTCACTAAGTCGGTCCTAAAAGGGTCCGACGTACAAAACGTTAGGAACTTGAAATAATAGTTAATGACGCAGCAATCTAGTTTTGGTGGTTGATACTTTAATGTCTGACATCAACTGACTCATCAACTCCACTAAGGCCACTGGCGACTGCTACTACTACTACTTATTATATCTGGGGGAGTCTATTTACAATAGAATAGGTATGTTCTAGTATAACAGTTTCGATGCATATCAATGCATCTCATCAGGTGATTGTAAATTACTGATGAGTGAATGACTTATTTATATTTAAAAGCAAAATACAAACTCTTTTTAAGAAAAAAGAGTCGGGGTTATAAGGTTTGTAGGCTTTACTCTGGTCAACCAATCAAATATGACCTACATTAAATTTAAACTAAGCAAAGAAGCAAAAATTAAAAAATTGCTTTTAAATATAAATAAATAAATTGTTCACTTGCCAGTAATTTACAATCACCTGATGAGATACATTGATACACGACTGCAGTTGTGTAGCGATTTTGACAGGTTTTCATTGTAATATCCTAAAATAAATATATATATATATATATATATATATATATATATATATATATATATATTGCATATTAAATGCTGGTGCTGATAATAATAATTTTACTTTCTATGACCATTAATCACATAATAATTGTATTGATGTGTATATTGATAAAAATACTTAACTTATTTTTTATTTTTGCGAGCAAAATGTATTTTTTAATTGTTTGTGTATCTCATTTTATGCTAGTTGCATGTATGTGTATACAACAATGAAAAGTAAACTATTCTAACAAATACACTAACATGTTTATTTTATTGCATAGGAGTAGATAAGTTTGTCTATCGCCCATTTCACACTCCTTCCTTGTCTTTTGAGCAGGAGTAATTGGGTTATTACTTTGCTTCCTGTTGAGGATCAGGATCCTGGTTTCGTTCTCTTAAGGTTTTCTCATTTTTTTTTTCACTCCAGTAACCCTGTGCATTTTAGTGGCATTTTTGCCTTGCTTGGGGTGAAATGATTTTTTTAAAATAATATAAGTTTTCTTGTTCTATGAAGTTTAAAATACACAAGTAAATTTTATTTTATTGTACTTCTACAAATTTTCTTGTTGTTCAGTAATTTCATAGAACAAGAAAATTTGTAGAAGTACAATAAAATAAAATTTACTTGTGTATTTTTTTTTATATATTTAACAATCTCTCTCCAAATAATCCAACTATTTTTTTCATCCTGAAATAACTGAATTTTTTCCTAACATCCCTGTTTATGCAAGGCTCTGATTTTATGAATTTGTTATTCTATTTCTTTCTTAGGCTGAATGGTTAATGGAACTGAATCAAGCCATCAATAATTGTTATCGTCCTCCAAGATCTGCTTCTGTCAGTGGCAGCAGCCGGGTAGAAGCCAACCGACTTACACCTCCTTTGGTACGACAGGCTCAGTACAAATTTTCCAAACATGCCATCTTCAAAGATGCTACATACAATGGAACATGGATGAAAGCAAAAATTCATGGGCAGTAAGTCTTGATTGTTTTTGTCAAGTTTTCTTTACCAATCACTCAAACTTCCTTGTAAAAAAAAAAAAAATGAGTAATAATAAAATTATTGAAAATGTATTTGTTTAAATTAGGTTGAATAAAATATGCAATATAATAATAAAATTTATTCAAGACTAAAATGCTTGTTTGGTTTATTAAATAAAAATAAAACATTTTATATTTTCAGCATTATAACTTTATTGAACAACATATGTACCATTTTGTTCCACTTTTAAGTCTTTTACAGGAGGCACAGTGGAGTAATGGATAGCGGCTCGGATTGAGAAATCGGAGAGCCGAGTTCAAATTCCAGTCAGATCCATTACATTCACTTACGTGCTAATACCCTTGGGAAAGATATGAATCCTTCTCTTCTCCCCGCAGCTATGGGTTAATAGCAGGACAGATCAAGTTCTATAACCTTGGATGGCAACCTACTACAGGAAAAAATCTGCCTCATCAGTCATGTATTGAAAGCTACATGATTGCCTAAGCGTGTATCTCGCATGGCACATAACTGACTGACAGAATCAAAATCTTTTTCATTAAGAGGATTCGGTAAAGACGGGAATAAGTGGTAAACTAAATATGCAATATAACTGATGAGGGAAAAATATTTTTGTCTGGTCTCCAAAGAAACATTTATCTGATGGAATATTATGTCCTTTCTCTTAACTAATATTATTGGCTAAAGATATGTCAAGCTAATGTGGATTTTATGGTATGGAATTCTTTCCTTAGAAAGTCATTGAGAATATCTCTTCCTATAAATTATGGAAGAATTGGTATTGCATGTGTTGCTGAAAATGGAATAAACTTTATTACAGACATTGCTGGGAACATTTTGAATTTTCTAGTTTGCCCTCACAGAAAGAGCCTTTATTGTTCTATACAGACAGTAGGCATCCATGGGATGGTTGAGATGTTTTGGGAACAACGTAAAAAATACAAAAAATAAATTGTACATACAACACTTGGAATGATAATGACTCTTCCCAAAATTATAGACACTATATTTTTCTATTTTATGTCTACTAATATTACGTAATTTCAATCCATCAAGACACTGATAAAGCTTTGTATGGTTGCTATTGTGTTCGGCATATTAATCAGCATAGGCCAATGTCACTTATGTAGGATCATTAGAATGAAAACAAGTTATTAATAATATTAATTAGGAAAAAATAGTTTTAAGAAGTCAACCAGGTGCAGCTATCATAATAAAACTGGTATATATTATATATACTCAATTATAGTGCAAATTTTATGATCAGATTTTTATGCAAAAAATAGGTGGTCGCATTATACAAGAAGTAGGCTTATATACAAATACATATGGTATTTTAATTCATTTTTCACCAAAATAAAATAATATAGTTTATTACTGAAAATGGTAGATACTTATTTTCTTCTTTTTTCTGCTGTCTTTATTCCATCTTTCTTCTTATTTCTCTTGAAACCCTTGTGCATTGATGAGAAACAGAAATCTGTTAAATTATATAATGAACTGTAATATATATATATATATATATATATATATATATATATATATATATATAATTACAGCCCAAGCAAAGCAATAAAGCCATAAGAGGTGAAAGAATATGAGAAAAAGAAAAGTAGAATAAAAAAATGAATTAAAACAAAGATAACAATTGACATTACATTTAAATTTTTGAAGATCAAAATTGACTGCAAGAACCTGGAAGAGTTCCACAAGTGAGAAGTGCAAAGGAAGAAACTGTTAGCATAGAACTTACCTCTATCCATTTCAACTATAAAATGATGAGATCTATCTGCCAATCCAGTATTGTGCTTCAATTTGTAAAGTCTAGATACCAAAGAGGAAACTTATCAGAAGAATTACTACGAAAATATTTATAGAAAAGGCACAAAGAAACTGTTACAGTGGTGAGAAAGTGACTGCAGCTAAGATGCTAGCTCAGGACCCGTAACATTACAGATTCTACTTTGTATTTTATCAACAATTTCTGAATACATAGCAGAAGCATCAGACCAGATGTGGCAGCAATATTCAATGCATGGATGAATGGTAGACTTATAAATTTGTAAGATACATTCTGGTTAGAAAAATTGTCTAACATGACTTTAGACCCAACCTTCTTAGCAGCAGACTTAGCAATTGATTCAATATAATCTTCCCACTTCATGTCTGTAGAAAATGTTAGCCCAAGAACATGCTGTGAGTCACTTTCCTGGAGGTTAGCATTGGCCATGCTAATGGAAGGCAAAAATAGCTCTCTCAAACAATTTGGAGGCATTAAAATTAACAAGTCATTTCTTGCCTCAGTTAACAACAGATTGTAGGTCATTTTTTTAAAAATTAGTTGCTAATCTAAACTTATGGAACTTATCAGACTTATTATTAAGTGAGAAGTAAATGGTTGTGTCATCAACATAGATACTGAGCTTATAACTGATGACATGACACAGGTCGTTGATAAAAATTAGGAACAAAGTAGGTCCAAAAATAGAACTCCAGGGGACACCTGCATTAACGCAAAAAGATCTAGAGGATTGGCCTTTCCAGACAACTTACATTTCATAATTAGGTAAGAAAAATTGAATTGGATCAAAAATTCATCCAAAAATATCAACTTCTGAAGAAGACCAGCATGCCAAAGCCTGTCAAATGTCTTAGAGATATTCAAAGCAACAGATTCTTCATTCTTATCTGAAGCTTGAAATATGAAGTATTGTTAATTAAAAGTTGCACTTTGTGGGATTGACAAATGTTGTTGTTTTTTTGTTTTTTTTTAACTCTAAGTGAGAATAGATTAAAGCAAGGAGAAAGTAATTGATTATTACAGACTATTTACATTCTTAAAAAGCTTTAATGTTGTCTTTTCAGTGGAGAAATGAAGTGGCTTGATGGAAGGCGATACATTGGCAAATTTATCAATGGATTGCAACATGGGTTAGTATAAATAGAAATTCTTTGAATACACTTTTTTTTCAGAAAAAATTTTTAATGTTTGTTTATAAAAAACTTGTCAATAAATAAAGGATGTTTTTTTTATAACTCTATTTTGGCCTGTAACTGAATTTGTATATCTTGACAAAAGTGCTATCATTTTCAAATGGGATGTTTTATAAGTTGAAATAGGTAATAGTTCAAATAGCATTACTGTTACCAACATTGAAAATGGAATTGGCAAGCTGAGTTCAAACAAATTCCAGCCTAATTTGTTGTTGACTTTGCACTAATGCCTTTGTGAAAGGCATGAATCCCTAACTTTGAGTTAAATAATAGGGTAGACTGGGCTCGCTAACATTTTGTGGGAATCAGTTTAGAATAAGAACCATGGAGAAGGCAATGAAAAACACTGTATTTCCCATTAAATCATGGTAATTCACAGATAATAAAGAAAGGAGTCTGTGGAGGGCCATGATAGCCTACATTCTGAAAGAACATATCATTTAAAAAAAGAAGAAAAAAAAAGTTTCACACAAAGGGAGCTTTGAATGATTTTTCCATTCTATTTGTGCCATCTGCATTTTTCAATTGAATGCTCAACAGTTACCCAAATAATCATTTGATGAAGTTGTTAGACCCCAAAACTTCAATTCCTCACTCCTCTAAGTAGAGAGGTTAAAACGTTTCCTAATATATACAATTACTATTCTGTACTACTTAGTACTTGTATTTTATAATTTGTATCCAACTTGGCTTCATTGACTAAATATCTTAATCAGGGCTAGATTATCCTTTAGGCGAGTAAGGCTGTAAACTAGGGCCCCTCAAGCTTTTATAAAGCAATGATTTTAATTTTCTAGATGTTATAATTTTGAAATAGTTACATAAACTGAAATAATATCAATATCATAGACTCATATTTATTCTGATTGTTTTATTGTTATGCTGGTTATAAAAAAATCTGTTTTTTGTTTACTACAGTTGTGTTGAAATATATGCTAATTTGGTTTGTAATAAATAGTGGTATTTCATAAAAAATATTTTTATTGACAAACAAAAGGTAGCTATTGTACCCCTCCACCAGTTGTCCCTTATTTGTGGCAACCAATAATGTCATCAGTCCTCAAGTTCTTTAAGACTACCATGGTTACCGTTTTGTTAACTCTTCTCTCTTTAGTGCATGACTCATTGTCGCTGGTATCGTGATGGTATGCACAGTTCCATTCAACTTATCTAGTGTTTGTCTGTTCACACCCATTCACTCCTCTGCTACATTGTCCAGCACAAGGTCTTTGGTCAGGAGTTTTCGGCAAACAATGTGGATTCCTGTAGCAGTAGTTTGGGGACTCTTTGTGCCTCTGTTGTCCAAAATCTTCAGCTTATATGGAGTCCTGTGTCTGGTAGGGGTGGGATTGACTAGGGTCTGGATTCACTTGTTTTTTACCCTAAGCATAAACATTTTCTAAATTTCTATATATGAAAATACATTTACTCAAGTGGTTTTCCAAATTTAGGGGTTGCCCATCCCCCTTTTGAGAGTAGTCAGAAGGATTAAGCCACCAACACTCCAACTCTCTTTATACTTCACCTGGCACCATAACTCCATATAAGTAGTGCCAATCTCCTCCTTTTCCCACTTTCTCAGCAGCTAACCTCAGCCTTCTCCCTGAGCTGGAGTGACAAATCCAAATTCCTGATGGTGTAGTGAAAAGAAAAGATATTTTCAGTCATTAATCATTATCTATCAGCTTGCCTCATGCTGGAATCTTTTGATCCAACAGACCACTCAAGAATTGGAAAAGGAAAGAAAAATCATTCCCACTCTCCCTAAATCAAAAGTTTTTCTCTTTCTATGCATCTTGTTTGTATGATCGAACAGACCACCCAGCCTTTTTGCCTATGGTCACTTCAAAATAGTAATTAATTTTCCTTACCACTTGTATTCAAAGGAATCCAAATTAATGTTTCGATATAAAATTTTCTCTGGGCAAATGTCACTGAAATTATAATGATGAAAATATCCAGTCTCTATCTCTGTGGGGATACTTTTCTTCTGGGTGGTTGATTCAAAACAGATTTGTTTTTTTTCTGGCCCTTTCTATCCAAAGGAATTGTGAATGTTATTTTGGCAACCACTCTGTTTTCTTTATTGTCAATATGTTTTTTCTTTTATCTGAGATCTTCATGGATATCTTAATAGTCTCTTTCTTATTGGCAGGAAGTGGGAAAGGACGTGTAGTCTTGGTTTTGCTCAGTCTTAGTGAATTCCATCTAGTTAAATTTGGGTTTGAGTCTCCTTGGAATTATTTCCAAAACATGATTTTTTCAACACATTTCATTTTTAATTTTCTTCTCAACTTTTCAATCCATCTTCCTGCAATTTCAACAATTATCATCCAATTAGTAGATTCTCTTCTTCTTTCTCTTTTTGTTTGATCAACCTCAGGAGATTTCAATGTCAAACTATTCTAAGAATTTGCAAGAAATTTACTTCAAGCTATGTAAATGTTGCTAAAAAACTATCACGTCAAAAAATATTCAAAACTGGTGCCGGCAAGTTAGAGGAGGTGAGGCCATAATTTCATTAGCCTAGGCACCATGGTGATCTTTATTTAAGGCCAAGTCATAGTGCAAGTCAGGGCCAGTACTAGAAGCCTATCTCAAATCTTGTCATTCCACTGAAAGTGAAGATTTTTAGTTTTAGTTTGGGTTTGCAGTTTGTTTTAGAATTCAAAGAAATAGTAGAGATTAAGTGCATAATTAATTTGGCTCAAAAAGTTAATCCTCTTTATTTGGTATATCTTCACTTTACTAAGGTCTTATTACAATTAATATATAATTTGAAAGAACTTTGGTTTCATCATTTCCTACCTTATTGAAAAAAGGTGTATGAAATACATTTTAATCTTTGAATTAATTATCCATGTTAAAACAATTTTAATGAAACAAAAAACATATCGGAACTATGAACTCTGGAACAAAAATGACATGAGACAAAATAAACATGAAAGTAACTTTTTGTTTTATTGTTTAAAATTAAAATAAGTAATGTTATGCACACTTATTTTGTGATAAATATACATTTTTATGATAGATTTTTGTTATAAATATACTTTTTATGATTATAGATAGATTAAAACGTTTACAATATCTAACAATATCGGATTAAATATATTGAATTTAATTATAATATTAACTTTACATAACATTTTAATAAATAATTTTTCATTGATTTTGTAGTAAAAAATATCATGTTTGCTCCTATTTTATGTTTAATGTTAAACTAAACTAATCCTTGGTCTTAATACTCATGTCCTTTTTGGTATGACCGCAAAGAAACACTGAATCAATAAAATGTCTTTAGATGAAATGAAAAAAAAAAATAGATAAACTGTTTTCTCAATTAGAAATTCATCAAAATTAAAATTTATTATATGTAAACTGATCATCTAATGTAAAGTTAATCCAGATCAACACAATGATTTTTTTTCCTTAATTTTTCATTTGTTCTGATTATGATCTATGATAAGAGTACAGGTTTGGTTAAAAATGTCAGTAGTTCCTCTAGGCAAGTCAAAGTGCCAAGAAATCACAGCAGTTTAAATCATAACTAATGGCCCAATCCATCCTGGATAGAAGGGATCTATGCTTCTGCTGCTACTGATAGGAACAGTCCATTAAGTTGGGGAGGAGGGATAACTGGCTATACCAGTTACAATAAACAATAGTTAACATTATAAATTGGCAAAATGTTGGCAACAATATATCAAAAATATAATTCAACATCTTACATAGTTTGTTTAGATATTTCATAACAGTCATTTTATCATTTATATGAAAGTAAAAAATGGTAATATAGAAAAAGAATATTTCTTTTAAGTATCCTTAAAAGTAATGACAAAATATTTTTTTCTTTCAAAAAATCCATCATCTATTTCTGCCAATAGTTTTTGTCTTAAATTTATATTAGGATTTTGATGTTATATTTATCCTGGTAAACATCAGTTTCATTGATTATAAATAATTTTCTATTTTTATTACATCTGATTTGTCTCATAAATTTTCTTATCTCTAAGAAACATTTTGGTCCTTTATTCTTCAGGAATGGTAAATACATTGTCCCCAAAGGAGAGTGTGAAGAGATTTATGAAGGTTCCTGGAAAGATGGTAAAATGAATGGTCTTGGTTCAGTCATGTAAGTGTTTTTTAATAATTTTCTCATATAATATGTCGACTAAGATATTGGAATTTCTTAAATCAAGCCATGTCAATTAATATTGATTTTTTTATTAGTATTTATTTCATCTTAATTTCAGTTGATTTTTAATCATCATTTCACAATCATTAGCAGTGGATCAGAAATAATAAAAAAATTAACTGTCTATATTTCTGAGATGAGGTAAAGTTATAAAAACAAAGATTTGAATTACGTAACTAGTTAGTCTTTGTAGCCTGAGATGAGGTAAAGTTATAAAAATAAAGATTTGAATTACTGTAACTAGTTAGTCTTTGTAGCCTAATTAGTAAGGTAGCTGTCTCAGACAATCAAGCTCTCAAACTCAAGAAATTCAAGTTTGAATCTCACCGAAGGTTAATTTTTTTATTTCAGATTCACAATGTTTACTAATGCTTGTGAAATGACAATTCAGGAGTCATGATGAAAAGCACCTGTAAGATGAAAGCAATTTTAGTAAAAAAAAAAATAATAATGACAATATTTCATGTGAGAAATTCAGATATTACTGTTAAAACACGGCCAGCACAGCTCAATCTGGGGTTCTTCCCATACTGGTCAGTACTGCCACTAGTCAATTGATGGTTATATGCATTCTGCTGCTTCTGTCCTTGATCACAGAGCAGTGAAGATCAAATTTCATCCATACTTGAGTGCTAAATTGGACTGTTGTGACAAGAGGACAAAGAACGTTTCCACTGGCAAAAATAAAGATAACATTACCAAATAACAAAGAAGGTTGCTGGGTTAATTTTCAATTGATTTATATAGTTTTTGATACAACAAAATTAACCTTTCCCATTACACTCTCTATTGTGACACTTTGTCATTTACTTCTAAACCTTGGAGTAGGTTCAGTCATCGAAGAAAGAAGTTGGTCAGGAATTCTCTCTGCAGCAGGTCACTTAGGGTTCATCAGCCCCTTTGTCCTTTTGCTTCTCCCTGTCTCTCACTCCAACTGCTGGGTTGCTTAAGCGCTCTGTTCATGCGTATTTTGCCCGACTCTCACTGCACCTCAGGACTCATCAATATTTATATCAATTATTTTCTCCAATTTTGGAGAAATGACACTGACCTTCAAACAATACAGTCGTCCACAATTGGTTAATTATTCAAAACAATAATTTTTCTGATAACAAACTTCATGTTTATAAATTATTTCTATGCCCTTGACGTCAAAGAATTTCCGTCGTTGTGATTTTCTGATATGACCCATATAATTTTCTGCATGTTTACATAATGATAGTCCAGATTGTTTACATTATTGGCTTTGCAATTTATAACAATTCCATCTGCCTCTTGGCAGACAAGCAATCCATACTCCACATTTCTCAAATCATATTTTGGACTCAGCATTCCATTCTGTGTATCAGAAAGGAAAAAAAGCATTTCTCATTTTTTTTCCTGCTCCATATTTCAATTCATGTTTTCACTTTAACATTTTTAACCCTTCCAATTTTCCAAATCCTGCACAGGGTTTTCACATGAACCCTTTTCATCCTAATTTCATACTACCAATGTCACAATAGTGTCACACTGTTAATGTTACTCTGATTTATAAACGGAAACAATGGTGGTGTATCTGGTGTTCAAGAGTGTGGAAGAATGAAAGTCAAATGATAAGATTAACATTATTGTTAACTGGTTGGTCTTTGTCACCTAAGTGGTAAACTACCTGCCACAGGCCCCCAAGGATAAAGAAAAGGGTGTTTGAGTCTGGCTGTAGGCTAATTCTTTATTTCTGTTTCGCACTACTTCCTTACAATCATAGGGTGAAGAACTGAAAGTTACAATAAATTGTATATGTATGATATTCTTAATATTGAAAATATAACTAGCTATAATAAAATTGTAAAATTAATCTTCATCTTACCAGTATTAACACTTTTTGTGATCATCAGACAAACTGAGCTGTTTATAAGCCATTAATGTCCAGCATACCGAAAATGGTACAATGGCTACTAATGAGTTAAACAACCAGACAAAAATTACTCCCCACTCTCCACATAAGTATGACTATTTCAAGAAAAGTCAATGACTTTATAGTCAAAATTTGTAGAGATTCTTCAATTTTACAGATAAAAATTCAGATTTATTGTATTGGGATTCTTAGAATAACACTAAAAAGGTAATTTACAAAAATGTAAGTGATGTTTCTACTGAAAAATTTATAGTTAGCTTTTTAACTGGAAGGTTTTGTTGTAAAAGTAGATTTTAAGATGAACAACAAATACTGTTTTCCTTTGAAGTGTTCTTGCTAGTTGATAACCAATAGCAACAACAATCAACCAGACAAGCTGTTATTAATATCAGGTTTCTGATTTTATCATTATCTGCTATAGAATTAAAAGGGAGATTTTTCTATAAGACTAGTTATTGATTATCTTAAAACACTGTACTTTGTATTAAACTTATGCTTGTTTATAACCTTTTAATATAAATGGACTTAAATTCTCTTTATTAACATTAACCAAATTATTATTTCTAAGAAAACTGTTTTCTAAAAAAGAATCAGATATTACAAAAAAGATTTATCTTTTATAAACAGATCACTGGAGGATATAATTTAAATGAGTGTGAATCAAAATAATTATATCTTAAAAACATGTCAATAGGCATTGAACATTTTTTTTTGTTCAAGTTTCATTCTACATAGTACTAAAAAGGAAAGAAAAGTAGCTAACAACTTGATCATTCTTAGACTGTAATATGAGATATGATCTAGCTTAGGATAAACTAATATTTTTTTAATGGACACTAAAATAAACAGTGATTTATGCTTAAATTTAAAAATAGCTAAAGTTTCCTATTAAAAATATTTTCTATATTCATTTTAACTGTTTAATTTACTAAAAATAAAATCTTATTGTTTGCCTGAATTCCTGGGATGAGGTGTTAACATTATTTACATGCAGACTATTGGCTTCATCTATCACAACATTTTGGTAACAATAATAAAATGAGAATAGTCCACATTTAAATGTAAAAAATGTTATTAGTTGAGTGCTTTTAATCTTAAAATTTAGAATTGAATATTTGATAAAAAATATTTTCACTATAACAGGGAGTTTCTTATTTTTAATATATTAAAATTATAATAAAGAAATAATATTTTTTAATACATTAAACTTGATTTTAACATGCATCCTTTTTTTTGTTTATCAATTCCATGTCTATGTTTGGTATATGTAAGATTTGTTGGTCACATCATAAGTCATCAGATGATGAAAAAATAATTGGTATACCAAACATGTCATTTTTTACTTTTTAATTTTTAAATAATTTGGCTGTTTTTTGTTTTCTAGAACTTCAGCATCCATTTGCAATTTTTTCTAATAAGTTGATGGCAAAATTAGAAAAAAAATGGAGCTTATTTTTTTATTTTACCTTGAGTAATGGGGGGCGGTTGATTGATACACTCTTTAAGCAAATTAAGCCAAACTGGCTGCACTACACAGTGGTTGTTATAAATCTTTTCTGCCTCCAGACAATTAGTGAAATTCATATATAATGATAGTTCCATAAAAATGACACAGTTCTATCATGTCATACTTGTTTAATCAAAATCTTAATATTTTTCAAAGGACACATCAACATTAATATAGTTTTCAGAGAATACCAAGCCAGAGTACTTTGATTAAAAAAAACAAAAAAACAATCTGATTTATTTTATTTATTTTCAGTTATCCAAATGGAGACCGTTATGATGGTTACTTCAAAGATGGTCAGAAATTTGGACATGGAGTTTTTCGTCAAGGAAAACACCTGGCTAGTGTGGCAAGTGTTTATATTGGTGAATGGATGGCAGACAAACGTTGTGGGTATGGTGTCCTTGATGATGTGCTCAGAGGTTTGTAAATGCAGACATTTTCCATTATCTGCATATCTCCTTTGTTTGCATCTGTTATACTTGATAAAGGACAGAAAATATATCAATTATGGCAAATGAAAACATTGATTTCTAATCTAATCAATCTTTATGGTTTATAATACATTTTCTGTGAATTCTTAGCTCAGAAATTTTCATTTACTTTAGAAAAGTATTAAAAAATTGTTAAACATACTAAAATTCATGTACAAAGAACTGTGTCAACATCAGTTGACTATAATTATCACCTCTTGCAATATTATGAGTACTCCACTATGTAGTAATGGTTGGCAAGCTAGTCTTACAGACCATTACTACTACAGTGAGTTTATGCTGTACATTTTAGCTTTGTGTCAAATTATCAGTCCTTCACTATGGTGGTCGATAAGCTAGTCTTACAGACAATTACTTTTTTATTATGCCTCTTGATACACTGTGGAACACAGGGCCCAACAACACTTCTCCAATGGATGCAGTTCTGGGCAATCCTCTTCAGCTCAGCCCATGTTATGCCTGTTGTGTCAACATTTCTATGCCAAATCTGTTTTGGTGGCCCCACTTTTCCCTTCCCTTGTGGATTCCAGTCAAGGGCCTGCTTGGTGAGACTACAGCCATTACTATTGTAGTCTATATGAACCCAACTTAATGCTCCACATTTTAACCTTGCCACAGATTAAACTTATTAAATATCTAATACCTCTTCCTAATTGTATGAAATTATCAAATGGTGACAGTCCCTGAGTAAAATGTGAAGACGATAAAGTCAATAGATACATTCAAATCATACATTTTTTTATTTATTCTTTTGTTAATTTTATCTTAGACTTTTCCTAACATATTAATGTAGTGATGTAAAAATTAAGAAGCACTTCAAATGAAAGTAAAAATAAAATAAAAACATTAACAAGAAGCAACAGCTTTAAAATCTATTATAATATTACCAGATGATAACATTGCTATCAACATTTCAAAATGGTTTTATCACTTGACAATAGACAGACATTGAGCAACTAAAAACTTGTGTTGTTTTATGAATTTATATTTTTCAAGAACTTTGTCCAATTATTTTAAATATTTCCTGTGTTTTTTCTGGTTTTATGTTTTCATCATTGTATTTATTCTAGAAGTCATCAAGAAAATAATTTTTGTTTTGCAGGTGAAAAATACATGGGATTATGGCAAGATGACAATCGCCATGGTAATGGCATTGTAGTTACATTGGATGGCATGTACTTTGAAGGAAACTTTGTTCAGGGAAAACTTAGTGTTTGTATCATTGTTTTTTCATTTTCTTTTCTCTAGAATATTTTGCATTACTTTTTATGCTTATAAATTTGACATTTTCTTTTAAAGCAGCCATCATGAAACAAGAATTCTTAAATAGTTTTAATATTCTGTAGACATTTTTGGTCTTTTATATTTTTGTTGTATTTTTCCTTCTCAGATTTTCATGAGCCATAAAAAGTAGGCAGTTAAAATTGAAGACTTTTGGTACCAAATAATTAAAAATTGTAATGAAAGAAGAAATTTGGAGAATTTAACACTCACAGGACATAGCAAGGGCAAAAAGAACAAGGGGTGGCAGTGGACAAGCTTGTGGGAACAAATGGCAGAATGGGGGACAGGAGATTTGGCACAGTACAAACATTGCTAAAAGCTACAAGAAATAGGAGGTTGTGAAGAGCCATGACCAGCCATACCAGAAGAGCCATTGACCATCCATACCAGAAGAGCCATAGCACATACAAGATTGAATTAGAGGACCAAGTCAACAGATGTGTTGACACATATGGGGAGGTTCCCACCCACAGGACAATAGGCACTGTTCCTGACATCTATACAAATAAAACAATGAATAACTCTTACCTGTTTTCTTCAAGGTTGGGTCATTCAGCTCTACTTGCTTTGAATCAACAAGTTAGGGACAATTGCTGTGGAATGACTTTGAGGTGTGGAAAATCACAGTTGAGCTGAGTTGTATAAAGGATTTATAGTTTCTCAAAATCAAGGATGGTCTGTTTGTTTTCTTTATTTTTTTTAAAATCTTCATAGAAATTTATTTTCACATTGTTAGTCATTCAGGTTAGTCAAATAATATTTCTTTTGATATTTGCATATCAAGATTAAAATCATTTTTGAAAGATTTAAAACACTTCTTTGCTGCTGTTGAGATACAACTGAAAAGCTACAAATGTTAAAATAACACCTGTCATAGATCCCTCTGACAATTCCACAAATATGGACAGCAAAATCCAATTCATTTATATAACCTAGCTAAATTATCCTAACTCACACACATACACACAAACAGCTAATACAAGGCCTCTGATCAGAAGATTGGAGGTTTTGAGGAGTGTAGAACCACCTCTTAATTGCTGGTGTTCTTAGGTCCAGTCTGACCTGGGGTGGTAGCACCTGTTAGGGTCCCAGCTATGGGCAAATAGTTAACCTCCCAAACAAAAATACTATGAAAGTATAAAAATACATTTTAATACTAAAAATACCAGCAATACATTTTTATATACAAAGACCAACAATATATAATCAGTGTTCAAAATGTTTAGATTTCTGCATTAAATGACCCATAGAGATGTTGATGTGCTGCTAAACAAAATCAAACAATTCATGACATTAATCCATATAATAATAATAATAATATCTTACAATTTCTTAAATCAAACTGTATTCCAAAATATAACTTAAAACATAAAACACAGTCACTGCCTCTAGTAATTATGTCCATACACTTTTATATGAACGAATGCTGAGTATCATCTACCATGTAATTGTGAAAGCAGAATAACATATTCATTACTTCAAAGTTTCCAAGAAAATTAAATTTCAGCATTAATTGGCCCATAAGGAGTTGATATGTTGTTAAACAAATCAACATTAACAACAAGCCGATGTATACAATAAAGCTCATTAAAAAAAGACAAAAGCTTAAAACTCCATTACTGATTAATCTCATACCTTTAATTACTTCAATATTATCAGCTACCATTTTGTAATGCTTAAATGTTTCTTTTTTTTTTTTTGTTACTGTTTCCTTAAAAGAGTTTTGAATATTTTCATGGCAACTGTTCTGATGAACTTTCCTCCTTGCTGTCTCAACAGCATGAATTTGAGCATACTACTAGATTATCAATTGTTTTGCTGTTGAACTAGACAGATGTAATTGTATATGCTATTTTAATAGTTTCTTTTCTTGCCTGTGGAACTCTTTTCCTGTTTCTTGCTACCTACAATCTTCAAAAAAATGTAACGTCTATCATCATATTCTGTCTTCTTGAAACCTGTTTCTTCTCACTTAAGTCTTCTCATTCTCTTTCACTCACATAACCCCTTGCATCTTAATGACATTATCACCTTGGTTGAAGTGAAGTGATTAATTTTTTTTTTTTTAATTTTTTTATTTAGGGATTTGGTTTGATGCTGACAGATGATGACAGCTGTTATGAAGGGGAATTTTCTGGTATCACCCAACTGAATGGCAAAGTAAGTTTATAATAGATATGGAAATGTATTGTTTGGTGTAGGGATACAAGCATTTTTTTTAAAGTTTTTACAATTTTTATTACAAATTCTTTCCTTAAATGTAAATTGTTTTTAGAGTTGACATTTGTCTATTAAATCCTTTATGTATCTCATTTAATAACCATTGAGATACAGTCAGTGCCAAGACATAACTGAAAAAATACTACTAAGAAATACCACTTGTAATTTTCAACAACTAAAATTCTACAAAAATGGATCTCTCTTTTCTCACTGACCATAATTATTGTTTCTTATTTTCTGTTACCATAAAATATCCATTACTGAATTTGCTTTTATTATGACTGAAGATAAATATAACAATCATAGTTTACATAATAATTGTGGTTAAAGTGGATTGATTATTTTCTCTTTCAACTTCTTTCATATTCTGTCAGTGCCTCTAATGTACAGGTAATATAATGATAATTAGCACAAAATGGAATCAGTGAGAAGAGTTAAAATTCTAACTAAGTCTGCTAAGTTCACTTTTGCACTATTGCCCTTGGAAAAAGCAATAATATATCTCTCCTCTATCTATGGGTTAATAGGAAGGTAGACTGGGCTCTCTAGCCTTTGATAGCACCATAGATAAGGCAATATGAAACCATTCTATTATTTTTCCCAGAGAATCATAATTCCCAGATAACAAAGAAAAGAAATCTCTGGATTGCCATGGTCACCTACGTCCTGATGGGACATGGTATTTAGAAAAATTAATTGCCTAATGAGCAGAAATAAACTATTCTTTTCATCTTTATTTTCTGCAGCATTCTCACTATAGCGTGGGATATATATTTATATCAGTAGCTGTTTCAAGGTATATTCCTTATCCAAGAATATAAAAACTAAAAGATTTGAAATGGCATTAATATTTCAAATGTTCTCATGTTAACCTCTAAGCCATAATACGCAACAAGAACAATAGTCCATGTATCATAAATTGAAAACGAATACTATGCAGTCACTAATACTTTGTACTGTGAAATGTATGCATTCTTTTTGCTTGTGGAAAAAACGGCAAACATGGACCCTTGAACCTGCAAAAAATGGTGTTTCAAAAGGATGGTTTTTTCATAAACACCAATGTTATTTTGACTACATTGATTCCCTTATTTACGATTTTATAAAGAAATAAATATGAAAAGAAATTTTTTTTAAAATTACCAAATTATTAAAATATGTAAAGCATCTACAATGCAATAAGTTTTAAAACATCGATTTTTACCTATTTTCCCTTCCTCAGTAATGTTTGTTTTTTTAAAAAATTATGATTAGAATTTAAATAAAACCCAAACATATGAAGTTGAATTTATACATTTTTCTGTTCTTTGAGAATTTGCAACAAAAATATTACACAATATTTACTAGATTATTTATTTATGAAAATAATTTTATATTTAGAACATTCTTAAAATGCAAACTGGCTAATACAATGCAATGTTTATCATTTATGAAATAAATATGAAAATAATTTCTTTTCAATTTTTGAATAAAAAACTTCTTTGCACTCTTATTTCTTTATAAATTGGTAAATAATTTTTTATAATCTTGTAAATAGACATTGCCAAGGGAGTGAACATAGTTGAGATAATAGTGGTGTCAAGGGAAAAACTGTCTTTTCGAAACACTCTTCTTTTTTGCAAGCACAAAGGTCCATATTTTCTGAGGAAACTGTGTTGATTAGCAAGAAATTCTCTTACAACTTAATAATAAATTACTTACACATAATTGTTATTATCTACTACAATGATGTTATCTTTCTTTTTTTTTTATTACCTGATATATTTTTTTTCACTCAGTTTTTTCTTGCAAATGAATTTCTAATGACCGTTTGTCTCATTTGATAAAGAAATTGTAATGTTGTCCTTGGTTGTGTTTAGACGCAACTTTTCAGGTGGTTGCTGTGCCTGTATACAGAATAAGTGTTGGGATCAAAAAGTGATCCAGTTCTTGAAAAATCACATCTGCCAAAAAAAATCAGTTGAAGAATCATTCTGATTTATTCATATGCTTCAACAGTGAGACTGGACAGTTGCTACTAGATTTTGAAAATGGGGAAAATAAAAAAAATCAAATCAAGTTCCCTCCTCATAGTACTGACCTGACCTAGGGTGAATTGCTCCTACCTGGCTAAACAGTTCCTCATGTTGGCTTAATTAGGAAAAGTTATAAATCACAGCTCCCAACCCACATTCATCCCAGACTGAAATATTTAAAATAGTAGTGTTGCCTCCTTTGAGCTGTCATGCTCAATTAAAGGATCATTCATTCCCCCCCCCCCCGCTCATTTAATTAGCAAATTCCTGTATAGTGATACTAAATCTGCCAATAAAACCAAGCAGTTGAAAAGTTATCAAACTCTAGTCATTGGTAAGATGACTAAGCGAAAAATATTAAAAAGAAAACAAAAACAAAATAAGCAAGATATATATGATGGTTTCAAATAATTAAATGGAAACAAAAAATAGTTTACACTATTTAGACTATTGTCCTCAAGGACACATAGCACAGTGGATAAAGACGTTACTTAGATCTATTGACAGGACCCAAAGAGTGTGAGTTCAATACCCAATTAAGGCAGTGGAGAACTTTCAGAGGGGAATTAACAGTAGATAACTGATAACTAACATCCATTAAACATGGCACGTGAAACTAGAACAGTCTACCCCAGTGAGCGAAATAAAGGGTTCAGTTTGACATTCCAACCACCTGAAGAAGGCCAGAGCATACAACGGCCGAAACGTTGTAATAAATATGGCGACCATCATGAGGACAATAGTCCGAATAATGTAAATAGTGTACATAATGCCTCATCTCAGAAATATAGACAGATACTGAAAAAATAGTTTACTTAGTGAAAAACACACACACACACACACACACACACATTTGGTTTTTGATCCTTATGACTTTTGTCTGGTGACAATTATAAAAAAAAAAATATTTCATCACTTCCTGGTGGTGTTGGCTATTCAATCACCATTGATCACCAATTGATATGGTGATTTTCTAAGTGTAACTTAGATGTGGCACAAGGCTGAAAGTGAGGAGCATCCAGTGTAATTGATCTAGCAAGACAAGCTTGCTAACCATTATACTACATCGAAGTGCCCAAATCCCAAATTGATATGTATTTACAACTTAACTAAAAGCCACTAAGCACACAGTACTGTGTCATACTGATATTTCAACTTGAAGAGACACAAAGTATTTAAATCAATCAACATCTGATATTAATTTCTCTACAAAAGTCTCACAATTATCTGAATTCTGATTTCATCAACTCATTCTCCTTATCTACCAATGTTTGTTTTAAACACTTAAATTCTTAATCTCTTTTTTTTTTTCCAACATTTTCTCTTTTGATCCACAAGACATGACTTGAAAGTTATAAGAATGTATTACTTAGCATTTTAGAAGAAGTAAATACAGAAACTGGCTGATTTTTTTTATTGTATTTGTTGTCTGTTGACAAGGGATGTACTTACAAAAGTGTTATTAATCATATTACAGTTACAATTTTATCTTTTGCCATTTTTCCATACTGAAATAAACACAAGTATTTTTCTGTGATGAATGACTAGACAATGCTTGCTTATTTGTCATATGTATGAGGCCTTTGCTCTGATTAAAAAAAATAACAAGTCCTCTTTCTATTGTTTATTAGGGCTAAGATAAAGAACAAATAGGAAATGTTTATCAATCTGACATGTTTCACTTTCATTAAAGCTTTATCAGAGAATGAGATATGGAGAAAAAGAAATTCTGGTATTTTTACTTTTGTATTGTTTGATTTTCATTGGTTAATCATGTTTCATGTGCATTCAACTGTTAAACAAACATTAGTATAATTTATGATGCAACAAATTCAAGGAGAGACAGTGAGTGCCTTCAAAGTTCCAAAAAATTAATGGATTCCAAGCCTAACTGAAAAACTGTAAATATTGCTTTATGTATGTAAGTGTATCATAATTCTAGTTTGTCTTTGTGGGATTCAGACAATAATGTATATTTGCAAGTGTATGTCTAGTAGAGATTATATTTGGTGTTTTTTGGGGGGTTTTTTGTTTTTTTTTTGCATGATTTGGGAACATTTTTACATACATACTGTTTGTTTTAGATAAACATACATTACATTCTTTAAGAATAGATTCAATAAATGTTGGTTATTTTATTCACATCTTTATATTTGTATTCAATTTTAGTATTTATTTTTTTGGTTTAGTCTTGTTAAATGTGATGTTTTCTTTTTTTAGGGTACTCTGCGTCTTCCAAATGGTGACCGTATTGATGGTCATTTCAGTGGTTCCTGGAATGAAGGTCTAAAAGTAAATGGTACTTTTCACAAAGGAATGGCTCAAGATAGTCTGAAGAAAACGGGCCATGTGTGTGGCATTCAGTCAAAGTAAGTGCATGTTTTGTTAATTCTATTTTTTTTAGGGACAAATGATATCAATTTACTGAGACTGAAATGAATTTACTGATCAGATGCTTCAAAATGCATCTTATAAATTTATGATGACACTTGGATCATGGACTTTTGAAAACAGAAAATGATTCTTAATTCTGATTGGATAGGCTGCCTTATAAAAATTACTGTCTTTGAATGACTTTTTTGATTTTGATCAGCCAATTTAATAATAGCACTAAATCTGTTTTATTAGACTGCCACAAAATTAAATGTATGGAGTCTATCACATTACCTATTTTAGTTTTATTTAGAGGTTACGTTTGTTTTGTTTTGTTTTTTTTTATAATTATTTAAAATCTGTAACTATTTCAATTGCTCTCTCTTATTTAACATGATATATACATACATTATATTACCTGCTATAGTGAGCATTTAGGAAAGGTTTTATAACATGCTACCCTGACATGTGAGATTACTATTAAAGAGTCTCTTATTAAGTAACCACTTGTTGAAAAAACTAAATGGGGAGAAAATATATTTTTGTGAATTCCAGGGAAAAGATTTTTTTTTTTTTTTGTCATTTACTTTTTAATTCCACATTTCATGAGTTCAGGGAAAATGTTTCCACTATTCTAGAAATACCTTCTCTAACAACAAAAAGAAAATAATTTAAATACACTTTTTCATAACTGGCTAACATAATTTAATGTTTTTACTTAACCTAAAGATGAAATAATATTTTGATTAATTTATAACAAGCTCCAGTATAAATAGACACATTTACCTGTTATTCTCCTTCCCTGCCTCTTGAACAGATTGATCCCTTGTTTCCTATTTAGGATTGGGTCTGGTTCCTTCTAAAACATTCTCATTTCTTTTCATTCATATAATATTTATATATAATAATGAATACAGAATCCTTAAAAATCCATTCAGGTGATAATTTATTTTGTGAACTCAGCCGTCCATCTCTTCAGACCAAATTTTACAAAATAAATGTAGTTCAATTTATTCAGACATAAGAAAATGAAAAAAAGGAAGAGAGAGAAAATTGAAAAAGGAAAAACTTTTAATATTAAACGAGGAGAGAAAAAAGGGGGAGAAAGATTTCAATATAAGGTTTGTTAGGAGGAAGAGAAAGAGAGATAGACATGGGGAGGGAAAGGAAGGAGTTAAGCCAGTTGCCATGGTGCCCCAGAAATATATTTTATTCCCGAAACTGGACAAATTAAAAAATAGGGTGGGGGAAAGGAGTGATCATATTTCAAAATTTAGTCATTTTAAGCAGCAAAACCATCATCATTGCATCACAATTACAAACTACTACTAATAATAAAAATATTAATAATATCATTAAATATTTGACATCAATATAAAGAAATAACATCAATTTAAAAAAATTAAATTATTTAAAAACATTTTAAAAATAAAAAAAAAGTTTAATTAATAAAGAGATAAAGGACCATTTTAAGTGACTAAAAACTTAAAATTGCAAACACACACACACACACATATATATATATATATATATATATATATATAAGTAATCTGCTAATTTTACATAAAAACCGCTCATCTTTAAATTTGTTTGATTATTCGCATAATTTTCTATCAAAATCATAATAATGTACTTTGTTCTAAATATATTTATCAAGTAGATAAATCACAGAACTAATTGAAAGGTTGATAAGACATAAAAACAAATCAGTCAATCAGAACTAATTTTGTTTTTTCAATTTTTATGAAGTTTCTATTAATTTCTGACAAACACTTATTTTTATTCTTCCTCAAAATCTTTATTGAACAATCTTTGCTATTTCCTGTAATAAAATAGAAATTATGCAATATATCAAACTAGCAGCGTTGTTCATGCTTGATTCAAAAATCGTACAACTAGTACAGCAATCGCTATCACTTGACTTAAAATATTTTTGCCCTTCCTTGTCTTTAAAGGAGTGCCCTTTGCCGTGCTGATGTTGCTACATGCCTTACTTCTTGCCTATCTCACACTGAATTTTTTCTAAGCTCTATACTAAACATTAAATCTGTTACGAAAAAAGAACTAAACAAAATGAACATGAAACGATCAGCTTTAAAAAAGGACTTGTAACTGGAAAAACTGAATGAAAAAAGAATGTTAACAACAAATTTTTTCACACCCAACCCAGTTCTCTTGGAATCAGAATCAACGTTGAGTTTAAGCAAGCGAATGAGCCAATTGGAGTAAAGTGCCATGCAGATTTAAATTTTTCCCACTTGTGACGAATGCAGCTATCAATTTTTTTGAATGCTAGTTAACATTCGTGTCAGTCAGCTGTTGGCTTTCACGCTGGCCAATAGAATCTTCCCGCCTATTTGTGGCAGCCAGCTATAGGCTCTCACTCTGGCCAGTACAAAATACATGAAAACTGCTGTAGAAGCATGAAAAAATCGATTATTTCCACTATGGGAGTTGGGAAATGCAAAGTCGGTCTTGGCCTTCCAGCTAACTTGGAGCATGTGCATGTAAATTTTGGTGCAAATCTGTCGAAAATTGCAGCCGTGCATTCGTTACACACACACACACACATCCTACCTTTTATAGATAGAGATAGTTATATTGACAAGGGAAACAACTCTGCTGGGCAAATATTTTAACCAAAAAAAAAAAAGGCGTAATCAAAAAGAGGATTGATTTCAGCATGTTAGATTCTGGCTTAAGCAGTTTGTAACAAATGCCAGAGTTAGCAAAAGGTTGCTAACCCCTGCTATAGGTTAATGTTTATTATGTTTTGTTTTTTTTTCCTGTTTTGTCCAGAACATATGGTTCGTTATCTGTGACTGCTGACCGTAAATGGGAAGACATTTTTAGTCATTGCAAAGCCATGTTGGGCTATACAGGTGAAGGTAAAGCTGACACAGGCAAAGCATGGGAATCCGTGGCTGTGATGATCACAAGAGGCAAAAAGACGCTCAATGATCGAGAATTCAAGTAAGTCTTATTTTTCTTTTTTTAAATGAATTTCTTCAGATATTCTTGAAAGAAGATTTCTGAATGTTGTGATATTCTAGAATGACTTGTAGTGTGTTGAAAGTAATTTTATTTTGGTTGTACACTTATCCAAATTTTGGATGTGTAAGTTTTAGCCAGTAAATATTTAATCTTTATTGAATGATCTAATAAAAACATTCCAGAAAAATTTATTTTCAACATAATGTGCAACCTTCCAGAACACATAATCTGGAACTAGACTACCCCCCCCCCCCATTCTTCCCTTTACTCTGCTTTTTGGGACCGGGGGGGGTAGGTTGGGTTTGTAACCTACAAAATGCAATGGGAAACAATTTGTTTTTCTTTTTTGACAAAATTAACAGGTGGAAAATTCATATATTAGAATAGCACAAATTCCAGTAGAAAATATAGTGTACATATAAAATTCTGTGATTTCTTTTAGTGCATCCATCCATCCATCCATCCATCACACCCTCTAAAATAGCTATACATTGACTGATCAAAACCAAATTTTGTGGTGAAGTGTAAACAGATACAGGGGTACAAAGTACAATTGGTTTTACTTGGGTATGTAGCTTAGTACAATAAATTTTCATTAATTTTTTGTAAAAATTAAAAGTTTTATTATTTAACATGCAAAATACTCCCACTATTTTAAAAACAATTTAAGGATTAAAATAAATACTTGTTTAATAAAAATACAATATTGTTTTTTGTCTATCTTTAAGGTTTTATATATAAGTTTCCAGTTTGCCCTGCATTTGTGAGAACTATGCACAAATCAAGGTCAAATACTTCAAAAAATTGGAATTTGGCTCCAGAAAGAAATATGTATATATAGCCAGTTGTATATTACATGCTCAAGAGTAAGACATCTTAAAAATTTATTCTTTGCTGTTAAACAGGAAAAAATATTTTTTTTAACAAATATTGTTTACCATGAAGTCCTATACAATTAAAAAAAATTATTAAGCTGTGAAGTAGGGTTTTTGTCAAAGAATTTTTTTTCAAACAAATTAGAGTATTCAAATTTCATTGATTGATTTGTGAAATTGAAGGAAATGTAGAGTTTGTAAATCTCGATAAAAAATGTTAGTGATAATTTCAACAGTATTAAATGCTGACACATATTGCAAAAAAATTCTAGTATGTAAAAATCACAAAGTATACAAATAACAAATTAAAATTAAAAGTGTAAGATGCCTCTGAAAAATTATGGTTGAAATTAAAAGAATGATCTGAGAAAATCATCCCAGAACATGCTTAATGTGTAGGACCTGCCAGGACATCTTAAACCCTGTTCCTTTATTGTCTTTTCCTTACTTCTCTTCACTAATTTTTTCACTTTCTCTTTCACTCCCTGTAACCCCCTACGTCCTATTGCCTTGATTGGTGTGGAATGATTTTAAAAAAAAATTGTAAATGAATGCTTATTTATGACTGGATACCTTGCTAAAGGTTGGAGATTTGTTAGTTGAAACATTGATTGTAAGCTTTACATCAAAATGCACATACAGTCTAAATTATCATCATTCCAAATGTAAACAGCATAATACATAAAATGTTAAGAAAATAAACAAAATGTCAATGGTATGATAGCCATTTCCACACAGGAAACATTCAGCATTCATTAAATAAACACAGCATTACTTTCTGTTAAAATTTATAAAAATAATTTCTTAAAACATTTTTTCAGGAAATTTAATTTCTCAAGTCTACTGTTATCACTTTTTGGGAATTTCCTTCCAAAACTTTTTCCTTAAGGTAGTGTGGAAAATCAACATTTAGATTATATGATTATTTCCCCTTCTAGTTACATCTGTTACTGATGTTTTGTTGATGTTGAAAATCTTAAAATGATGTACTTTTTGTTATTTGGTAGAGCTGTTTGTGATTTTGTAGCCCCAGTCTATAGGGTCTAATGAAGGATTTATTTGCTTGAAGACATTTTTAATCATTAATCTGAGAAAGTGTTGTATATAGATGATAGTTTAAACATTTCTGGATGACCTGGGTGCCAGGCAAAATAGCTATATAAAAGTCTAGATCTGATGAGGCTATTTAACTTGAGTTTTCAGGTTAATATTTTGACTTTGTAACAACTCATGTGGTTGAACAGAAGAACTCTTAGTACAACCTATCTTGTATTAAATTTACTTATCTCCTTTACCTCATACGAATTAATAATAATTCTTGATAAATGATTTTCTTTTTATGATTCCAAGATGGCTACATAAAAATAAAATATAAAAAGCAGAAACAAACATTTTTCTTAATTGAATTTTAAGAGAAATTAATTTTTTTGTTTCCAGTTCGCCTTCCAAGATGCGAATGATGTCAAGCACTTTGGAAGAATTAGAGAAAATCCCCCCATATTCAGAAGGAAGGATAACTCTGGAATATTATCACAAAATTGCAAGATACCTTGCTATGGTAGGAAAAAAATGCACATTTTTCATTGTCTTTTCCTTTTTTTCTTTTTCTCCCTTTTTTCTTTCCGTTTTTTTCCCCTTTTTCTTTTCTTCCTTTTCTTTTCCTTTTTTCTTGAAAATCACAATACCCAAATTCACATTTTGTCATCATTTCTTTGAATTTATTAATGTTGATTGGTTCTAAACTCTCCAGATATTATCAATTCACATATTTTTGTTATTTTTTTCAGGCTTTTGATACAAAATTTCACCCAGTTGGCAAGCTTATTGATGGTCTTGTTGATGTTTTCCGTGCCGCCTATATTGGAATTGGAGCTCATCCTCGTCTTCTACCACATGCTGTTCAAGAAATCAAGTCTTATGTCAAACGCATTTATAAAGTTATTCGGTGAGTATATTATTTATACTGGACAGTCTCTGCGATTGATAAAAATTTGGTGAGACATTTTTTCTCTCCAGAATCTATCCTGCATCTCTATAAGTTGACCAATTGTTCATGATTAGAATATTGCTGTCACATATGGGCCAGTCTTCCTGCTATTTATCTAGAGCACCTTGATAAAATCCAAAGAAGAATCAGCAATATTATCAGTCCTGATCTGGCATCTCGACTTCAGTCGCATTCCCACCACTGTAAGGCTGCCTCACTGTGTCTTTAAAAATACTTTCATGGTAATTGGTCAAATGAGCTCTTCGCTATGGTACCTAGACTTTTTAAATCTAAGTATGATACTAGACTGGCATCAAGATCTCATCAAGTTAAAATTGTCCTTCTGATTACTCTTTTTGTTCTCACTCATTTGTAATATTTCTGTTTCTAATTCTTCCACAGCCAGTAACCCCTTTGCGTCTTAGTGGCTTTGCTGCTTTGTATGGAGTGAATTTTAATTTAAAAAAAACAAAAAACAAAACCTTATCCTCTAAGAAATTTTGAAGTACTTTTAATTTTCCACAAAAGAATCTTCCTTAACAATTTTTGGCAATGTTTTTGTTTTAAGCATAAATAGATACAAAATCAGGCTTTTAAAATTGTATGATTGTCATCATCAATTATGTGCCATATCCCTTCAAGATGTGGGTGATCATGACTTGCCAAACTTCCTGTCCTTGTAGCTTTAAGCAATGCTTGATACAAAACCATCTTGTCTATGTTCTTTTTAAACAAACTCATTTTGTTTTGTTTTCCCCTTTTCCGATTGTTTGGCTATCCATTTAAACAAACTCATTAGTTTCCTGTCCCTTGTAAGCCCTTGACTTTTCTTGTCTATTTTCTGCTATCCATTTTAAACAAACTCATTAGTTGTTTGCTGTTTCCTATAACCCTTCATGATGTGGTGTTGATCATGGCTTGCCACAACTTCCTGTCCCTTGTAGCTTTAAGCAATGCTTGACTCTTTACCATCTTGTCTATTTCATTTAAACAAAACTTTAGTTGTTTGTTGTTTTCCTATAACCCTTCATGAATTTCATTTCCTGTCCCTTGATGTGCTTTCAATGCTTGAACCATCTTGTCTATGTTCTGCTATCCATTTAAACAAACTCATTAGTTGTTTGCTGTTTTCCTATAACCCTTCATGATTGTTGATCATGGCTTGCCATTTTTTTAAGCAATGCTTGCTCTTTACCATCTTGTCTATGTTCTGCTATCCATTTAAACAAACTCATTAGTTGTTTGCTGTTTTCCTATTTCATGATGTGGTGTTGATCATTTTCCCCTGTCCCTTGTAGCTTTTTAAGCAATGCTTTTTACCATCTTGTCTATGTTCTGCTATCCATTTAAACAAACTCATTAGTTGTTTGCTGTTTCCTATAACCCTTCATGATGTTGGTGTTGATCATGGCTTTTACCATCTCTATGTTCTGTATCCATTTAAACAAACTCATTCCTGTCCCCCTTCATAGCTTTAAGCAATGCTTTTTACTTTGTTCTATCCATTTAAACAAACTCATTAGTTGTTTGCTGTTTTCCTATAACCCTTCATGATGTGGTGTTGATCATGGCTTGCCACAACTTCCTGTCCTTGTAGCTTTAAGCAATGCTTGACTCTTTACCATCTTGTCTATGTTCTGCTATCCATTTAAACAAACTCATTAGTTGTTTGCTGTTTTCCTATAACCCTTCATGATGTGGTGTTGATATGGCTTGCCACAACTTCCTGTCCCTTGTAGCTTTAAGCAATGCTTGACTCTTTACCATCTTGTCTATGTTCTGCTATCCATTTAAACAAACTCATTAGTTGTTTGCTGTTTTTTCCCCTTCATAATCATGGCTTCATTTTGGAGTACCATCTTGTCTATGTTCTGCTATCCATTTAAACAAACTCATTAGTTGTTTGCTGTTTTCCTATAACCCTTCATGATTGGTGTTGATCATGACATTTTTTCTCCATTAGTTGCTTTAAGCAATTCCATCTTTTTGTTATCCAGGTCTATGTTCTGCTATCCATTTAAACAAACTCATTAGTTGTTTGCTGTTTTCCTATAACCCTTCATGATGTGGTGTTGATCATGGCTTGCCACAACTTCCTGTCCCTTGTAGCTTTAATGCTTGACTCTTTACCATCTTGTCTATGTTCTGCTATCCATTTAAAACAAACTCATTAGTTGTTTGCTGTTTTCCTATAACCCTTCATGATGTGGTGTTGATCATGGCTTGCCACAACTTCCTGTCCCTTGTAGCTTTTAAGAATGACTCTTTACCATCTTGTCTATGTTCTGCTATCCATTTAAACAAACTCATTAGTTGTTTGCTGTTTTCTTGTGGTGTTGATCATGGCTTGCCACAACTTCCTGTCCCTCTTTAAGCAATGCTTGACTCTTTAGTCTATGTTCTGCTATCCATTTAAACAAACTCATTAGTTGTTTGCTGTTTTCCTTTAACCCTTCATGATGTGGTGTTGATCATGGCTTGCCACAACTTCCTGTCCCTTTGTAGCTTTAAGCAATGCTTGACTCTTTACCATCTTGTCTATGTTCTGCTATCCATTTAAACAAACTCATTAGTTGTTTGGTGTTTTTCCTATAACCCTTCATGATGTGGTGTTGATCATGGCTTGCCACAACTTCCTGTCCCTTGTAGCTTTAAGCAATGCTTGACTCTTTACCATCTTGTTTAATCCATTTAAACAAACTCATTAGTTGTTTGCTGTTTTCCTATAACCCTTCATGATGTGGTGTTGATCATGGCATTCCTGTCCCTTGTAAATGACTCTTTACCATCTTGTCTATGTTCTGCTATCCATTTAAACAAACTCATTAGTTGTTTGCTGTTTTTCCTATAACCCTTCATGATGATCATGGCTTGCCAAACTTCCTGTCCTTGTAGCTTTTGCTTGACTCTTTTACCATCTTGTCTATGTTCTGCTATCCATTTAAACAAACTCATTAGTTGTTTGCTGTTTTCCTATAACCCTTCATGATGTGGTGTTGATCATGGCTTGCCACAACTTCCTGTCCCTTGTAGCTTTAAGCAAAATCTTTACCATCTTGTCATGTCTATATCCATTTAAACAAACTCATTAGTTGTTTGCTGTTTTCCTATAACCCTTCATGATGTGGTGTTGATCATGGCTTGCCACAACTTCCTGTCCTTTTGTAGCTTTTTAAGCAATAATTGACTCTTTTACCATCTTGTCTATGTTCTGCTATCCATTTAAACAAACTCATTAGTTGTTTGCTGTTTTCCTAGATGTGGTGTTGATCATGGCTTGCCAAACTTCCTGTCCTTGTAGCTTTAAGCAATGCTTGACTCTTTACCATCTTGTCTATGTTCTGCTATCCATTTAAACAAACTCATTAGTTGTTTGCTGTTTTCTTCATGATGTGGTGTTGATCCTTGCTTCCTGTCCCTTGTAGCTTTAAGCAAACTCTTTACCATCTTGTCTATGTTCTGCTATCCATTTAAACAAACTCATTAGTTGTTTGCTGTTTTCCTATAACCCTTCATGATGTGGTGTTGATCATGGCTTGCCACAACTTCCTGTCCCTTGTACTTGACTCTTTACCATCTTGTCTATGTTCTGCTATCCATTTAAACAAACTCATTAGTTGTTTGCTGTTTTCCTATAACCCTTCATGATGTGGTGTTGATCATGGCTTGCCACAACTCTCCTGTCCCTTTGTTTTAAGCAATGCTTTGACTTTTTTACCATCTTGTCTATGTTCTGCTATCATTTAAACAAATCATTAGTTGTTTGCTGTTTTCCTTAACCCTTCATGATGTGGTGTTGATCATTTTCCTGTCCCTTGTAAATGCTGACTCTTTACCATCTTGTCTATGTTCTGCTATCCATTTAAACAAACTCATTAGTTGTTTGCTGTTTTTCCCTATAACCCTTCATGATGTGGTTGTTGATCATGGCTTGCCACAACTTCCCTGTCCTTGTAGCTTTAAGCAATGCTTGACTCTTTACCATCTTGTCTATGTTCTGCTATCCATTTAAACAAACTCATTAGTTGTTTGCTGTTTTCCTATAACCCTTCATGATGTGGTGTTGATCATGGCTTGCCACAACTTCCTGTCCGTTGTAGCTTTAAGCAATGCTTTTTACCATCTTGTCTATGTTCTGCTATCCATTTAAACAAACTCATTAGTTGTTTGCTGTTTTCCTATAACCCTTCATGATGTGGTGTTGATCATGGCTTGCCACAACTTCCTGTCCCTTGTAGCTTTAAGCAATGCTTGACTCTTTACCATCTTGTCTATGTTCTGCTATCCATTTAAACAAACTCATTAGTTGTTTGCTGTTTTCCTATAACCCTTCATGATGTGGTGTTGATCATGGCTTGCCACAACTTCCTGTCCCTTTGTAAAGCAATGCTTGACTCTTTACCATCTTGTCTATGTTCTGCTATCCATTTAAACAAACTCATTAGTTGTTTGTTGTTTTTTCCTATAACCCTTCAATCATGGCTTGCCACAACTTCCTGTCCCTTGTAGCTTTAAGCAATGCTTGACTCTTTACCATCTTGTCTATGTTCTGCTATCCATTTAAACAAACTCATTAGTTGTTTGCTGTTTTCCTATAACCCTTCATGATGTGGTGTTGATCATGGCTTGCCACAACTTCCTGTCCCTTGTAGAAGCAATGCTTGACTCTTTACCATCTTGTCTATGTTCTGCTATCCATTTAAACAAACTCATTAGTTGTTTGCTGTTTTCCTATAACCCTTCATGATGTGGTGTTGATCATGGCTTGCACAACTTCCTGTCCCTTGTTTTCTTTTACCATCTTGTCTATGTTCTGCTATCCATTTAAACAAACTCATTAGTTGTTTGCTGTTTTCCTATAACCCTTCATGATGTGGTGTTGGATTTTGCAGCTTTAAGCAATGCTTGACTCTTTACCATCTTGTCTATGTTCTGCTATCCATTTAAACAAACTCATTAGTTGTTTGTGTTTTCCTATAACCCTTCATGATTGGTGTTGATCATGGCTTGCCACAACTTCCTGTCCCTTGAAGCAATGCTTGACTCTTTACCATCTTGTCTATGTTCTGCTATCCATTTAAACAAACTCATTAGTTGTTTGCTGTTTTCCTATAACCCTTCATGATGTGGTGTTGATCATGAGCACCACAACTTCCTGTCCCTTGTAGCTTTAAGCAATGCTTGACTCTTTACCATCTTGTCTATGTTCTGCTATCCATTTAAACAAACTCATTAGTTGTTTGCTGTTTTCCTATAACCCTTCATGATGTGGTGTTGATCATGGCTTGTTCCTGTCCCTTGTAGCTTTAAGCAATGCTTGACTCTTTACCATCTTGTCTATGTTCTGCTATCCATTTAAACAAACTCATTAGTTGTTTGCTGTTTTCCTAAACCCTTCATGATTTGTTGATCATGTTGCCTTCCCTGTCCCTTGTAGCTTTAAGCAATGCTTGACTCTTTAAGTCTATGTTCTGCTATCCATTTAAACAAACTCATTAGTTGTTTGCTGTTTTCCTATAACCCTTCATCCATTTGCCATTCCTGTCCCTTGTAGTTTAAGCAATGCTTGACTCTTTACCATCCATGTTCTGCTATCCATTTAAACAAACTCAAACTAACCCTTCATGATGTGGTAATTTTGACTCCCTTGTTTCTTTTTGCTATCCATTTAAACAAACTCATTATTGTTTGCTGTTTTCCTATAACCCTTCATGATGTGGTGTTGATCATCCTCCTGTCCTTGTTGATTTACCATCTTGTCTATGTTCTGCTATCCATTTCCTCATTAGTTGTTTGCTGTTTTCCTATAACCCTTCATGATTATCATATTCCTCTTAAGCAAATTTCTTTACCATCTTGTCTATGTTATCCATTTAAACAAACTCATTAGTTGTTTGCTGTTTTCCTATAACCCTTCATGATTTAGCTTGCCACAACTTCCTGTCCCTTGTAGCTTTAAGCACTTTCTTTACCATCTTGTCTAAACTTCCATTTAAACAAACTCATTAGTTGTTTGCTGTTTTCCTATAACCCTTCATGTTTCATGGCTTTGGTCCCTTGTAGCTTTAAGCAATGCTTGACTCTTTACCATCTTGTCTATGTTCTGCTATCCATTTAAACAAACTTTGTTTTCCTATAACCCTTCATGATGTGGTGTTGATCAAAAAATTGCTTTAAGCAATGTTCTTTTACTCCTTCCTTTGCATCTCCAAAACTCAAATTTTCTCACTGTTTCTTTTTTCTCCTCATACCTTCATTATTCACTGTCCCTTCCTAATGTCTTAGAAATTTCAACTTTCTGAATTATGAGTGTCATTTTAGTTCTCACTTTCTTTAAAACTTCCTCATTTGACATTTTCTGTTCATAGTATTCGCAGTTTTCATCTGTAGAGTTTCAATGGAATAGATATCCTATGTTTTCTTTTGTTTCTAATGGAATATTCCTGTGTCTTAATACATTGCTTCATTTCTGAAAGGCTTCTTTTGCTATTCCAATGCACCTCCAGATCTTTGGTATCACACTTTCCATCACCTGTTATTACACTTTCTAGAGTATTACATTTCTGAAGTTGGCAATGTGTTTAACATTTGAGCCTGCAAAAAAAAAAAAATTGTTAACAGGACAGTTATTCCCTTGACACTACTATTATTGTATACACTTTTGACTCCCTTGGTAATGTTTCTTGTTTTTCAAAAACAATGATTAGAACTTTAATAAAATCCAAATGTATGAAAGTGGATTTATATATTTTTGTATTCTTTAGAATTGAAAACAAAGATTTATTAGTTTGAATAAAAAAAAACTTTGTTTTCATAGTTATTTGTAAAGTGGTAAATAATAAATATTGCATTGTAGTTTATTCACATATTTACCTGATTTCTTGCCCAGGAATTTTCAGCTAAATGTCTCTTTATATAATTGAACATAAAGAAAAAGATTCTTTTTTAGCTAACCTGGTGGACACAAAGTAAGAGTTCAGTTTAACATTATATTTACATTGTAAATAGAGCCCTTCATTAAAACTTCAAAAGTTTTGAAATTGATAACCTCAGTCCACAACTCTGTGCTGCAGTTAATTTTAGCTCCATAATCTTTTCCATGGCTGTATAGTATGTGTGCTTTGCCAGGAATTGGTTTTGAATTCAGAGTTGCCTTTCTCCAAGACTTGTTGCTAACCAAGGCTGAAAATCCCACTCTGTTTTACTTATTTAACCCATAGCTGTTGGAAGAAGGGATGGATTTATACCTTTCTTAAGGTTATTTGTATTAAAGTGAATACTGTTATACCATACCTATGGACTATAATGGGTATGTCCCAATCCTCATAAATACAGTAGAATATACTCACCACTAGTTCACCATTAGTATTGGATTACTTTCTACACACTGCTGGTGAATCTTGTATGCTGTTCCTGTTATAAAGATTACCATTCCATTTCCAACCTTCATTTTGGTTATTCTTATTCAGTAACCTTTTCTAGGTCACAACAATAACAAACTTGACTGGAATTTGAACTTGCCTTGCCAATTTCTTGTTCTGAGACTCTAACCATTAAACCACCTGCACATCCTTGGTAAAATATTATTATTATCAGCATCATCACCATCATTATTATTTATTATTATAGATTTATGTTTTGTTTTTTTTGGAAGAGGGTATATTTTTTACACCCTTCAAATTTATTTTGCAAAGTTTATTTATTTTTTAAAGTTTTGAAGACAAAAGTATTGCTAAGTGGTCCAACTGTGGGTAAATGAAATTGTGGTTGGTGAAGTTCTACAAAATATTCACTATACAACACAAATCTTAAAGATAAACAATTTTCTTTTATTAATACTCATATACTTCTTTTTTTTTCTTTCCATGCATTTAATTTGTGCCTCACATTTTTACTATAAACTCTCCCATTTTATTCTGACAACACAAAATTTTATCTTTTTGAAAAAAGATTAAAAAAAGCCCATATAAAGATTTTTTTTTTTTGTTTTTAATCTTAATCCTGTTTTAAGCTAACAAATACTACAAAATGTGACATGTGGTGTCAGTACAATTTTTTTTCTATTGATCTTTTTGTACCACAAATTAATTTAACTCATTCTTTGTTTTCAACTGCTGATAAGGTATTTGATATTAAATCAAATCCAAAATGGCTTCTTCTTTTTTTTTTTTTTTTCATAAATTTTGGTTTCTTTTCACAGGATTTTATTTCCAGATCTTCCTTCATCATCAAAACCTGTTCGCATTTATTCCATTAAGACTCCACCTCCTCCTGCAGATGAGAACGAGAGTGTCATTGAACAAGACTTCATGACCAACAATGAAAAACACAATAGGTGAGCTGAAACAGCTTAGAAAAAAAAAACTTGATATTCTTGCCTACTTTTTTTTTCTTCTTTTTTTTTCTTCTTTTTTTCCCATTTAGTGTAAATTGTTCTTGAAATAAATACCACATTATTTTTATGCCCTGTAAAATTAACCTATTGGTCATATTTTACAAACATACACACACACACACACATTAAAAACAACAGATATTTTGTGTCAATTAATTTTACTGATTGAATTTTACAAATTACACAAAAATATCTTGAAATACTAAAAAGTAAATTTATTCAATAAAATCACTATTGGCTTCAACCACAGCCTCCAGATGACTTCAGAATTTCCTGCAACTCTTCTGGACAGTCTCCTTGTTTAAGTTGGTGAATGCTGCCATAATCCTTGACTTCAGTTCATCTTTGATCTCACAAGGAGTATTGTTAGTCTCTCACTCAACTGTGCCCCAAACAATAATCAAGGGGATTGCAGTCTGGGGAGTTACGTGGGCAGATGTAAGGGGTGATGTGGTTGCAGAAATTGTCTGACAGCCATGACTGGGTCCTCCTGCTTGTGTGGCATGATGCAGAGTCCTGTTACCAGGCATAGGGTCTTCCAACAGCCACCCTCTTGACCCAGGACAGCACTACCTCTTCAAGGCACTTGATGTATGCTACTGTGTTGAGTTTGGGACCCTCACCAACATATTCGGGAGTTTTCTTGTCAGAATGATTTTTCTGAGCTGCTGTACTTTTGTAATCACCATTAGACTCATTAAACTCTTTCCAAATCCTCTGCACTGTCCCCAGATCGACACCCAGTGACTCTGAAATATTCATATTGGAGCTTCCACTATGAATGGCAAGCAGTACAGCATACTCTCCAAATTTCTGGCAGAGTGAATTGCGTCATGGTGCTCTTTTTCTCACAGATGGTGCCCAACTGACCCTGCTATACTTTGCAGTCGACAAAAACCAACATGCATGCATGCACAAAATTAAAAATATAAAATTGCAACAGTTTACTCATCGCACCTTTTGTGTGTGTGTGTGCATTCATTTGTGTATAAAAACTCAAGCAAAAACACAACACACATGGCCTGATGATTGTGTTTAGCAGGAAACTGACTGTCACCACTTAGTGTTGACTTCAATGTTGACTTTTATGTTTACATACACTCTATCCCTGATATTGAGCATTTTAACCCATAAATATAGCATACCATAAAACTATATTTTATCAAAGGTCAACATTGAGCAGCAACAGTCTTTTTAATGTTTGAATGCAATCTTCAGGATATATAATGTAGGAGCATATGACTTACCTCTGCATGTTGAGCATGGTCTATAGATCACTAAACCCTTTGAGCCCTGTTGTCCTGAACAATTTTAACCCTTCTGCCTGAGCTCCTGAGTCAAAATTCGTAAATAATTGATATGTAATGTTTCATGGTAGTTGTAAAGATAATTACAAGTTTTTACCTGCCATTCAACCGGTAGCTGGGCATTATGTCATTTTTCTCTACCACCGGTAAAGCAGTGGTGTCAGTGCTCAAAGGGTTAAGATATGAAAGTGATAGTCACCATGCAGTGTTGATTCCTATGTTCACACTGTCAATATCTATATATGCTCTATCTCCAATATTGAACATACTCCCCATACCCCATAAACATAGCAAATTTTATATTTATTGTAACTTAGAAATGATTACAGATACCTTATTGGAATTCTCCACAGTTTTTATAACACTATTGGACTCTACTTTGAGCAATAAGAATGTATAATTACTTTCTAAGCTTAACAGAAGTATCATGATGAAATCGTTAATAAAAGAAATTGACATGTTCATCATTAATTAATCATAGCTAAGGATCAGAAGCTTGTGAAGTATTGAAAGAAAATTAAAATGTATATATATATATATATATATATTATAGTAATTCATTGAATCTATTACTTATATATATATATATATATATATATATATATATATATATATATATATATAATTCCAGGATCATTTTCCAACTTAATCATGATCTTCGCCTTCTTTAACCTAACTTTATGTCCTGGAGTAACAAGGTGCCTCATCAGTTTCACGTACAATTTCATTTTCAAGTCTTTTTTCACTGCTATTTGGACTGTCATAGCTGAAACTCCTCTCTCACATGCCAAATGTCTTATGAATTGAGTTGGATCTTTTCTAATTGATCTCTTTAGCTCTAAGTTAAAATGTTGATCCCTTTTCCTGTTGCAACCTACTGATCCAGTTTTCCTCTCTACTGTTCTCTCTTTTTTAAACTTATTCCCTGTTCTCTTGATGGTTCTTAAATGGACTTTAAAGATGGAAGCCAGAGTATGAAAGTTGGTGCCATTACTGAAGGTTGAATGATCTTTTTCCTCTCACCATTGCTCAGTTGAGAAGACAGTGGGGTTAACACAAAACGATTTTAATCTGTTCTCTTTCTAGCTGAATAGCTCAAAGTGATTCTTACAACAAATGGTATCAAGATGGCTAGATGTCTTATTTGAAAATCTGGGAAAAAGAAACTCAATTAGTTTTTTTTTTTTTTAGATATTAAACATTTTGTGGGATGGATAATTATGCTGTTACATGATTTGGACAATTTTGCTGTTACACCTGGTGTTTGTTTGTGTGTGTATATATATATATATATATATATATATATATATATATTGTATGACAGTTGATATATATATATATATATATATATATATATATATATATATATATATATATGTGTGTGTGTGTGTGTGTGCATATATAGTCATCCACAGGCAGACTGTTTCGCTGTTTCACAGCTCATCAGTGTGGCTAGACATCTGATTGCTTCATGCTGGGATCAAAACCCGACTGATGCCAAATCAGTCGGAGATTTTCCACCTAAGCTATCAGCACACGATTGAAAGAAAGGCAAATTTTTACATACTTACTCTGTAAATAAACACACCAGTGACTGACAGTGCTCAATTCAGGGAAGAGCCTTGTAATATTAGTATTAGTAGTAGTCATTGTTTACAAATTCACACTTATCCTTCAAAAGTACACAACCGAATTTAAGTTTTTTGTGTGTCTCTCTCTCCCTATATATATATATATATATATATATATATATATATATGTGTGTGTGTGAAAAATGTATATAAATAAATATATATATGTATAATTATTTATATATTATATGTGTGGTACTTATTAGAAAATATCAATATCAGAGATAGAACATATATATATATATATATATATATATATATAATAGTATTTAAAATACATATAAATAATAATTTTTTTAATCTATCTTTTTTACTTTCTTAATTATTTCTAATGATGTCAATTTAATTTTTTTTGTTTTTTCTTGTAGTGAGGTAGTCACTCCAGCACTTCTGCTTCATCCACTGCTGCTGCCTAAAATTTACCCTCCCCTTTTTGACCTTTATGCTCTCTTTAATGACAAAGAAGATGAGAAATACTGGGAACGTGTACAGAAGTTGAATCGACAAGGAGATATGGCCTTGATGGCTTATCTTGGAATTGATCAGTGAGTCACAATCTTTTCCTTTCTATCACTTGCTTACAAAACATTTCCGTTTTGGTTAATGTCTTGATTTCTTACTATTCCACAATCCAGTCCCCCCCCTATCATGTGAAGTCACATGATTACCAAATAATTACTGATCACAATGTTAATTTTACTTCATAGTTGACTGATTCTATATTTTAGCATTGCTAGAACTGTTAAATGTGGAATGGACTCCTGATAGGATGCTTCCCCAATCACTATGATTTTAATCTCTTTAGGTCTATGGTCAACTATTATCTATCCTACTAATATGCACTTCTTACTTCCTCCTTTTACAACAACCTCATTTAGTGACTCTTTACCTTAAGTGGCTATTTGGCTTCTATTGGGTGAACAATGGTATGAAAAAAAAATTAGCAATTAGCCCATGAAATCACTATTCTGTTCATAAGTGTAAATTTCTAACAAGAGAGAGCACTTCAACATAGTGTAATGGCTAGCAAGCTTGTCAATTAGATAAATTATGATGTAATAGTGAATTCAATCCTCACTGGGTGTTACATACTTTTGGCCTTGTACACTTAGAAAATCATTATAAGTAAATTTCTAACAAGAGACGAAAGAAAAAGTGAAATTACAATTGTATTTTAACATTTGGCACACTATATATAGTCAGGGTTTCAATTTATTGTTGTCTATTTACTTTGCTGCTACTCCACCACTTAGCTTTAGTCATTTCTGCATTTACAAAAAAAATATTTCTTGTGGTAAGGGAAAGGCATCGATAGGCTCTGAATTCGAAAATTGTTTTACTTAAAATTTCAAAGCTCAGTCTGCATTGAAAATAAGGGAGAAAACACTGTTAGTGGTCATAAATTAAAACTACTGACACATCAGGGACATTTTATATATATATATTTATATATATATTCCTTTTGATAACAACGGTCAAAAGTTTAGGCACAGCATTTCCAAGCCTTCTAAGAGTGAGGGATGGGGGGAGGTAAGGTGGGAATAGGAGATAGTAATACAATATATATATATATATATATATATATATATATATATATATATAAGGCTTGGAAATGCTGTGCCTAAACTTTTGACCGTTGTTATTGAAAAGGAATTTTTCCAGCCTGGCCATCACCTTCACACCTCTCCCATCCTTCACCAAACTGCTATCAACAAGCACTATTGTTTCACTCCATCACCTTTTTGCTTTATGTATATTTTTTTCTCAAACAAATGGAAAAAAGGAAGTGAAATTTCACAAACAGCTTGCTTACAAACAGAATTGTTCATAACGACTTTGTTTCTCACCAGTCAAGGTGCAATTGAAACGCACTGAAACAAAGTTTCATCTTTGTAGTGAGTAAACTGTTTTTGTCTATATGAAAAAATTATAATAAATAATTATTGCTCTACTATGGGTAGCCCTCTTTTGAATTAATGCTGTGAATGTTAGAATTTATATATTATTTTCATTCTCATTGCATCGGATATACACACACACAGTGTCTCAAAAGTCACACTACAATTGTAAGGAAACACATTTGTGAAATAGCAACCAGAGGAAATTTGCATGACATCATCTTCCATTAAATAAAATTTCCTGATAATATATTGCCACATACAGAAATATTATTTAATTTGGTAAATAAGCATAAAAGTTTTCAATGGAAATACAGCTTTTGGGACATTCTATATATACATACATATATATATATATATATATATATATATATATATATATATATATATATTTCCATCCTTGAATATTGAATAGAGCATAAATTGGTTGACCAGCTTTGTAGTTTTATTAAGGAATAAACTTATAAGACATAATGTGGTTCATCATTTTCATATAATTAACACATGATACTCACCCACTCCATTGCAATTCTTATAATGCAAAGATCATCAAGTGACAGTTTTGTATAATGAATGTCATAAACTAATCTTTATTATGTAAACTGAAATATAAACACCTTTAGTCCTGTCTTTATTCAAATTTAGAATTGATTCTTTCCCAAGAATGAAAGATGTTTTATTCACAGTAACCAACAATCATAAAATTACATTTTCTCTTCAAACAATGAGAGTCTCTAATGTTTCTCTGCTTTATAAGAGAGTAATTTCCTGATACACAATTTGAACCAATAACCTTGTGGTTTCCTTCTAATACTCTAAACAGTAAGTTATCATTTCAGGTTTTATCTTTTTTTTTTTGCCACTTTCTGTCTCAAATATAAAAACAATTTTTAATATACTTTTATGTATAAAATATTATAAAATGTTGATAAAACTCTTTGTTGTTAATTTTATAGAAAATTTTGGTTGATTGAAGACAACTTGTTCCAAGGTAACCGACAGGTATGTCTTGCTTTCTTTCTTTTCATAATAGTTTTGTTGTAAGATGTAATAATATTTTATGAGTCTCTTCAATGAAAAGTAAGATGTATATAATAACCTTTTTATGAGTACCCTTAATAAAAGGAACAAAATGAGGTAAGTTATGATGCAGTTGTGTTCTTGCTTTGTCTATGAGTGAGAGAGAGAGTGAGAGAGAGAGTATTGCAGAGAACGACATATCCAAAATCTCTAAAAGAAATAAGTAAAAATGTTGAATGCAATATTATGTTCATTCTGTATAGCAATATTGGTGCCACATTCACAGTGTTATAATCAGCTAGGCAATAACTTATAATCAAAAGGCTTATGGCATATCATGTTGAAACACAGGTTCTCATACAATCACTGAAGTTAAGCAATATCAAGCCTAGTCGGTACCTAGATAGGAGACCATTTGAGAATAACAGGTACTGTAAGCTTGGATGTGCAAGTGGTGTAATGCATAATGGCTCGGAAATGGAAATCAGGTGACTGAGTTCCAATTAGGTTCATTATATTAACTTATATACAAATATCCTCAGGAAAGGTACGAATCCAGCTTCCCCCCTAACTATGGGCTAATTAGTAGGACGTGTGTCAGTAAATCATTATCTCCAAAAAATTCTTACATTCTAAAAATATTTTCTGCCTTTAAATAACCTACAAAAGGTTGATAAACCATAAAAAATAAATCAATCCTACATTTTATGCAAATTATAAATATTATGATAATTGGGTGTTAGTAAGATGTAAAATATTATCTGAATAGATGTGGAGATAATGAAAACTATGAAAAGCTATTTTGGCTATGTGTTTCACTTCTTCATAGTAGGCATGTACAGGCTGGAGTTAGACAAAAACCTGTTTGTGAGGATAATGCATTCGAATATGGAAGAAATGTAATAGAGATCCTGTAAAAAAAGAAAACAAATCAATATTATAATAAAACTTTTGTAAAGTAGCCTATATAATTGCCAAAACTCATCTCGTTGCCAACTGATTGCTCTTGATTTTTTTTAATAATGTTTTATTATTTGTTAGCTGATCAATGTTATCCTCTTATATCACCCAAATCAAAATTTATATGACAAATGTTTAATCTGAACAATTTTTTCACAGTATCATTGTTTTTCACAAATAAACTATTTAGGTTAAAATTCATTACGAATATTTAAACACATTTTTTTTTTTATATATAGCCAACCCCTTCTGATGATGGGTTAACAAATACTGATCCATTTTGTTTTCTAAGGATTTTATCTATTTTACTTTTAATTCATTATGGTCTGAAGTTTTGTTTCAAGAGGCTCATATGATTTGATTTCATTTTTTTGGAAAATATGAAGAAATAAGAATCCAGTTTTGTTTTTAAAATTCAATTCCACTTACAGTTCTTTTCTTTTTTATTTCTGTAAACTGTCAAGATAAAATTTATTGATCCCTCCCCCCTCAAAAATAATGAAACTAACTCAATAATTTGCAAAAGTATTTATAGATTTATTGCATTTCAAGATTTATACCCAAAATCTGCATATTTCATACAGAAGAAATTCAACTTAAATACAATTTGATGAGTGACTGTATTTCTTGCAGTTGGTATCTTTCTGGGGAAAAATTTTTTAATTTTTCTGGAAAAAAAAAAAAACTGTCATTTTGTAAATTGTTTCATTGTTTATCAAGAGTCTAATCAGATATATTCTTCTTTGGTAGAAACTCTCTGAGATCCGTGACCACTGTTATGCATCTGCTGTTGAAATGCTGCAACAAATAAGGTAAAGGAAGCATCTTTTTCTCCTTTTTTTGCAGGGGGAGGAGGGGGTATCTGGTTAACTTTTGAAACAATATCAAAGCTCAGTGTTTATGACAGTGGATTATATAGAAAGTCAACAGTATCACTAGACAGAATTTACCCAGTAACCAAAACACATTCCTGATTCTAACATACAAATTTATATTGCAAAAATGTGAATACATTTCCAAACATATTCATGTTCAATAAACTTGTATTTTGTCTGCTCCAGTACGGCATTCAGTCCTTGTGAAAAACTGGCTGTGATACGAAGGACATTTTTAGAAATCACCAAGGTAAGAAATACCTTCATTCCTTTGTTTTAGTTTAAATTATCTTCTTCACCGTTTCTCTTTAATGAGGAATTTTCATTTTTCTTTCTTCCATTTGATTAATAAAAGGTCTACCCAGAATTGGTAAGTACCAGAATGTACTTCCAGGATTCAAAAACACATAGACAACTTTCCATGGCTTTTTTCCACTTAGTCATTCCATTTGTCACTTCAGATTCTTTTGGTTCCTCTTTTGTTATTTTACTTAGCTTAGTCTGACACAAGGCCACAGGAGTTCCATGAAAATCAAACTCTCTACTCTTGTGAAATAGCTTTCAATAGGAGCTTACATTTGGGCAACAGTAACCGTTACCCCACTTTTATGGCTCAGTTCAAATACCAATTAGCAATTACGGTAAAGTAATAGTAAAAAAAAATAACTCAAAATTTATTTTTTGTAATGGTAATGTTCATTACTGTTTTCCTCAAACTAAAATTTATAAAAATGCCACATTACAACAGTGAAACCAAATTAAAAACTTCTAAATACCAATTACTCATCATTTTTGACTAGTGTTTCTTTCATCTTAATTTCAATGGTTTTTTTTTTTTTTTTTTTTTTTTTTTTTTGGCAGTGGAGGGCTTTATTTTATTATGATTATCAAAATTTTCAGAGCCTCATTTCGCAATCATTAGTAAGTGAATCAGAAATAAAGAATATTCCTTCTGTAGCATAACTTACTTTCATCCTTTATTCTTTGGAATCTGCTTTTGCAATTAGGCTACAATAACAAACTTTAAGTCATTTAAATCATACCAATATAGCTTTTATTCTTTGTTTTCCTGGTATGCATGATAAGCCACCATTTATTTTTTGTATTAGCATAATATAATTTGAATATTTCCAATCAATTATTCTTAATTTTGGAATAGTATTTCTTTTGTCTTAATTTGAATAATTAAATGACTGCTTCCAGTTGTTCTTTGTAGCTTAATTGGTAAGGCTGTTGTCACAGGCAAATTTCCCAAGGATAGTGAATCTGAGTTTGAGTCTCACAGGAACCAGGCTGCATTAAGAAGAAATACATTGTGAATATGAATAGCTTATGCTATTATTAAGAAAATTCAAGTTTAGATTTCTGTTCTTGGAGCAATGAAATTACAGCAATACTGTAACTTTTGTTATTGTGAAAAGCTGTAAATCATTTCTTTGTCAGCTTAGTTTTCATTATTTAAAAAAGTAGTATGTGGTTATGATCACAGTGTTTCAGCCATTGCACCCTCCAGTCTTCTTCAGGTTTCTATCGAACTCGGTAACCTTCAGGGAATTTCAAACTGAACCCTTTATTTAATCTATGAGCTACATTGTCCTTGTTCTGTTATCCATCTCTAGAGATGTTCTTATTTAATACTGCCCAGTTATTTACTGTCTCTCTGTTTTGTACTGAGTCTGAGTCTGTATTACTTGGTTCAGAAATTGAACTCACAATTACTATAACACCAAATTCAGGAACCAACACTTTAATCCACTAGGCTATTGCTTATCCTGATCAACAGATACCTGAAGAAGGCCAGCGGGCACAATGGCTGAAATGTGATAACATCGTCAAGGACATTAGTCCAAATTTAAATAATGATAATTCCCCATCCCAGATATACTTCAACTTCACTTTCTGATTGTAAAAATGTTTTGTAACAATCTTGGTGGCTATTGTAATTTTATATAAATTTACTTATGATGTTTCTCCCCCACCACACAATCTTAAAAGAATGAAATACAAAGGGATGCATAATAAATTAAATGATGACAAAGATTTTCTTTTATATCTTTGATAAGATATTTTCACCTTTGCTGTTGAAATCTTTTTATTACTAACATATAATCTTCATGTCTTACAATAAAAAACATTGTGTTCATCTTGCCAGGTTTCTGCACATTGAGAGGGCCTCTCTTGACTGAGAAAAAAACTGTTGTTATATAGCTCTCCCAGTCCCAGAACCATGCTGACTATTGGCTAACACCTGCCTAGTATTGTTCATATGCAAATTGCACCACCTGTTCTAAGTTGAAGGTCTTCTCCTAACAGTTCATTGTGGAAGAGGATGCAACCAACTCAGAGTCACTTATCAGGTTGACCCGATTCTCTGTTACATAAGTTCTGTTAACAAATGAGCTTTGATAATTGATATGCATTCAATCTCAACAATTAAGTTTTATACATAAATTAAGAAAAATTATTTATCATAGTTTCTTGATGTCCTTAATTAGTTTAATGAGTATTCTGTTCAGAAAAAAATATTTCAAGTAAATATGAAAGAAATTAGTTTGAATGTTTGCTTCTAGAATTGCATCCAAACCCACCATTCTCAGCTCCTTAAGAGAATCAACACAACATGTCACTGTGTTCTTGGTGGCAAAGAGTTTACGTAGAGAATTAGTGTAAAAAGTTTACAGACTAAAATTTAGCAAATGAGAAATGAATAACTTAATCATAATTATCTAAGTTGGAATAAGCCTCTTTTTTCTTTTCTTTTTTCTTTATTTAATAACTGGTGAATGGATTTGTGCACTTTTTTTTCTTGGAATTTTGAGGATGGTGAAAGTTTTATAATTAACATTTAGTGGAGATGGGTATATTCATGCACATTAATTATTGACTTGGGTGCAACTCTTTCAGCCTTCAATATCTGAAATAATTTAAATATGAGGGTCAGTCAGAAAATAATGCTTTTTTTCTAATTATAATGGAGTTAATAATAGAAGCACACAAAATGCATGCCAAAATAAACAGAATTCCTAACCTCTTCCTCCTTTCTCGATCATAACATTGCACTTTTGAGTGAGGGCACTTATACCCGCCTTGTAGAAGCTGCTTTTGTAACTTTGTACAAAGTTACCTCTTCCACATCATCTCATCACTGGAGAACCAGTATCCTGAGTGCCACCTTCATGGTTGCAAACAGATGTCAGGACTGTAGGATAAATGAGGCAAGGTTGCCCAGTCATACATTGATTACTTGTCTGTTCTTTAAAGTATTGTGAGACATTGTGTTGCAAAAACATATCACATTTTCAAATATAGCCTTGCATTTTCTTATGATGTTCGCAGTGAATGCAGCTTTTCTACAAATATTCACTAACTTCCTGTAATATTTGCAGTATGTTCTCCCTCCAAAAACAGAAATTCTATGACAGCTTGCTGCTTTCTATGTGTGTTCAAAGGTGCAGCCATTTTGAAAGAGGATTATGAGTAGGAAAAGAGAAGTTATTGCAACAAATTTTCCCTATAGGCTTCTAGACACTTGATATGGTCTATAAGTAAAACAAAAAAATTTAGGAATTTTAACACTTTTAAAATTAAATTAGAACAGACATTACTATTTGACTGACCTTTGTACTATGTATAATAGACTGTAAATCTTATTGATCACTTCCATCTTCAATCAGAATAAATAAAGTATAGATCAGTACTTGAATAAACCACATTGAAAAAATGCCTTTAAAACATGTCAAATACCTTTTAACAGTATGAGTCATTATTGTAAAATAATGCAAAAGAACTGTAATGTCATTTTACATTGGTTATTTTGACAAAAGAAAACAATGAGGTGTTATTTTAAGATTTTCAGGAAATAGTCAAAGATTTAAAAAACACAATTTTTATACAAATGACAAAACTAGTTGTACCCACACAAATTCTCAATTCTGGCCTGTTATCAATTTATGTACCTAAACTTTAAACTTATTAAAAAATATATTAATCAGTTTTGCTTATAGATTATCAAAAGAAGAAATATTCTAAAAGGAAGAAGATTCAAAGTTCTGAAAGTGGCAAATATTTTATTTAATAACAATTTCATTAAAATGCTGTAGTTTGGTCATCTCCTGCTATAAAATTAACTTTTATTTTTGTCCCTGCTATCAAAATTGCCTTAAGCTTTTGTGCCTTCATTTTCAACTCTTTCTTTCCTGCCTTTTAATATTTCACTTCTGTGAATTAATATTTACAAAATGTACCATTTTTTTTTTTACTAGTTAATATATTTGGACTAATTTTGTGGTTGATAAAGTTTCTTATATATTTTGTCATCATTGATAATCTTTTCATAAATGAATATAAAGAGTCATAATTAGAAATTTTTCAGATAAAAGATTTTCTTCTGAAAAATCATTACTGGAATCAAATTTTTTTAACTTATATAGCATTCTTGACAAAAATATGCTTTACTACAATGAACATCTTGCAAAATTTTCATGAAAATTTTTTTTCAAGATCTTTACATTTTTATTGGGTTTTTTTTCTATCTCAAAAGAAATATATTTATAAATTTATACAATTCAAATAAAAATAAAATTTATTTTAAATTCTTACTCGAATAATGAGTAAAACAGTTTAAACTATAAATTAGCTCGTCTTTTTTGCCACTTAGTCTTTTCTTTGAGATATGTGCATAATGCCATATGCATTAATAAAATTGTAATTAAAGCAAATAGTTACCAAAATGTTTAACATTTTGGTAACTATTTCATATACAAAATGTCATAATTTATAATATGGTTAAAATACTGACATTGCTTACTTCCCTTTTTATATTGAATATTCCCATTTATTCCCATCCTGTGACCTAAATGCTAATGTTGTTATCAATTTCAAGATGGATAATGCTTTTATTTGAATAACTAAGCAATTTAATCATAAACATCATCAGCAAAATGTTCTAGAAAGATCACAAAAGATGAACAAAGAAATAAAAAACACATTTTTTTAATTTGATTTTTAAAGTTGAATATACAAATTAGTTATCTCTTTGTAAACAAGATATAACACACGTGCTGATATATATGATAAAATTGCATTTATCACATGTCAGTTTTTTATGTAATTGGACACACACACATGGAAAGACAACCAACTTTAGATATATTTGATTAATTTTCAGTGTTTTTAGTGGATATACATAAATTTTGAGTTTTATATATTAGAAGACTTAATACTGTTAAAATGTTTTTGTAACAAAAGCAA